TCACTGGCTGGATCAAATCGAGCTCAACAAAACTGCTGTGCTGGAGGACGCATCTTCGGACCCGGAAATTGCCAAGTTACAGCGATTCAACTTCGAAAGAAACATGATGATCGAGGAGATCAAATGGCAGAAGGAGCGAGTCGAGGAGGACCTTGAGTGGTACAAGGACAAGTTGCGAACCACCCAGGAAGCCGAAGATCACGAGCAGTGCAAGTCTATGGAAAAACTCTACAAGCAGCAGGCCGAGTCTGCACAAAAGCACTCGACACAGCTGCCGACGAGAACAGAAAGATGTATCTCGCTTACCTGAAAGAACAAACAATCGCTCACCACGCAAAGAAGGATAAAGAAGCTGCTGAGAAGGACGCTCGCGATGCAGAGAAGGAGAAGGAAGCACTTGCCAAGCGACTTGAGGAGAAGAACACAGTTCGGTCTTCGAAGTCAACCAACCATGGCGAGGATACTGCATCTCCAGGTATGTTTACACCATTGATTTCTCTCGCATCAAGCTAACAAACAAGAGGTGGCTCCTACAGCACTCCAAGATGCAAGACGTGTAACCAGACTCGCCAAAGCCGAAGCGAGGAAATTCAGATGCGAACGCGATCGTCTGACTCGTGAGAATGCACTTCTCTCTCAACGACTGGAGCGCACACTCGACACTCTAGAATACTCAGTCGAACCCAAAATCCGTGGTGCATTGCCCCCAACACCCATTAGCACCGACTACGCAAACAAACACAGAAAAGCAAGGCCCGGCGACATCATCACCAATCTCGAGACCTTGGATGATCCATTTGGCGATGGTCTGTTTACTGGCGGGTTCCTCTCCAGACTTCCAAAATTCAATCCCAATCGTCTTTTGGATATTCTGGGTCAACCTAGTTTTCTCAACACGCCTAGAAGAGCCCCGATACCCACTCCTGTACCTCCTTACCCTCCCTTCGAGCCTCTAACACCTGAAGGTCGTCGCAGATCTGCTGAACGCATGATCACTGATCCTGAAAGGGAAACAGCACTGGCCGAGGAAAGAGCATATCTGGCTGCAGTCAGAGCAGTAGATAATGAATTTGAAGAATACAGAAATGATGGGTATGCGATTTTGTACACGCTCTACAGACCAAAAATCAACATTCCTGTCAGGAACGTTATGGTCAGACTTGGTCAGGTCGTCGAAGAAGAGGAAGAAACAGAAAAGGAAGAAAACCCAGAAAATGGACAAGGGGAAGCAGATGATGAGGAGGATGGCAGCAGTGATGGCAGCATAGATGAAGAAGAATTTAACGTAAGTTCATTTTCGAGCAAACTATTTCGAGGAAATTGGTGCTGACAACAGAAACAGAAAAATACAATATGACACCTACGCCTCTGCCTCGCAGCCGAAGGACGCAAAGGGTGTTTATCACAGTCCTTGATTGTCATCATCAAGAACGGCGCCACAAGAATAAAGCAGTCAAAAAGAAAAAGAAGAACACAACCACTGTCGCTACAAGCATTTCCTATCGTCACGGCGTCTGGGTAATGCATAAGTTTTAGGTCTCCTTGCCTCATATTTTATGTTTGGATGATGCAGGAGTTAGTGGTTTCTCTGTTGAGCAAATGTTTATTGGTTAATTTAGTTATAATATCAATTGTTTTGAGTTTTCGCTAGACTTGTTGTCATAGTGAATTTGTTGATTCATGACATATCGTGACTGTCACGTTTGAGCTATGGAGAATAGTCCAATGACTCCTGAGGGAGAAACTGACCTTGATAGAACCAGCACTTTTTTTTTCCCTTGCAATCTTCCAGTGGATAGGGAAATCGCGACCATGAATTGAATCCCCTGGATTTATACATCAGAATCTATGTGACATGTTTCCAATGTACTGGCCTCATAGTTCTCTTTCCCCACTTCTACTTTGCAGCCGTATGTACCTCCACCCGAGCATCCCCGATAGTCGTCACAAAAGTACTCATGGCAAACTTCCACGGCTCCATCATCTGTGTCTCAGTCTGCGTAACCCTCTCAACATACTGCTCAGTAACCGTGTCCACAATCTTATGAGTCTCTGCAGTAACTGTAACAGTACCCTCATACTTTGTAGCCGTGTATGTAACCGTCTTCGTCGATTGCAGCATCTTAAGCACTCTCGCGTGTTATCGGGTGGGGAGGAGGTATCTCCGATATTGATGGTTGTAGATTGGTTTGTGAGTTCTAGGCGATCTGAGCGTTGGAGAGGCCGTGAGGGAGGCAGGTTTCTTGAGGGCGTAGTGTTTTGGAGCGTGGAGGGAGGTTGAGAAGAGTAGGCTGGTGCGGTAGTGGCTTCGCTTGATGACGGTATGCCTACGTGGTCAGGATACGCTGGAGGTCGGTCGGGTCGAATTGTCATCTCGGGCATCATCCGATGGAGGCTTGAGGAAGTTTCAGGAAAGGAGAACAATGAATGCATCTCCTTCTTATGCATCGTTACGGCAGGCACGGCACGAACACATGCTTCATGGTTCAAGTCAACAGGAAACGTGACCTAGGTGGACTGAGTTCTTCGAGAAGTCCATCCAAAGCTTCGAGAATGGCCAAGATTATTCGAAGCGCATGTGATCGACGTAGTGCGGGCGTTTACTCGAACGATCACATCAAGAAGTTGCTGGGTCGAAAGCTACTTCTTAGTTCGCGATTGACTTTGTGTCAGAAAAGCCGAAGGTACAGAGTCACAATAACATCAATCAACAAGTTTTCCATCGTCAAGCTGCATATCAGCATTCCTCGTTCATCGTCTACTTTCTAGCGATACCAGCATCCAACACATACTTCTGTCCAACATGACCCTCAAGGAACAAGTCAAAACTGAGAAAGAAGTCTCGACCAAGAACAAGCTCGGAGATCTCAACTCATACATCACGAAAGCAAAGGACAGAATCCAGGCCAATCCAGTTGAGGGGGCTCAATCTGAACGAAAGCACACAACCAAGAGGCATACCGGATGCAGATGGACAGAGCCACCCTTCAACATGATCGACGTCTTGCTGTGGATCAGTCTAACAATCTTCTTCGCCATGGTCGCCTACGCCATTCAAGAAGACCTTTGCAACACCTGCAGAAAACAAGGACAGCGGCATGCCCTGGCTACATGTCAGACAACGATCGAAAGAACAACTTTCCAGACTACCGAGGCCACCAAAATCACCGAAATCAGCGTGACAGCCGAAACCACCGTGACAGAGTACAGATCAGTGACGCAATTCGTCGTGGCCACTTCATTTCGCGGTGACGATAAGAAGCACACTACCCTCCAATGGCCGGTTGAAGTTCTCTAGGACGCCTGGAATGTGACATGTACTCAGAGGAGGCAATCAACATTAAACCAGTGCATATCACTCGTCGACAATGCAGTTTTCCCATGCTCATTCATATCGCGGTGACGACACTGGATATATTACACCCAGATAGCCGATTAGTAGAATTCAGGGAGACATGAGTACGCAGACGACGATGGCAGTATTACTCCAGGACATGTTATCACAGTCCCCTATCGTTCCCGGTATACTTGCTCAAAGAGCCGCAACGCGAGATTGATGACTCCCCTGCCACCCCATGTGATCCAGTGCATACAGAACTGACTCACAACCCAAGACTCACTGCCTTCACAACATACAAGAGCAAATCTCAACACTCCTGCTCCCTTCCCTAACTTAACATCCTACACCAGAAATGTCTTTAACTTTTGACCGCAAAAACCTCGCAGCAAAACTGCATCCAAACATGACAGACTCCAACACACAAAACAACATGGAGCATAATACCTGGACCCAAGAACACCTTAACGACCTCGAAGTACTCCTAAAATCCAAGTTGGCGCAGCAAGAACCCAGCACAAAACTCACAAACCCACCAAAACGCAGGAACACCTCTGAGAAGAGAAAAGCCTTGGTGCTTGTCATCATCACCGCCTGGATCTGTATACTCTACACAGTCTGGATGTGTCTATTCTATAGCATCTACCAAAAATACAGAGTCTGGCAGATGGAACCCGAAACACCGCTTTTTCCATCTTCACCACTGGTCACTTTGAATACTCAGATGTTCACGCCAACAGCAACACAGACAATCACAACAACAGTGACTCAGGAAATCATGGCCACAGTGACCGGGTACAAGGAACGCGAATACTATTTCCGCATAGATCAGGATTAACCCGGGACCTTGACTGTATCACGTACACTATCCGGCACCCCGACATGGGCGGCCACAGAAACGGTTACAGCAACCGAGACCATCACAGCAACAGAAACAATCACAGCAACAGTAACAGAGACAGTCACAGCAACAGTGACCGAGACAACCACACCAACACAAACATGCCCAGCAATCCTAACAGAAAAGACGAGAGTGTGCTTCCCCAACAAAGCCTTTAAGCGGAGTTACGCAAAATGGCAAGAATGCACTCGAGCAAGAAGAAACATGGAAAATTGGCCCTCGAGAAGATGTTCATCCTCGTAGAGCATCCAGAACAGATTTTCTCGCGTGGTGGACCTGCGCCAGAGGACTTCGAGGTCCAAGTGATGGGGATTTTGTATAATGATGCGAGCGTGAATAGCTGACAGGCTTTGATTTGGTCATTAGAATGATCAGGAAGTCATGGTGGTGGTACGAATGGTGGTCGGGTGGAGTTGATAGGAGCATAGAACCTGTAGATCAAGGTTATCATAGTTTGAAACGAAGAAGTTTCCAAAATGTCAACCTCAAACTCTCTTGGTTTGGATTTCTTGGTATCATAAAGTGAGGTCGGCGAACAACCTTATAAAAGTGTGATATGTGGGGTCGGTATGGCATGATCAGAGCGCGTCGATAAACTTGCTCAAGCCGAAGAAAGCTAAATGCAAGTTGTGTGACTGTGACAACCCTCTTCTCTGCTGTGATTCGAAAGACGCTTTCCACGAAATAGCCCTCTTCTTACACCATCACCAACAAAGCTCCGTTCATTCGACCATCCACGCAGTTATCGCGACAAACACAGCAATGCCCAACGACAACGGCTTCTGCCACAAGATGCTGATCTTTCTCGGCCTCATGGCAGTCGGCGTCTCTCTCATCATCGTCTCCTTCGGTGTAGCCCTCAGCAACGAAAACAACAAGATCTTACTGGACGCGACGATGGTCGAACCTGGTACACAACAGAGAGCATTCCGAGCGGCATCCTGCCATGTCGGTACTTGTACGAAGGAGAAGACGTTTTGGAAGACGGTGATTATGCCGGCTTCGACGGTTACAGAGACGGCGACTGTTCATCTTCCGGATTATGTTGAGCCTACGGACCATGTTGGGCCTGCACGACCGACGATTGGGTTGTCGGGCACTCGATCTACAACTCTTATGCCACATGTCATGCCGACAGAGGATGTTGAGGATGTCGAGCAGAGAAAGGAGAGGTTCATCAGAGGAGGCTCGAGGGGTCGACGGATTGTTGATGTCAACAAGCCAGAGATGCAGATGTGAGGCTTGACACTTGGGGCGTAAGGGGTGTTTGGTATACTCTGGTTGAGCATGAGTGTTTTCTGGAGGAGTTCAAGCAGGATCAAGTTTAGCTTTTGCTTCTTCAATCCACGTCTCAAAGACCATGTCTCCAGCAGAAACGGCGCGTATGGGTGTAGTTTGACTATTCTTCTTTGCAGCATCTGGGTTCTTATTATGTAGATCTGGTTGAGCGGGAATCCAAGGCTGGGGATGACCGATAGGAGGGCTTGTATTGTCTCGCAACTCGATTGCGACAGTGAAGGTGCAGTTCTCAGGTAGAGGCTTCAGTCTCGAACCACAAGAGGAAAGTCTAGTCATTGTTGCACGCATCTGCTCTTCTAGATCGACCCTGGGTAGGACGGCGACAGTCTCCCCGTCGTCGGTGGTACGGGACATGGGAGTAAAGTGGTACTCTTTGGGTACGAAAGGGAAGCGGCTGAGATCAAAGACGAAGCGTTCGAGAGGCGTGTCCTGTGACGAGTATATGACAAGAGCAACACGGTCAACAGTACCTTTCAGCAGCTCAGTCTGGACAGCGGCAACAGCGTCGGTGATCCATTGGCAGACTTTGGGGTGACGAGACTGGCGGACGCTGTAGTTGTACTTTTTGGCCGAGAGGAAAGAGTCGCGAGGGTAGATGTCACGCTCGTAGAGGATGGTGTGGATGGCGACTATGAGAAAGTCACTGAAGACGCTGACAAAGGTTTGGAAAGTGACAATGACATCCGTGTCGTCCATGTTGATGTGATGGTCGTGAAAGTGGTCGAAGTGGTAAATTGACACGCGTGAGTGGACGCGTCTTGGCGGAAGGCGCGTGTCCAGTCAATCTTTCACGAATCAAGGCCAACAAAGCAATCGACTGCTCCGCCATCTTGATTTATGCCGTATACTGACCTGCTTCACATCAGGGCAGCTTCGTAATCTCTTGACGGGCTGAGATTATTGATATTGTACATGTGTTGCTAGTCCCTTGCTGCCTGCCCTCGGACTTCTTTGCTACCCCGCGATACGCTAGAGTATCCTCTCTACCACAGCAGCATGGAGCAACAAATAGTGCAGCTCCTCCACGACACGCAGTCGCCCAACGATGGCCCTCGTCGCAATGCCGAGCTGCGCCTCCGCCAGCTCTACCCAGACACAACCTTTGCTCCCACCCTGATCGCCGTCGCTACACACCAGTCCATCGACCTTCCCACGAGGCAAGCCGCCCTGCTGTTCCTCAAGCAGTTTGTGCAGCAAGTATGGTCTCCCCAGTTCGAAGAGTTCAAGGGCGAAATGCTCGTCTCTGTCGAAGACCGTGCAAAGCTCCGACAGGCTCTGCTTGACCTGGCCACCGATGCCCACCAGGAGAGGAAGATCAAGAGCGCAGCTTCTATCGTCGTCAGCAAGATTGCTACTGCCGACTTNCCTGACGAATACCCGAACCTCCTTCCCACCCTGCTACACATCATCAACAACGGCCAGGATGGTCAGCTACATGGCGCCCTCAAGGTCCTTCAAGACTTGGTCGACGACTGCTTCAACGACGATCAGTTCTTCAATGTCGCCTACCAGATCGTCTCGTCTGTCTTTGCCGTAGCCACCAGCTCCCGTCCTACCATCCTTCGCGCTTTGGCTGTCTCAGTCTTCCGATCATGCTTCGACATGCTGGAGATGGTCATGGAGGACCACAAGACGGCTGTCAAGTCTTTTGCCGAAGACACGCTCAACAACTGGTACCCCTTCTTCCTCGCTACTCTGAACATGCCTGTGCCCGCCACTCCTGTCGAGCAAGAAGAGTCTCAGAACCCCATCGCTGAAATATACCGTGGCATCGTTGCTCTCAAGCTGCAGGTCGTCAAAGTCTTGATGCGTGTTCGCTCCATCTTCCCCTCAGTCCTGGCTCCTCAGGCGCCTGCTCTGTTCGCCGCTACATGGCAAGAGCTCAATAATCTCCGCCAGTCATATCACGAGTCTTTTATTCTCCACGATCGCCAAGGTCGGCTTGAAGATGCCGATGGTCTGCCCTTCACCCTCGACTTCTTGGTGCTCGAGGAGCTGGACTTCATGCAAGCCTGTCTTCGTGCTGCTCCTGTCCGCAAACAACTCGAAGAGCAGCTGCAGTCTCAGTCAATGCCAGACACTTGGGTCACTGAAGTCATGAAGCTCACCGTTACATATGCACATATCACCACAGAAGAGGAAGGTCTGTGGGACATTGACCTGAACATCTTCCTGGCCGAAGAGTCAAACGTCACTGCAAACTACACTCCTCGAACTGCCTGTGCCGATTTGGCCATCAAGCTTGGTGAGTGGCAAAGTGCTGCTACCATCGAGGGACTCTTACACCACACTCGCGAGCTCTACTCGACTGACTCTAGCTGGAAGGCAAAGGAGTCTGCTCTGTTCATTCTCAACCAGCTCCTGACTGACTTCTCTGACGGCGAACGAGACATAGCTCCAGAGATTGCCAGTGCCTACATCGACTTCGTCAGATATGCAATGCAACAGGAACACGTCTTCCTCCGAGCGAGAGGCCATTTGACCGCTAGTAGTTTGGTGCGCACGGCTGGTTCTGCTCTTGGCGGAGTGGATTCGTCGCTCATGGAGCAGTCGCTGCACGCAATCACCAACGATCCCTCTGATGTCGTCAAGGTGTCGTGTATCCGTTCCATGCAAGCCTATCTCCAAGGCGTCCCTTCTGCCAACAACATGTCCATGCAGCCTGCCATCATCAACGCTATCCACACTTTCGTCACTGAGCTTGACTTTAGCGACATGGATGAGTCTGAGGATGTCATGATTGCCATCGTCGAGACACTGCGTGATGCCATTATGATTGACACGCGTATCTGCTTGACTGGCTCTGGCTTGGATGTCCTCTTTACTATTGCTAGCTGGTGTGCTGTCAATTACCAGATCTACATTCTCATTGCCGAGACCTTCGAAGATATCGCAGAGACACTATCAGGTGCAGGTCCCGAGGTATACACACAACTATGCGCCAAAGTCTTGCCTTCGCTGTCAGGGGCCTTTGCCGTTGCCAACCTGACTGATGAGAACTCTTTGACAAATCTTGCCGCAGACATGCTTTCTGATCTCGCACAGAACGGTCCCTCACCACTGCCTCAAGGATTCATCGTCACCATCATGCCTAAACTCACACGTCTTCTCCTTGAATCTCCCGATGAAGAGTTGCTTAAGGCAGCAACCTCTGCCACTCGGTACATGCTGGAGAAAGACCCCGAGCAGATGTTCAACTGGGCAAATCATGATGGTAAGTCCGGTCTTGAAGTCATTCTAGTCATCATCGATCGTCTTCTTGGTCCTTCAGTTGAAGACAATGCCGCTGGTGAAGTCGGTGGTCTTGCTGCTGCCCTGGTTGAGAAGGCTGGATCTGATAGACTCGGTCCATACTTGGCACAGTTGTTGAGCGCCGTTGCTCACAGAGTCAACACTGCTACTCAAACACAAATCATTCAGAGTTTGATTCTTGTGTTTGCGAGACTGTCCCTGCTTTCAGCCAGAGAGGTTGTCGACTTCCTTGCCCAAATCGCTATCGGCGAAGAGAGTGGTTTGCAAGTCGTCTTGACAAAGTGGCTCGAGAATTCCATCAACTTTGCCGGCTATGATGAGATCAGACAGAAGTGAGTCCTCTAGCATCTCCTCGTGATACCTCTGACTAACCATAATCTNAGCATCATCGCCCTCTCGCGCCTTTATGACCTTCACGACCCCCGCCTCGACACGGTCCAAGTCAAGGGCGACATGATCATGCCAACGTCCACGCGCATCATGACTAGAAGCCGTGCCCGCGCAAACCCTGACCAATTCGCCATCATCCCCGCCCCTCTCAAGATTGTCAAGATTCTCGTCGACGAACTTCTCTCCAACAACGTCTCGCGTAGTGTCGAGACTCTTGCTCCAGCCTCTGAACTCGAAAAAGCAGAATCAGTCGGTAGTGGCGACTCGGACTGGGAAGATGAAGACGGTTTCTTGGACTTGGGTGCTGGCATGACCAAGGAGGCACTAATGGGTATGATTGCGGATGATATGCCGAGCAGGAGCAGAGATGACGAGACTCAAGGTTTCTTGCTTCAGTGGTTTGGAGTCAAGGCTCAGGAAGAGGGCTTCGGTGCGGTGTTCGGCCAGTTGACTGCTGGTGAACAGGAAAAGTTGAGGTCTATGGCTTGAAGAGTTGATGGTGAGGACGAAAAAATTGCATCAGCGGTACATATCCAGGATTGGTTATGCATTAAGCACAAAGCATCGGTTACATTTGCATCTCGTGTTTCTTCGGTCACCTCGCTCAAAAGACGAATTCATGTTGTGTTGATGTAATGGTTACTGCAGAAGCGGGTTACATATACCGCATGCTGATCGCTCCGTCCATCAGAAAATCAAGGCCAGCAGAGTAGATGATTTGGCGACGGTCGATCTTCGGCCATAAAAAGGTGTAATCCGAGACGTCGCGGTATCACTGTTTTCCCATGATGGGTCAAACATAGCGAGTCCTCCATCAATGGTGACAGGACATCTGGCTCATGATCTTTTGCATACACTAGCAGATCTTGACAGCAAAGACAAGCTCCTCGGAATCAGCTCCTTGCTCAGAACCACAGAGTCACAAAACACCATAAAGCATCCTGTAGAACTCGCAGGGTTTCTCGTGTCACTATGGCTGTTGACATATCTCGTACGTCGACGGTTGAACTTCTGATGGCCTGATACAAAAGCTAATCCAATCAAGATACGCCATCTGATGCTCCGATCCGCAAGGACCTTGATGGTCGCATTTCGCATGCAAGACGATCGTGACGTGAAGAACAGTGCGCGACCAACACATGCCAACCTAGGATTCCTCCAGCATGCCCTTGGTTCTCGCAGAAAACTAAGCAGAGATATTAGTCTGGGTGTCACATACAACGTGACTTGCCTGATTCTCACCCAACTGCTGTCGTGCATATCTGTAAATCTAGTCTGGAGCATCATTGCTAGAATCGCGATTGGTGCACTCTTGGCCAACTTGCATCTCCGTTGGACATGTGTTATTCTTTCCTCGAACAAGCAGACACGATCGCGTATCCTATCGTTCCCGCATAGAAACCTCATATTGTCGTTTGCAATGTACACGCTTGCGCAAGAAATTNNGACTGCAAGACTACCTGCATACATCAGCAAAACACTATCAGGAAACCATGCAAACAGCCTTGGGAGTCTTCACACTGTTGCTATTGCCGATTCTGTCGTTTTGGTCACTGCTCTGTGTTTACGATTACTTGTGCTGTATCTCGCTTATGCCACATACATCAAAACCGAGTCCCAACACGTCAGCTCGATGGGCCTAGCATGGACAGAATCAAACGCCTCTACTGAGCACGTGGTTTTGGGACTGAGTGCATATGCTCAGAGGGCAAGGATTTGCTTCAAGAGAACTGCACTTTGGTTTGCATTGTTGCATCTACAAACAGTATTCATACTCGCCGTCATCGAAATCCTGACAGCGCCTCTTCTTCACAAGATTGTTGTTTGAGCGGATTGCACAAAACGAGCACGAGGACAAGGTCAAGCTCGTCACGATATTAAAGCGACATGTTGATCACAAAACCATACCATAGTGTTCGAAGCAGCATATCACTTATCCTCGCCAAATTGCTGGATCGCTTACTGTTTTAGATCTCATTGCATGGTGCGGATAGTGATGTATGTCTCCACGAATCCTGATAGGCTTAGCACTTGAGGATGAGGACCAACTACGGTTCGAGGCCGAAGTTACAAGCCAAGATTCATAGCAAGTAGTGTTCCAATAATCATGCCGGTCCTCTAGCATCGCCTAGATCAACATCATGCTCTTCACTGGCACCACCTCTACCTTCATACAGCAATCCCCTCTCTTCACCTTCATCGCCTTCTCTGAGCACACCACTCCCAATACCTCTAACCCTCCTATGCGCATCCTCATCCTCTCTAGCTCCAGCAACCCTCCCTCCACTCTCGTCTCCTCCATTGACAACGAACCAAACATCTTNTTTGGTAAGCAAACCTTTCAAAACACCTCTATCGCAGAAGCCTAGGTATCGAAGTCCTAGCCGTTGGAAGTAGTTGACACACAACTCTAATCCGATGGCTGAGTTTAGGGTTATGGGTGTTTGGTCAATCCAAGGGCGGAGGTCGAGGGTATGTTCTACATCGGCAAGAGGTTGATGGGAGAAGAAGCACTGGGTATGTGGTGGCAGGTTTCTCGTCGTGGTTGCGGAGGTCAAAGCAAAAGACAATTCCGTTCTTGAGATATAACCAAGTAATATCGCATCGTGAGAATTCGAGATTACTGGGAAACCCCTGTACGAGTATTCCTTGAGCAAGTTGCCCAGAGATTCGATTGTGCTGCCCTCAGCAGTAATGGTGACTAGATCTTCCAGTCTTGTCATGATCTGCGAGACTGGGATATCAGGGATAGGTCTGTCGTCGCGGTTGTCGAGAAATGGGTATTCGTTGAACGCGATCCAGGCTTCGTAGATACCGCGTTTGCCCAGCGCGTCACCAACCCATTTCGCAATCATGACAGCGATCATGATGGGAAGGACGTAAGTAAGAGCACCGGTAAGTTCGAACATGATGACCACAATGGAAACAGTCATTCTGGTTGCGCCAGCAAGAGCAGAAGCTGCTCCGACAATGGCATAAGTCCCAGGAGTAATGCATGGAACGTCGGGCTCGCAAGAAGCAAAAACGATCCACTTAGGATGTTCGCTTTGCCAGACTTCGACGATGAGACCTATGACACGGCCATAAAGGGCGCCAATGGTCATTGATGGCAGTAGGATTCCGGCGGGGATTTGAAGACCAAAGGTCAAGGCTGTGAAGAAGAAGCCGATAATGGCTGAAATGAGCAGCAAGAAGATGACTCCAGTGTTGGCGATTCCACTCTTGCATAGACCAAGAGGGTCAGACTGAATGTCTTTGCACTCTGCAAAGAGGTAGTAGACCAATTCAGAAGCTTGAGCGCGCAGAAAGGTGACGGGAAAGGCGATGACAGAAGTGGCGATGGTGATTATGCAGACCTCTAGTATGGGTCTACCCTTTAGTGGGTAACGAGGTGAGTCTCGAAGTGCCGCCAGATGCATGTTCAGCTTGATTAGTAGCCCGCCATAGAGGCCTCCAAGTACACCGATTATGGCGTATGCAACCATTTCGAAACCGTGCCAGCCAGTATGATACGTCACAGAGTATGGCACGGTCTTGCCAGTACGAAAGGGATCGACTGCCTTGAGAGTGAAGGCGGCAATCATGGCGCAGACAAACGACTGCCACATGGTCTTGTCGGGAAAGTAGTACGAGAGAGACTCGAGACTGAACAGTACACCACCAACGGGTGCACCGAAAGCGACCGAGATTCCAGAAGCAGAAGCGGCGGACAAGACCTCACGCTTACGAGCTGTGACATGTTAGTATGGCTTTTGATGTGTAAGGATACTTAACATACCCTCATTGCTGTTGATACTTTCGAAAGGCTTCATGAACAGATTGGCGCAACAGCAGGCGACATGAACAAGCGGGCCCTCCTTGCCAAGCCACAAACCAGAAGCCACTGCAAGACATAGGCCGACAGACTTGGTGACCAAGGTCCAGATGCCCATGAAGCGACGAATTACGAACCCTCCAAGTACAGTCTTGATCTCGGGTATACCACTTTGCTTGGCATATGATGAGAATCTAGTGACGAGACATGTAGCGACAGAAGCAAACAAGACCTAGACATATCAGCTCGCGAACTCTCCATTTTTCGCAGGCTTGCATACCGAGTAGCCAAGGTACAAAACAAAGTTGATAATCCAGCTGCCAGCGCTAGATGTGACACCCATTCCATGACTCCATGACTGCCAGTCCGGACATGATTGATAGTCTTTTTGACCCCAGCAACAGAAAGCACTGTTCAGATAGAACTTTCCACCGTCTTTGACGTTACTGCAGTAGCCAACCTTGAGGTCGCCCAACCAGCCACTGGTGATGTCGATGGCAGCAGCAATAGTACCGACAGCGATTCCAGTAGCGACCAAGATGATCCAAGTCTGACTGTTGTCGGCGAGTAGTTGAAAGTATCCTAACAGGCCAACTGCGTTGGATCGCAGCACTCTCAAGCGTTGTCTTTCTTTTGCGTATTCAAATATCCAGTCGATGGCAGTCAGGTTGTCGTAGCCAACACGGCGACCTGGACCCTCGACATACCAGTCTAGAGCTGAGGGGTCTTTTGCATCTTGTGCGACGGCCGGAGTGTTGAGGTAGGAGAGGATGTTGGCAGTAGTGGGCTGGACGGGAGAACGCGAGCTGACACGGCGCTGTTGTAGATGCGATGTGTGACCATACGCAGGGGACGGGCTACGGCTGGTCGACAGGGGCGAGGGTAGATATGCAGACGAGGTTCGGACGTTGGACTTGAACGAGAGGTGCGTGTTTAGGTCACCATCACGGTTGTCGTCGACCGGAGACTCGACGTATGGCGACTCGTATGGATTGCGACTGGACTCGGCCTCGACAGCTTCATTGCTGTGAGAGTTGGAGGGAGATGCTGACATGAGGCATGCGATGCAGCCTGCTGAATTCTAGTCGGTCAAAATGTCATGTTGGATGTTTGAGAGCGGTTGTCGCATCCTCCATGCTTCCTTCTCCTTGCGGCTCGCGCCCCACTGTTTCGAGGCCATCCATGAACATATCTACAAACCCCCATTTTCAACAGATTCTACTTGTAAGAAGTAACGTGTGATACCGATCATGGGGCCTTACGATGTATCACCTCGTGATGAATTGAACATGTTTACCAAAATTTGGACCATCTAACAGATGCGCGCTGGTAACATTGAGCTGAGTGCGTGTTTGGACAAAGTCATCTACAAAGCATATTCTTCACTCGTCTGTCCGCCACATCATGAGTTCGAGCCTGAGATCAGTACACCAGGCTGTAGAGATGCGCATCTTCATCTTCATCAAGTCAGATTTCAATATCTAGCACGAAAAATAGAGCTAGATGTGTTTGGTGCTTGATTTTGCTTGTAATTAGAGTAACCCTGTCCAGAGAGAGGTTGATCTTCGAGATGGATATGTTTCTTCAGACTAACTACAATACTGCCTGGTTCTTTCGAATCCATCCTGAAATCAAGTCATGTCTCGTTTGACAATATATGCGGGTAGGAGATATCTTGAATGTGGTAGAAGTTTTTGTACACCATAAGCTTGCCCCAATATAAGTACATAAAACGCCGTCACATGTATGCCATGTTTCATCTGAGAAGAAGGAAAAGAAGAAAGGGAGCATCTACTCCATGACGACAACGGCACCAAGAGCCTTGAGTGTCTCGACAATCTTCTCACCCTCCTCCTTGGGCACACCCTCCTTCATGAGCTTGGGTGCACTCTCGACAAACTTCTTACTGTCAACCAGAGACAGACCCAACAGACTCTTGATCTCCTTGATGACCTTGGGCTTGGATCCAGCGTCGAATGACTGGAGCTTGAGGTTGAACAGAGTCTTTTCTTGTGCGGCAGGAGCGGCCTCCTCCTCTTCGACGGCGGCAGGAGCAGCGGCGGGGCGGCACCAGCAGCGAAACCACCAACGGGCAGATCAGGAATGTTCAGGCGGGTCTGAAGGAATCCGTTAGTAGTGCTATGTCAAACGGCGCATTGTCTACTGACCTTGAGCGAAGAAACAAGGTCGGCAGTCTCGAGGAGGGTCAATTGGCCGATTTGGTCAACGATGGCGGCGATCTTGGGGTTGGTGGGAGCAGCAGCGGCCTCGGTGGATTGCCATCTCCTTGAGAGGAAGTGGTTGGTCTGGGTGGATGAGAGAGAGGCGCGGACGATGGGCGACTGGACGGTGGCGCATCGCCTGAGGACGCGTTGGCAGGAGAGCGACATGATGGTGAGATGTGAGAGAGGTGGAGGATTGGCGAACTCGAGACGGAAGGTGCGACGGCGGTATACAAGACTCGTGACTGCCTTTGATCTTGTGCTTTCAAACTGTTCCTTCCTCAGATTTCCCACGCCTGCGGCCCGTGCGTCGGATTTGCGGCGAAGGCAAGAACCTCCGAAGCTTTGGATTCTTTGAACATTTCCAGTTCGAGAACTTTTTTCTCGACAACAACTTTCCCACCATTTTCTTGTCGCCAGAATGGACGTATCATGGGAAACACACAACCTGGCATCGCGCATCTCACAATTACCGCCAGAACTCGCTGAAGCGTTACAACAAGGCGACGGCGCACACTTTCTGGCTCAACTTAGCAGAGCCGTTCTCGACAGACGATACACGGATACCATTTTGATTCACGCCGAATCCTTGATCCCACACTGCTGCGCCGAGTTCCACACTTCTTCCGACTACGTCTCGGTCGTCGCCGCATACGCTCGTCTCGTCTCGCTCGCTCCTCACATTTCCGAATACGCCGAGCGCTACCTTAGTTCGCATAATGTCGATAGCATTCCCGACTCAAATCTTTTCACAACCGAATACTTCTTTGCCATAATCCGCTTGTTGCGATTCGATCGCCAGACCTTTGCCAAGTTTGTGCCCTTTTCACGGATACATCTATTGCTCGACCACAATGCTCGTGCGCTGCGTTATCTTGCAATCCGTGTGCTATGTCTGTATCTGAGCGCCGCAGATGCTGCTCTACAAGACATGACCAACAAGTACCTCGCCAACGATGCTGGAACCCAGGACTTGATTGCACCGCTGGGATCGTGGGAGGACAAGGAGATTGACTACCGTCTTCTCACTCTGTGGGAGGAGCGTCGCCTGAAGAACCTGGAGAAAGAGAAGGAAGCTTTACAACAAGAACGTGCTGCATACATGGATGCTGGAAATGCTCCTAGACAGCCCGTCGTCTTGCCAGCCGAACTCTTCCACCCTTCGACAGCATGCATCTCAGGCGTCTTGCTGCCTCGTGGTGCTGCTCCTACGGACGCCTCGACAAACTCAATCATCGACACTCCCACAACGGCCGCAAATCTGGGTGAGCTGGCCACTTCGCTGAAGGCACAGAACCCGGTACTATTGACAGGTCTTGCTGGTTCTGGAAAGACGCTACTGGTGCGTCATGCTGCACGTCAGCTGAACAAGCTAAAGTCGATGGTCACACTACACTTGAACGAGCAGAGTGACGCAAAACTGCTCATCGGAATGTACACAACTGGCAAGAACCCTGGGTCTTTTGTCTGGCAGGCTGGTGTTTTGACGACTGCCGTTCTCGAGGGTCGCTGGGTGTTTATCGAGGATCTGGACCGCGCACCGAACGACATCATAAGCACTTTATTACCCTTGATCGAGAGAAACGAACTTGTGATCCCCAGCAGAGGCCAAACGATACACGCAGCTAGAGGCTTCCGCATCATTGCTACCATGCGTACCTCCCTGTCAAACAGCGGCCACGAGACTAAACCTGCCTACAACTTGCTGGGTGCTCGCCACTGGAAGTCTGTACATGTCAGCATGCTACCGTCAGAAGAGCTTAAACAAGTTGTAGTTGGTCTCTTCCCGACGCTGCATGAGTTTGCTTCACAGTTCGTTACGGTCTTCCAAAATCTGCAATTACTCAAACAACAAGCACATCTCGCAAGTCGCAGCAAGACTGGTCTGATGCGTGAGGTCAATCCGAGAGATTTGCTCAAATGGTGCGCCAGAGTAGCCCTTATGCTTGGAAACAGACCAAACATGACTGCTGGTGAGCTCGATCAAATTTTCCTCGATGCTGTTGATTGTTTCGCTGGCGCTTTGCCGGAAGGCACCGCTTACTCCACTCTCACTTCATGCATCGCCGAGAACCTGCAAATCGATCCCCAACGCTGTCAGCATCTACTAGGCGAGAGGACCATCATTCACAAGGAGGAACCCTCACGAGTCACCATCGGCCGTTCGGCCTTTTCCCGTCAACAGCGGAAAGGACTCGCTGGTCTCACCGGCAAGCGCGCCTTCTCAACGAACGCACACACCCTCCGTCTACTTGATCGTGTCGCTGTGGCTGTATCGCAGAAAGAGCCTCTTCTCTTGGTTGGTGAAACTGGTACTGGTAAAACTACTAGCGTTCAGCACCTTGCAGACCAGCTTGGCAAGAAGCTTGTGCCTTTCAACTTGTCTCAACAGAGCGAAAGTGGCGATCTTCTTGGTGGCTTCAAGCCCGTCAATGCTCGCTCCATCATCATACCCTTGAAGGAGGAGTTCGACGATTTGTTCTCGGCCAGTTTCTCGTACAAGCGAAATGCTCAGTTCATCGAGACGCTCAATAAATGCATGGGCAAGCAACAGTGGGTTCGTGTATGCAAATTGTGGAATACAGCTCTTGGTATGGTAGAACAACAACGAGTTGCTGCTTTGCAAGCTGGCTCCAGATCTCCCTCTAGGAATGCTGAGAACCCTGCCAAGAAGCGCAAGGTCGAGCCAGCCATGAGTGCTATTCTGAGTGGAAGATGGGACAAATTCGCTTTGGAAGTCAAGAGCCTCGAGAAGCGTCTCTCTGCTGGTCAGGAGGCGTTTGCATTTGCCTTTGTCGAGGGAAACATTGTCAAGGCCGTCAGAAATGGCGACTGGGTCCTTCTTGATGAGATCAACCTGGCTTCACCAGATACGTTAGAAGCACTGGCTGACTTGTTCGATGTTAGCTCACCCTCTCTTATGTTGAGTGAAGCTGGTAGCGTCGAGGTCATCAAGGCTCATCCTCAATTCCGTGTCTTTGCTGCTATGAACCCTGCGACCGATGTGGGTAAGAAGGACTTGCCTCTCGGTATTCGTTCAAGATTCACCGAGCTCTACGTGGAGAGTCCGGACCGTGACTATCAAAGTCTGCGTAACATTGTCCAGGCTTACCTTGGTCAGGAGGCAGTTTTGGACAGATCTATTGCCTCAGATGTGGCTAAGCTGCACCAAGCGACGCAAAAGCTGAACGAAGAGAATCTGCTTGTCGATGGCGCTGGTCAGAAGCCGCATTTCAGTTTGAGAACGCTGACACGTGCTTTGATCTATGCAAAGGATGTCTCGCCGCTCTGCTCAATTCGACGAGCTGTTGCAGAGGGTATTCAGATGAGTTTCTTGACCTTGCTCGACAAGGAGTCTGAAGCTCGTCTGTTACCACTCATCCACCAGCATATGTTTGGTAAACTCGCAAATGCTGCAGCCGAGCTCAAGAAGCCCTTCCGTCAGNNCCCTCAGGATGGACACACCTATGTCAAGGACGGAGCTTACTGGCTCAGACAAGGCAACTTTACAGTGCACGATCAACCGCACTACATCATCACGCCTTTCATCCGTCGCAATCTCGATAACCTCATCCGTGCTTCTTTTACTCGCCGCTTCCCTGTCTTGATTCAAGGTCCTACCTCTGCCGGAAAGACCAGTATGATTGAGTACCTGGCCAACAAATCTGGAAACAAATTTGTCAGAATCAACAACCATGAGCACACTGACTTGCAAGAGTATTTGGGTACATATGTTTCTGGTTCAGACGGTCGTCTGCAGTTCCAGGAAGGTGTTTTGGTGAAGGCTCTGAGAGAGGGTCATTGGATTGTGCTCGATGAGTTGAACTTGGCACCTACCGATGTCCTTGAAGCTTTGAACAGACTACTTGATGACAACAGAGAGCTGCTCATCCCCGAGACTCAAGAGACTGTGCGCCCTCATGAGAACTTTATGCTTTTCGCCACACAGAATCCTGCTGGTTTGTATGGTGGCCGTAAAGTTCTTTCACGTGCTTTCCGCAACCGTTTCCTTGAGCTCCACTTCGATGATATCCCAGTCGAGGAGTTACACACCATCCTTCAACGCCGTACTCAGATTCCCGACACATGGTGCAAGCGTATTGTTAGTGTCTACAGAGAGCTCTCGGTATTGCGCCAAGAGAACCGCTTGTTTGAGCAAAAGTCTTTCGCGACTTTGCGTGATCTCTTCAGATGGGCACTGAGAAAAGCAGACACGATCGACGAGCTTGCTGTCAATGGTTTCTTGCTCCTTGCCGAGAGAGTCCGCAAGCCTGAGGAGCGTGACGCAGTAAAGAAAGTCATCGAGAAAGTCCTTGGACAGAAAGGACCCAAGGTATCGATTAACACTAGTATGCTTTACGGTGTCCAGTCTCCATTGCTGCAATCATACCTCACTCAGGCTGGCTCGAAGGGTGTTGTCTGGACGAATGCCATGCGCAGGCTCTATGTCCTGGTTGCAACTGCTCTCCAGAACAACGAACCAGTCCTGTTGGTTGGTGAAACTGGTTGCGGTAAGACTACCGTTGTTCAAATGCTTGCCGATGCCATCCAAAAGGAGTTGCACATCGTCAACGCACACCAGAACACCGAAACTGGTGACTTGATTGGTGCTCAAAGACCTCTGAGAAACAGAGCGGCGATCGAGCTGCAGGTCCGTGAGATGCTTATGTCGCTTCCTCATGCCGAGATTCAGGAAGCTGCAACTACATCCAGTGTTGATGAGCTGCTTATCGTCTACGACAAGGTCAAGGCCAATGCAGACCTGAGCGACCCCTACACTGCCCAGATCTACCAGGCCATCGATGCCAATCGTCCACGACTGAAGGCATTGTTCGAGTGGGCCGACGGTTCTCTCGTCCACGCAATGAAGACTGGTCAGTACTTCCTGCTCGATGAAATCTCACTCGCAGACGATTCAGTCCTAGAGCGTCTGAACAGCGTGCTTGAACCTTCACGAGAGATGCTTCTTGCCGAGAAGGGATCGCTTGACTCGTTCGTTNNAAAAGCACAACCTGGCTTCCAGTTCTTCGCTACCATGAACCCTGGTGGTGACTACGGCAAGAGAGAGCTGTCACCGGCTCTGCGTAACCGTTTCACCGAGATCTGGGTGCCCGCGCTATCCGATATCGAAGACGTCCTGCAGATCATTCGTTCTAAGCTCAAGGACCACGCGGCGCCATACGCAAATGTTCTCGTCGAGTTTGCTCAATGGTTCAACCAGCGCTACAACACTTCTGCTGCATCCTCCATCTCCATTCGTGACACTCTCGCTTGGGTGGAGTTTGTCAACCGTCAGCCACACCGTGATCCTGTCTTCTCCATCATCCATGGTGCGGCTATGGTCTACATTGACACTCTTGGTGCCAACCCCGCTGCACTTCTCGCAATCAACCCTGGCACTGTCAACTACGAAAGGTCGCAGTGTTTGGATGAGTTGAGCAAGCTCATCAAGGCCGATGCATCTGCAGTCTACAACTCGCCGATCCACGTGGAAGTCACCGATGAGGTCTTGGAACTTGGCGCTTTCTCCATCCCAGTCATCACCAAGGGCAATGAGCCCGGTTTCACCTTCCTGGCACCGACAACCAGATCAAACGCCATGCGTGTCATTCGTGCTCTCCAGCTCACCAAGCCCGTTCTGCTCGAAGGTAACCCTGGTGTAGGAAAGACTACTCTGGTGACGGCCTTGGCACAAGCGATTGGCATGCCCTTGACGCGTATCAACCTGTCAGAGCAGACTGATCTGATGGATCTCTTTGGTTCTGATGTCCCTGTCGAAGGTGCTGAAGCTGGTACATTCGCCNNTGAGCGTGATGCACCATTCTTGCGAGCTATGAAGAATGGTGAGTGGGTATTGCTTGACGAGATGAACCTTGCCTCCCAGTCAGTACTGGAAGGTTTGAATGCTTGTCTTGATCACAGAGGTGAGGTTTACATCTCTGAGCTGGATCAGACATTCCGCCGCCACCCAGACTTCAGACTGTTCGCTGCGCAGAACCCTCATCACCAAGGTGGCGGCCGTAAAGGTCTGCCAGCCTCGTTCGTCAACCGTTTCACTGTTGTGTACGCAGATGTCTTCAGCCCTGAGGATCTTGTTCTCATCTGTCAAAAGTCGTTTGCCAGCTACGATGCAGACAAGATCGCTCCTATTGTGTCTTTCATCGATCAGTTGGACATTGAGACTCAGCGCAGAAAGATCGGTTCTCTTGGTGGACCTTGGGAGTTCAACCTGCGTGACACTCTACGTTGGTTGAACCTAATTACTGCTGAGCAAGGCTTGTTGAAGGGTGGTCAGGTTGATGGTTTCTTCTCTACCATCATCTCGCAGCGTTTCCGTACTCCTATGGATAGAGCACTGGTGACTCAACTCTTCCAGAGCATTCTGCCTGAAACTCCTGTTACCCACAGCATGTTCCACAACATCGGGCCCAAGCACTTCCAGGTTGGCTTGGGAATGCTTCAGAGAAATGCTCACCTGGCAAGAGTTGGCGCCGACCATCAATACTTTGACTTCAAGCCCTACCTTCGAGTCTTGGAGTCTGTCATGGTTGCTGTGCAGAAGAGATGGCCAGTCCTGCTTGTTGGTCCCTCTGGTTCAGGAAAGACTGCCATTCTGGAGAAGCTTGCAGCCGTCCTTGGTGTCGACATGGTTACATTTTCTATGAACGCTGACGTCGACTCCATGGATCTGGTTGGTGGTTACGAACAGTCAGAGCCCCAGCGTGCTATTCACAGTTTCTTGCAGAAGCTTCGCACCTTTGCCGCATTGCAGACTGTCCGTTGTTTGACTCTGGATGCGAACAAGTCTGCGCTTGAGGCACTACACCGTCTTCGCCAGCTGGTATCCAAGGCAGACACAAGTCTCATCACCACTGGCCGCAATGAAGTGACTCTTGAGATTGCTCATTTGCTCCAAAACTTCATCTCTGTTGCTCGATCGTCTGGGGATCTCTCGTCAAGCACTTTCATGATTGACGTTCCTGAGGCCGAAATTTTACTCGAGCAAGTCAACGCTCTGATCTCTAAGCCTACTGCCATCAGCCGAGCTCAATTCGAGTGGATGGATGGTATGCTTGTACAAGCATTGGAGCGTGGTNNGGAGTGGCTTGTCTTGGACAATGCCAACCTCTGCAGTCCTGCCGTCTTGGACAGACTCAACTCTTTGCTTGAGCCTAACGGTACACTCATCATCAACGAGAACACTGATGCTTCTGGTCAAGCTCGTATCATTGTACCACACCCGAACTTCAGAATCTTCTTCACCATGGATCCTAGATATGGTGAGCTGTCCAGAGCATTGCGCAACAGAGCTGTCGAGCTGTTCCTTCTGTCGCCAGCTTCGACCCCTGAACATTCTTCAAGCTTGGAGTTCTCGTCTGAGTCCAGCCTGCACAGATTCCGCAATACGGAAGTTCTTGAAAATATCGATGTTGAGAGTGCACTGACTCCCCACATCGCACGCACCGTCATAGAAAGTTTGTCACACCAAGACACTCCCATACTGTTTCAGTTCATGGCTGGCCTCGAAGCTGGGCTCTACCGAACCCCGAGCAATGTGCTTGACAGCAGCAAAAATGTCCAGTTCAAGTTCAAGACTCTGCACTCTTCTCAGGATGTCAACCAGCAGGTCATGCCTGAAGCTGCAGACTCTGCTATCCAGCCATTCCATCCTCTCAACAATGTAGCACTTGCTCGTTGCAGTCTTGAGCCGACCGAATGGGCTGCCGCCCTTTACGAGCTGGAATGGGACGTCCATTCTATGCAGGTTGCACTTGAGGAGGTCAGAAACCGTGATGTGCCTAAGCGCGAACAAACACGACTCCAGCGATCTGCTCACGGCCAGGGCCCCAAGCAAAAGCACTTTACGAGTAATGTCTTTGGGCTTCTTAGTGGTGCTGTCGATGTATGGTCAAGGTTCCTTGATGTTGCCGTTTCAGCAAAACAGCAAGGACAGCTTGTTGGACAATATCCTGTCGACACCTTCAAGCCTTGGAGAAGGTACTGGTGGGAATTCTTCAACTTGGTAGACTCCATCGATGTTGAAGAGGCAGTGTTCAAGGCATACATTGAGATTGGTATTCGTTTAGAGCAAACCAATGGTATCGAGTTCGCTGCCCGCTTCGCTGAAGAAGGCGCTCAAGCTGCCGAACGTTTCAGCTCATACTTTGTCCTGCCATTGGACCGAGCGTTCTCGCCAGATAACAAGGGCGCTTCGATGACTGCTCTTTGGACAGTCATGAGACCAAAGACCGCACGTAATTTCCAGCAACTGCAAGACATTATCGGATTGGAAGCTATGGCAGACAGATTTGACATCTTTGCTAGAAGACTCGATGCNCCCCTCGACCAGCTTCTACAATTGCAGCAAGCGTTTGGCAAGGCTTTGGCTGTTGTCTTGGATGGATCTGACGAGGCGCCTGCTCTTATCGCCAGTCTCAAGGAAGCCATGTCTGCGTTCAGTACCGAAGAGACCGAGATTGCGCATGTTTTGCCTCACTTCAAACAACAGTTCGAAGGTATCGCTCAGACGTTCGATCTTCTGTACGGCAAGGATATGTCACAGTACCCCCAATCAGGCATCTTTGGCGCGTTTGCTGGCAAGAAGCTGAGTGAGCAGTTGCAAGCACAGTTGCAGCGTGTCAACTTCCTGGCTTACAGACCCACCAAGTTCATCTCTGCTCAGCAAGGTGATATTTTCGAGCCACTCGGCAAACACGTAGGTTTCTACAGCGATGGTCAGAAACCATTGGCTTTAGAGACAAACCTTCACCAGCACGTTCTTGCTGGTCTTGACCACATTGATGAAGTGCCTCTGAGCAAATTGGACCTGCTCAGAACCGAGGCTCAGATCATGAGCCAGATCATCACAAGCAACACGCACGATCTGGAAGCCAACTACATTCATGTCTTGGATGGCCATCTTGCGGTGCTGGCGGACGTGCTCTTGCGCTCCTTGCGTGAGGTCTCTCGTGCAAAAGATATCAGACAAGCCGACTGGCAGCCCTGGATCGATTGGGCTTCCGAGTCTTTCCGCTCAGGTAAAGCAACTGCTGCCCCTTCCATGGCGTCAGCACAGGATGCCGCTAGCATTTGCAAGCTTTATCTCGACCCTCTAGTTGTCTACCTCGTTAATGCTTCTGCTGCACGTTCAACAGACCCGGCTGTCTCTTCCAGAGCATGGTTGAGATTTGCTCTCGGATGCATGTCGCTGTACATTACTAGCAAGCCTTCCGATCCCGCGCTACGTCCCATGCTTGACAGACAAATCTTCCGCAAGACATTTGCCGACCTTCAGACCAAGCTAGCAGCCTTGCAGCGTTTCGCTGATGCAACCGGTCTTTACTCTTCGCTTCGTACCGCTTTGGTCAAGCAAGAAATCACTGATCTTGGACAGGAACCTAGTGTTCAAGACATTGCCCGACCTTCTGTGTCAGAGATCACCAAGCTGCAAGGTGAACTCAACGCTCTGCAAAGAGCACTGGCCCCTCTATATAATGCTTCCGAGGATATGCTTGTAGGCTTTGCCAAGGATGCCGTCTTGCGCCAGAATGTCAGACAGGTCAAGGCTCGTCTCAGTGATGGTTACCGTGCCTATGCCGATATTACTGGACCTGTCATGGGCTTCTTGCACTGTCTCGAAGTCGGTTTCGCGCTTGCCAACCTTGTGCCCGAGGACGATGTCAAAATGGAGAACACTGTCGACATCAAGCACTTCTCACCTCTTACTGGTGCATTGCCCGACTATGTCCAGAAAGCCACTGCCATCACTGCTGTCATGGAGGTACCTCACCACAACAACGTCAGAATGCATGCCTTGTCGTCTTTCGCTACCATGAGTCGCATCATGCCAGAGACTAAGCTTTCAACCTGGGATGCTGTTTTTGATATCTTCGACTTTATGTATCAGCAATGGCACATTGAGCTGCAGAACAACCAGCAGCAGAATGCCGCCGACCACAGTCTTTACACTCACCGTGGTGACGAAGAAGCAGAGGAAGAAGCTGATCAAGCTGAATTGGCAGAACTCTTCCCCGAGTATGATACTGAGGAAAGTCCTGAGACTCAGAACAAGTCGGCCGCACCTCAGAAAATGCAAGCTCTGGCTCCAAGTCTTGCCACCGTACTTGCCGAGATTTACAAGAAGGGCGACGCTAACGAGGATGACCTTCTCGCGTTGGTCAAGAAGTCGGCATCGCTGCTTGGCAAGCAGTCCTACGAACAAACCATCGAGAGTGTTGATGGCTCAAGTGGTATTCTCACTCCTTTGCTTGTTCTCATCCTTCAAGAAAAGACTCAGATGTTGAATGGCTCTGGTTTCAAGAAGAATCTGTACAACATCTACACTGAAGCCAACCTCGCTGAAGCCGACAAGCTTATCTCGTTGATCAGAAAGGTGCAGGCTAGATTCAGAGATATCCAGCAGGTGTGGCCTGAACACGCTACGCTTGGTGATGTCTTGCGTATCTGTGACGAACTTCTCGAGTTTGCCCACACTGATCCTGTTGCCAAGATCATGACCAAGGTCGAGAAGCTTCACTCTTATGTTCACGAATGGCAAGTTGTTGCCAGCAGAGAGTACAGTGCGGCCGCGCTTTATGACAGCATCACCGGTCTCATTGTTAGCTGGAGACAACTTGAGCTGTCCACATGGTCAAGACTGCTTGATATGGAGACCATCAAGTGTAACGAAGACGCCAAGAGCTGGTTCTACATTGCCTACGAGAACATTGTCGTCGTGCCATTGTCAATTGGCGAGACTGAGACTGAGATGAAGACTCACGTCACCGAACTCATCAAGACATTGTACGGCTTCTTCACATCGACTGGTCTCGGTCAATTCAGTGCTCGCCTGAGAATGTTGGGCAACTTCCGCGAGTACATCAAGACTCGTGCAGCAATTTTCCCTTCGTTCAGCATTGCACACACTGCTCTGACCAACTTTGTTGCCTACATGGCACGTTATGAGCCTTTGGTCAACCAAGCCCTTGACACAGGCAGACAGAAGCTTGAGAAGGACATGAAGAACATCATTCAGCTCGCTAGTTGGAAGGACACGAACATCGATGCATTGAGACAGAGCGCCAAGGCCTCTCATCGCAAGCTCTTCAGAGTCGTCCGCAAGTTCAGAGTTCTTCTCGCACAACCTGCCCAGAGTATCGTCTCAGCAGGATTGCCTGACATTGCCTTCTCAGAGACTCCTACCGCTGCTGGCCTTCGCAAGACTGAGATCCCTGTTGATCCCAAGGCATCCGCTTTGTGCACTGAAGTGGTGCCCAAGTGGAATGAACGACCTGCTCGTTTCAAGAACACTGCCACGACCTTGACGGTCATGCAGTCCAAGGGTGCCATCAAGTCCGAGCACATTGATTGTGCTTCTGAGATCAACACATGGCTTTCTGATACTGAGTCGATTGCTGCCCAGCTTCGTAAAGCCACACCAACAACTTTGACAGAGGAGAACAGTGAGACTGTCAAGCATCTCAAGAACCGTAAGCGCAAGCTCTTCGCCGATGTTCTCAAGGAGCTCAGGAACATGGGCTTCAAGAGCAATATGACAAGTGATGTGTTGGCTGGACAGGACTCTTTGCAAGCAGTGTTGGCTGCCATTCCTATCATGGATAAGGACTTATCGGAAAACTACCTGCATCGTCTACTCTACCTCATGCCTCTGGTCAGAGAAGCCGCCAGAGAACATTCGGACGATTTGACTGGTGCTGAGATTGCACGATCTGTGGCACTCTGCGAAAGTATGCTGCAGGTCTTGATTCAACAAAGAAATGTCCTCGGATCTATTACTGAAGGTCAGAAGACTCTGGAGACCCTACTCAACCAGGCCGGAAGCCTTTGGGGTAACGGCAAGCTTGAACTCAGTGGCAAGAAGAAGCAGAGCTACGATGTTATTACTGCTATTGCTTGTTTGCCTGTTATGATCAAGTCTGCTGCACGCATTGTTGCTTCTCAAGCCGAGCTCGGTAAGCTTGACTGCGACAGTGTCGTCAAGAGTCTGGGACAGTGGGCTGTCAAGTTTGAGAGCTTCAAGACACAGTGGCAAGCTCTTGCCGCACTGCCTGCTGGAATCACCAGTGACCATCATACCAAGGTCATTGAGGAGAGCAAGGTTGCGATGCAAGAGCTGCACACTGAGCTCACTGTTTGCATCGAGCAGCATCCCTACCTCGGAGCCACTCTCAGACAGCTTCAGCTCTGGGCATCAGCCACCGACAGCACTTCAAAATCGAAGAAGATCTCGCGCAAGACATCTATCCAGATCGACGAGTTTGGACAAGCAGCCTGTAACTTGGTTGACTCTATTCTTGGTTCTGTTCAAGACCTTGAGAAGCCGCTCAGTCAACTTCCCGTGTCTGCAGAAGACCCTAACTGGCTCCTTCACGAGAGTCAGAACTTGTCTCTCGCTGCCAAGACTTTGCGCCTCCCTCATGTTATGACCCGTATGCAAGAGCTCATGTTGCAGGTACCACAGCTTGACACCAACCTCGACGTTGCTGCTGCAGTGGTGCACTCTTTCGTTCCTTTCATTGCTCAGTACAACAATCTTGCAGTGTACCTGTCTTCTCGTCTTGAGAATCTTCATGCAGCTCTTGGTCAGATGTCCTTCCGTCTTGCAAAAATCTTCGTCCAGCTATCGAAGGAGGGCTTCTGTACGCCTCCTGAGAAGTCAAACGATCAAAATAAGGGCGACGACAAGCTTGAAGGTGGAACTGGTCTAGGCTCTGGAGAAGGCGCCGAAGATATCTCCAAGGACATTGAAGACGATGAAGACCTCGGTGAGCTTGCACAAGAAAAGGATGATCGCGACGACAAAGACGAGATTGAAGATGAAAAGGATGCTGTCGACATGGGCGATCAAGAAATGGAAGGTCAGATGGGAGATGCTGAAGAGAAGGATGACGAAGAAGGAAGTGACAAGGAAGATGAAGGCGAAGATGAGATGGAAGATGAAGTCGGCGATGTCGATGATCTTGGTCCATCCACCGTTGATGAAAAGATGTGGGATGATGGCGGTAAGGACGAAGACAACAAGGACAAGGAAGGTGAAAACAATGCCGGCACAGAAGACCAGAATGAGATGACTGCCGCTGATGGTGAAGAGAAGGATGAGAAAGAGAAGAAAGAGAACGATGATGATGCCGAGGAAGAGGAGGATGAGGGCGAGCAGCAAGGTGCTGACGAGACTGAGAATGGTCCTCCTGACGAGACTGANAAAACCGATCCTCACTTGCAAGAGCAGGATAACCTTGAGCTTCCTGATGACATCGACATGGACGGCAAATCTGAAGATGGCGATGAGTCGGGTATGGAAGACATGGGTGACATTGATCCCATGGACGAGGACCTGCCTCAACCTGAAGGTGAACAAGAAGGCGAAATCGACGATCCAAGCAAGGAGGAAGACGTCTCACCCGATGATGAGATTCCTGCCGATCTCGACGCTCAACAAGACGAAGCCGACGAGAACGCTGATGAGGATGGTCAAGATAAGACCAACGAAGTCGGTGAAGACGCCGAGAAGCCTGAAGAGGAAGAGGAAGCTCAAGAGGATCAAGACATGCTTCAAGACAACCGCAAGGATGACACCAATGCTGCCGATGAGATCGCACCCAGCGAAGCCCAAGGTGCCGGTCTCGATGATCAAGAGCCTCAAGACGACAACAAGGACAATGATGCAGGCGCTGCTCAACGAGAGTCTGGCGAGCAAGGCGCTCAACAAGAACAGCAACAACAAGCAGGTGCTGAAGGTGAACGAGGTGTTGCCGAGAACGCTGCAGCCGCCGCAAACGAGGAAAAGACAGAAGACAAGCAAGAGTCGATGCCTTACAANAAGATTGGCGATGCTCTTGAGAAGTGGTACAAGCAGCAGAAGCAGATTCAAGATGCTCAGGCCGACAAGGAGGAACGCAAAGAACAGCCTCCTACCGATGTCGACATGAATGACGCCGAGTTTGAGCACTTGCAGAACGAAGCCGAGGAGTCTGATGCTCAGGCTCTTGGTGCCGCTAACGAGGATCAAGCCAAGGCTATCGATGAAGAGGCTGGTGTTTCGACCAACGACAAGGAGCAAAGAGAGGATTTCATGCCTGAAGATGAGGAAGAGGGTGAAGCTTACCGTCCAGACGAGGATGTCGAGATGGGCGACCGCGAGGAAGACGACAAGCAAAACCCAGAAGGCGGCGCCGACAATATTCCCAACGCCTTTGTTGGTGAAGCTCAGTCTCGCGAGGATACTCTTGACCAAGACGGCCCCGGAGCTCAAGAAGACAACGATGATTCGATCGAAGAAGTCGACCACCAACTCGAGTCTGCCCACATATCATCTATGGCCGATCTACCTACCTTGTCACTCGATGACGCAAGAGCATTGTACAACACCCACGAGTCGTCGACTCGCAACCTCTCTTTACTCCTCGCCGAACATCTTCGTTTGCTCCTCACGCCCACCCACGCCACAAAGATGCGTGGTGACTACCGTACGGGTAAACGTCTGAACATCAAGCGCATCATTCCTTACATTGCTTCCTCGTACCGTCGCGACAAGATCTGGATGCGCCGCTCTGTGCCATCCAAACGTCAATATCAGATCATGCTCGCCATCGACGACTCGCAGTCCATGTCTGAAGGTGGAGCCCAAACTCTCGCTTTCGACACCATGGCCTTGCTTGCACGCGCCCTGTCGATCCTCGAGGCTGGTGAATTGTGTATCCTTGGATTCGGTGAAGATGTCAGCGTCAAACTGCCTTTCGAAACACCATTCACCGCTGAAGCAGGAGCAAATGTCATCAGAGGCTTCAACTTTGAGCAAACGAGAACAAACGTCAAGACTCTGGTTCAGAAGTCACTGGACTTGTTCAGGGCTGCTAGAGTCAGAGCACAAGGCGCAAGCTCTGAGTTGTGGCAACTGCAATTGATCGTGTCTGACGGTGTCTGTGAGGACCACGCAGGCATTCGCTCGCTGGTGCGTCAAGCACATGAAGAACGCATCATGATGGTCTTTGTCATCGTCGACGCCACTGCAACCGCCCCTCTGTTTCTGGCACCGCCACACCATCCGCCAATACCCTCACCTCTTCGCTCAGCAACAATGGCTNNCTGCAGCCCCTCTGGTGCTGCTACTCCCGCTGCCCAAAACAAGAAAAAGAATTCGAGTATCTTGGACTTGCAGACTGCGGAATTCGTCAAGGATCCTAATACTGGAGAGATGAGTGTGAGGACTGTCAAGTATCTAGATTCTTTCCCATTCGGTTATTATTTGGTGGTTAGGGATGTTAGNGAGTTGCCTGGTGTGCTTGCTGGTGCGTTGAGGCAGTGGTTTGCTGAGGTTGTGGAGACACAGGGATGAATACGGAAAAGAGATGGAAAGTGATTTAAATGGAGTTCTTGGGACAGGTGTCTGGCGTTGTATCATGATGTATTCTAAAAGCAAATTTCTTATCTCGATCTTTTTTAATTGATTGTTCTCCCAACTGTGGTTATGGAGTGTTTTTGTTTCTCTGGAGTCTGACTACGGTATACAGTACTTGTAGAAACATATCATACCAATTGCCATCGATTTGAGTATAGACAACGGCATCTATTCAAGGTCGTAGCTGCCGCAAATCTGGTCATTGGTTTTGCGTCGTTCGTCATGTGTCCCACTCGCTCCTTCTCCTATGCTCCTGTTCGCTCCTGTAGTTGAAGAGTCCGGATGATATCTCGGTGCCCGATACGCTCATTGGTGGTGAGCTCTTCAGAAAGATCAGAGCCTATGTTCTTGTGGATCCGTCAAAACAGGAAAGTATGCTTTTAGACTGCCAGGCACCCGTTACGACGCCGGTACACGTAATCTAACCCTCCTTCAGCGTTTTGGAAACCATCAAGTTACTGGCACTTTGATCAACCCTGGATAGACTAACGACAATGGAGCCTCCCTCGAAGTTCCCAAGCCGATCATTCTACGCGCGACGTTCTTTATCTCGGACCACAGGACGAACATCTTCAGAGCCAACAAGTAAGGCTGGTGATGGAGTGTGTGAAGGGAGATGGTGATTACTTGTCTGAAACTACAAATCGGTATCATGTATCACTATCAGAATACAGGTTTTACATAATCATAGTTCATTGAAATCCGCTGTGGACTGGAAACACATTCCAAACGAGTTTGCTTCGCCGAAAAACAATCTCACAGCTTCGCCATACCGGCCTCTACCTCCACAGTTGCCCAGTCCTCCTTGATGAGATCAGCAGCCTTCTCCGCCACAGTGTAAACACTGCTGCAAATGTTGCCGCTGACGTTGTTGGGGAACACACTTGCATCCACTACTCTCAATCCATAGACACCCTTTACTCGAAGCCTGCTGTCTACAACTTCTCCCATTGCGCAAGTGCCCATGAGATGGTACTCTCCCATGACCCAATCATTGATTGCTTCTTCGCGATCGGCGGCATTGTCAAGATTTCTGGAGGCGGGTGGGTAGGATCGTTCTTGGATCAGGGGCGCGAGATGCTCGGTCTTGGTTGTTTTGTGGACGAAATGGAGACCGGCTGCCAGGACTGCAACATCGGCAGGATGTTTTAAGTATCCGGGGTCAATGCTTGGGTGTGTCGATGGATCTGTTGTACATGTAATCAGCGATGAGATTCTCCTCCAGCACAAATGTTAATTGAAGTACTCACCAGAACTCTTGATGTGACATGAACCTCGGGAGACAGGATATTGCAGACAGGGCGCCATGACCATACGGTGAGCACGAGTGTTGTCGGGTGGAGGCCAAATCTTCTGCGTGGTAACTCCATTTTCGTAATCTGCTCCGGCAGGGATCATGATATACTGCAAGTTTGCTGACTTGTCGCTTTCGAGATGTGCAACAACTTGGTCTAGCTGTTTTTTGTAAAAGGGTGTGGTGTCAGGCTTGTTCTGAACCTCACGGATGCTCTTGACAGTGCTCTCCAGCTCGTCAGCAGAGACGTGAGATTTGTATGGAAGGAAACCTTGTGTGCTGGCTATCGAAGTCAAAGGTCCTTTTTGATGTTCCATATATGCCTTCATAGCCCCTCCCATTACGTCTGGATCACCCAAGATATCCAGGGTCATGTTACCAGGCTTGAGATCCAGGCCAAGGACAGCAACAGCATGATCTTGGAGATTCTCGCCAACGCCGGGAAGTTTGACCTTGCACTCGATGCCGGCTTTTTCGAGAATTGCGGGATCGCCAATACCAGAGAGTTCCAGAATCTGTGGTGAGTTGATCACGCCGCCACACAAGATGACCTCTCTCTTGGCGTAGACGGTTTCATGCATGCCATCAAAGACAAACTCCACTCCTGCGGCAATACCATTCTCCAGAATAATCTTGTTCACTTGCGCTTCACAGAGCACTTTCAGGTTTGGTCGACAGGCATTTGCTTGAAAGTAGCCGCGAGCAGCATAACTTCTCTTGCCCTTGTGAGGTCCAGATCGAGCTACGGCACCAAGCGTGTTGAAGAAGCCAATATGATCACCGCTCCAAGGATCAGTTGGTTTTTTGGAAAGACCGGCCACTTCGTCCATCGCTTTGATTGTAACATCACAGATTGGGAACGTACTGTCGTTGAACGATGTGTGAACCGGACCATCCATACCGTGATGCTCGCCGACATGAGGATAATCGGTTTGATCCAGAATTGATTCATCGATCTGTTCAAGTGTCTCGTGCTTGCGCATGTATGGTTTGAGAGCTTTGGAGGACCACGCAGGATCTCCTACAAGAGTTGCCCAGTCGTCATAGTCGGCATCAGAGCCTCGAACATATCTGACAGAGTTAGCATAGGCAAACAAAGAACAGCGAGGTTATGTGTAGATTACTGACAACATATAGTTGATGGCGCTCGAACCTCCAAGAGCTTTTCCTCTGCTCAAGTGATGAACAATACCACGATTTCCTTCCTGNNATCTTCGAGTCAGCAGTTGTCAGATCACGTTGTATGTTCAACCCACCTGCGGTACAGACTTGAAACAATGATCATACTCTGGATCACCCAACATCTGTGGGAAAGTAGCAGGAGTGTCTACCAGAGGATCATCAAGTCTTGATTTGCCGACCTCAAGGACTCCGGCGACGACGTTTGGATCTTCAGTCAAGCGTGCAGCTACAGCTAGGCCAGCAGTTCCTCCGCCGACAATAATGAAGTCGTAGGATTCGGATGTGAATCCCCTAGCACAGGCGGCAAGTGCTGGAAGGGAATTGGAAGCATTGTCAATACCATACAATCCCTCACCCTGGCCTTCGGAGTTGGTAATTTCCGCCATGCTGGTTGTCCGTATACAATCTGTAGTTAGAGCGCGGGGGCAAGGTGAATTTATAAATGCTCGTAGCAGAACTCTAGGCAGCTCATGCTTGGCTACAAGGGCAGAAGCATTGGCGACAATCGCTATCACTTCATTAATTAGTCGTCGCTACTCTGCATGTATCCAGTCAGCTCGCGAGAAGCTGCTGATCCAAGCTGGACATGCAAGTCCAAGCCTCGGACCCCCCTCGAACCCCCTCTTTGGCGACGCGTCTGACAAGAACGTGGTGAGATCTTTTACCTTGTACAGACGTCTCAAATCCTTACCGCGAGTCTAGTCTGATGGGATCTGACTGTGTGCTGAAGTATGTTCGTCGCGTTGTGGTCTGATGCTTGTATATCTGATCCATGGTTGATTGCGCATGCATGCAAGCGCCGTGGTGTGCATGCTGAACACAATCCTTCTCAGGCACCACGTTCTGGCCTTCGTTGGAGCAGCTCAGATATCAAGGTATATCGTAGAGTGCAGCAGTCAAGATTGTATACATCAGAGAGAGCATTCTCCTCAAGGCAATGTCGAGCAACAAGATGGGCAGGTACAAGGCCGCTCGAGCTGGAAGGAGGGTGGGCATTTAGGGTGGGTTCAGGGGGCCGCAATTACAGCTTGGCGCATGTAATCAATTCAAGCTTTGACCACTTCCCTCGCGACAAAGACCCGAATCCATCAACTCGACCAACCGACTTCATCAAAGGACAGCTCGACCATGATTATCATCCTGCGAAAGACTAGCAACATCAGCTTACGGATGTTCTCAGCACAAAGCCCGACAAGATGATGTACGGCATGACTCGATATGTGATTGCACACGGCACTCTATACGAGCGTTAGACATGAACCGAAGCGTGCACAACGGTCATGGCCACGACTGGCCTCAAGGTTCAATACGTGTTATACTGCGTGACGTCCAGGAAGAAGGACAATGTACTGCATACCCTGGCAGCGGTAGCTGAGAATGCTCTGAGCTGATGATCAAGGTCAACTTCCACCACTCGCGATAAGCCTTTGAGCAACACACAGACCCGTGCGCCTCATTGCCTGTGTCGACGTAAGTCACATCTTGGTCCTCGGCTCGGACAGAACACACGCGCGCAGATAGACCATTCGAAGGTGAATCGGTTTTCAGCTGGTCGACGAAACTCTGGATTGCGAATCAACAAAACTGTTTCGACAGAGTGAATCAAATCGTGTGGCGTCCAGAACATCCTCAACGGCCATGTTGGCTGGAAATATAACGTCTTTGGCTGTATCAAGAACTTAAGTCGAATCAATGCTATGCTTAGTTCCTAGCACCTCACTCACTTCCACCTAGTGCGGACCGTGGCAATCTCTTCACAATGCACCTTTTCCATATTTTCTCCACTACGACAGCAATCTATAGCTTGTGTCACGGCCAACCATTGACATCTGCCGACGTCAAAGGAAAGACCGTTTTCACCCTCGATCAGATACTCAGCAACAACTCGACCAATAAACCTCCGGCTCAGAAGCTTTTGCATGTGTANCGCAAAGTATGCCAAAGCAGGAGCGTCTGCGCCAAGCGCCGTCAGAAAAGCAGCAGCATCAGCGACGATAGCAACNNAGTCGCATCAACTCCAGAGCCTGGTGATGTAGAATATCTCTGCCCGGTCACTGTAGGCGGAAGAACTCTGAATCTCAACTTCGACACTGGCAGTGCAGATCTTTGGGTGTACTCGAATCTCCAGCCTTCGGCACAACGATCTGGTCATGCTTACTATAACTCGAACAATGCGAACCTGATGGCTGGCTACACTTGGGACATCGAATATGGCGATGGGTCAGGTGCGAGCGGTAAGGTCTTCGCTGATAAGGTTGTTGTTGGAAGTGCTACAGCAACATCACAAGCCGTCGAAGCGGCAACATCAGTCTCGGCTGGCATGATTTCAGACCTCGATAGCGACGGCATTCTTGGACTTGCATTCAGCACTGTCAACACCGTCCAGCCTTATCAACAGAACAACTTCTTCGACACCATCAAAGCTCAGCTTGGTAAACCTGTTTTCACTGCAGATCTGAAGAAGGGAGCTCCCGGCAGCTACGGCTTTGGCTACATCGACACTACAAAATACACCGGCAGTATCACTTATGTCAACACCGATCCGAACAGCGGCTTTTGGCGTTTTTCCGCAGGCGGCTATGCCATCGGCAGTGGTGCAAAAGTCAGCAAGACGTACAGCTGCGTGGCCGACACAGGCACAAGTCTAATGCTCCTGCCGTCTGACGTGGTCAGCGCGTACTACAAGCAAGTCAAGGGTGCTATGTACAGCGACTATCAAGGTGGTTGGATCTTTGCGTGCAACGCAAAGTTGCCGAATTGGAGTGCTATAATCGGGGGCAAGCAGTTCACAGTGCCAGGCTCATACATGAACTACGCGGCCCTCGGAAACAATCTATGCTTCGGAGGCATGCAGTCTGACACTGGCGTCGGATTCAGCATTCTGGGAGATGTATTTTTGAAGAGTCAATTCGTGGTGTTTTCGCAGATGACTGCTAAACCACAATTGGGGTTTGCCGCGAAGAAGCTTTGAGGAGATTTGGTTTGGGAAAGAGCAGTCGTCAGTGGGCCGTGCTGCAGGACAGCCGATTGTTGAGTTGAAGCTTTGTTCGTTCCTTCCACATATACACATTTGATCCTGCCCATGTGCGTTAATTGTACATTGCCATCTACCCGACTCTTCGCGTTGCATGCAAGCCTCATCCATCCATTGAAAACACCAGGCACATCCTTCGATGGTGTTGTTATTGATGACTTATTTCTTCAAGGCATCAACCATCCACACTGGTCCAATCGCTATGCTGTATTGCACCAAAGGGTCTCATGTTCGAGTCCGTTCATCCGCTATTCTTATTTCCTAGTTTTAACATCTTCTCAGATGTCTCTCTCCGTGAGAGTTTCTCTTCATAGAGAGGGAATAGCTTCGCAAGTGTTCCACCAACACCGAAGTTGCTTCCGCAGCACTCCAGATCATGTCACAAACAGAGCCTCCGTTAGTCTTGCAAACACAAGCTACTCAGGTCGTTCGGTACAGTGCATGGCTTCTAGATTCTCTAACCACCAGGTTTCAATCGCAGATATGAGGGAAATGATGGTGTGTCTAGGTCATCACGGTTATGGCAGTACTCTTTCCGAAGAGGCCGCTGCTACAGAACTTCTCAGTTCGTAAGTACTTCCTTCCTCCTCAAAATGAGCCCTTTGGTATAAGCATCTTATAGATTTCTTATATGTCAGGTTTTCGGCATGGAAACGTGGAACTTCTGCTCTCTCCGCTTAGATTCCGCATTTGTAACTCTTCAGAGCAAGAGTATAAAACATTCATAACATCCCTTGCGCACTCCACTTTGACACGCGAAAGTTTACATATCCTCTTGTCTGTAACACTTGGAAGCAAGGGAGATCCCACAACTTGACATAAGACTGCTGGGTATGCAGCATAATATCTTTGTCGCTAAATCAAGCATAAAGAAATTATAAGAGATTCTCGTGACGATAATCTTTACTAGATGCACCTAATAATGAATCTGAGAGTTAGAGATATAGCTATACCGCAGAGCTAAATTAGCCATCCTCGAGAACGAAGTCTCGGAGGTCGATGATACAGTAACAAGATCTGTTCATCTCCTACTGTCGATATCTGAGGAAAATCAAGACGCAATGCAAACATGAGGTTCGAGAGTAGGAGAGTCACGCTTTTCCCGATCTCGATATCGACCTAAGGCGCGATGTCTCCGACACCGACTTAATCCACGTCCGTCGCTACCTCCGGTGGAAAGAGAGAACAGCCTACTCCCTGTATCGGGAGTCGGCATCGTCAGCACCATCTCGCAGTGTTCTCGTCGGGTGATTGTGTTTCTTATGGTGACAAATTATGCTTTTATAGGTGTTCCAGTCAAACGCGCCCCTTGCATGTTTGTAGGACTTCTAGCATTCCAGCATATGATACACCAAGATGACCCTCCCATGTCCTTGGATCTTGAGGATTCATGTGCTGCTATTAGTCTTTGCACATGGAAAACATGGTCCATACTGAGCGGGAGTGTATCTCACATAAGCGCATTACAGTTCTGTCATTCTTGATCACAACAAACTCGATCAGATCGGGAGTCCAAGCGATAGACATGGTACTCGTTGAAGATGACAACCGTTTTTGCAAGGTGAACGTGCAAAACAAGCATCTCTTCTCAATCACAAGATGAACAAAACAGAAACCTCCGGGTGATTAGGGGAAAGAGTAAGTACTAGCGCAGCGCGCTTTCCTTTCGTCATTATTCGTAGAACCGGCTGGCGATGAGCCGGTTCGAACAGATGGGCTCTGGCTCGCAGGGAAGGAGCGACGAGCTCGACTTGACCGCTGCACCATCCCACCGTCCGATGTTCATGGCAGTTCGACATCAATATAGCACTAGATCTTTCTGAAACTCGGTCCGAGTCATCCTCACTTCAAGGTGGTACAGAGCACATAGGGGTTGCATCGGTTTGGTATAGAACCACTTAGATGTTTACCGGGCAAAAGAAAACACAGCGCTATCAGAAAGCTCATCAACAGCGACTCCTGGATGGAATGCATTGAATCCTTCGCTGCTGGAGCCCTCTCGAATGTGATCGAGCAAATAGGGCTGGAGCGAGAGAGTGCAGTGAAGCAATGAGGTTCGTGAAACTATGTGACACTTGTCTGTCTCCGTTGACAGATGGAAGTGAGCGCATTCACAGCACAGCCATATGCATCCTCAGTCAGGTTGGAGGAGAGCTGCAAGAAAACGTTCGGTATCAGGGACCTGATAAAGTCCTTCCCAGCTCCGGGCTCTTACTTTCCCACCCATGTTCAAATCCTGCTTCGAGAGAGGCCTTCGCAGTCTACTCCACCCTCTACCCATACATCCCAGATGGTTTGCCTCATACTGCAAGTTGCTGACTCGCTTGGCAGGGTATTTTGGTTTATCTGATGTGGAACAACACACTGTCAGCTCGGCCTGCTAATGATAAATTGATTCGCTTACCCTAGTAATATCTATATATATACTATTACAAAGCGCAGAACACAACTCCCATCGACAATCTCAAACCCCGACCCTCACAAGCCAAAGAACACATATCACTATAGAAGCGGCATTGGGATCTCATTCTTCTTCCGCTCTACAAGTACGAACAGTTGACATGCCACAAGCAAGTGTAGTGCTTCAATTGTTATTGCACGGCGCCGCTGCTACCGCCAACGATCGTGCGATCGCCAATATCAACTACATAGACGGAGAGACTCGTGGGGGATCGAGGAAGCAATGAGGTTCGTGAATCTCAAAGTACGTACCTACCACCCTGATACAAATTCAGGGATGTCGAAAGCTGCGAAACAATTTATCCACACGACGATATGCTCTTCAGGCGTGAGAGTAATGAGAGTCGCTCGTGCGTCAGCGACCTCCTTATCTCGTATATATTCGAGGCTATGGCCCAGCTCTAAGCTCGTCAAACGCAGGTGTCGAACGAAAGCCTTCTCGAACCCCGTTAGCCTCTTTCTCGGCGCCTTCATCCAGATCTTCAAGATCCATGATAGTCCTGATTGTAGCTTTGAGAAGATTCGTGCGGACGCCCTTATTGAACAGTGACGCCATTGGTAAGACACAATCAAGAGCGAGGACATCTAATTTGAGGGCATTAGTCTGGTACAATCCGTCTTAACTCTTCCATCATCGTATCATCATCAAGTCATCAGTCCCTCCAGACTTCCAAGCCCAAACCACAGATATCATACCTCCTATCCGCAAAATCACCATACATCTTGGTCCACAGCCAATCCGCATCCTTATCTCTAGGACGTGCTTGGACAACCCTCGCATAGTCAACTTCCCATTCGGGACCAGGGAGCTTGGGGTCGTTAAATCTGATGTACGGTGTTTCGAGGAAGGCCGTCTGGTTGGGTTGGACGGCATCATGTAATTCCCCGATACCGGCGATGATGGAAGATGAAAGATAGGCAGGGCGCAAAGCAAAAGTGATGGAGGTGATGTTCTGGATGTGGTTTATCATGAGAACTCTGTGTGTCTCTTTGGACGGGGTTGCGAGGACCAGGTCTTCGGAGGCGAGGCCTGAGCCTGTGTCCTGCTGCAAAAGAGTCAGGGGTGCAGGGGATGTATAGGCCAGCGCAGCATCTAGAGCTTCTGCATCCTGGATCAGGCCCGGCGTTTGCAATAGCATGACTCTTTCCAGATCCGTCAATGCCCAGAGACCGGTGAGGGAGGCGTCATCTTGACCAGCAGAAGAAGCAAGCGGTCGTAGCTCAACATTATAGCGTCGAGCAGCTCGTCGGAGTAGACGTCGGGTGATGTCCATATACGGGTCTATCAAGTCGTGTTTGGCAGCTTGCTTCTCCATTGCCCAGGCCTGTGGGAAGAGGAGGATGCGACGGGCTGGAGACTTTAGACGAGCGAGGTCGCCGAAGAACATGATTGTGCTGCAAACGTCATGGTGGTTCGTGACGATCTGGACATGTGCGAGCTTTTGCCAGTCTACCTGTGGTGGTTGTCGGGAAGCTGTGTGCTCTGAGATGATGCCATTTTGCTCGGGATTGAAGAGACGAGAGGGATGTTGAGGTCCAGATAGTGGTTGCTGAGTGTTTTGGGATAGGGGATTGACTGGAACGCGTGGCTTGAGTTGAGACTGTAAGTCGGCGATTGAACGTTGTTGGATTGTGTAGCCAGCGAGGAAGAGGAAGAAGGTTATTGCTGCCACNNTGCGAGGAATGTGAGTTACTGGATTTAAGAAGACGGGAATAGACATACCAAAGGTTGAAGAGAGCAGCACCTGGACTTGCCCGCTCGTCAGTAGCAACTTCCCCATACTGAGCCCTTGTTGTGTTCGAAAGAGCAACGTCCGTGGTTTCCCTTTATCGCATGCAGCATCATTGTTGATAAGCAGACATCCCCACAGCAACTCGCAAGCTCCACACTTTTTATGCACGACATGTGCAACCTTGGCATAACTTCGTCACTCTTCGCACCTTCAACCTTCCATCGACCTTTGCGCCAACCAACATCCATCCTTCCACACCACCACACGCACTCACTATGGCGCACCAAGCAGATGCCACGCGCATGCTCGATGACCGCGGCTACACAGGCACCCTCATCCGCGGCCAGAACCCNCTCCTCCTCTTCGAAAAAGCCGTCCGCGATCGCATCATCGACTCGTATTACTGGAAAGAGCAATGCTTCGGTCTCAATGCCGCCACTCTTTGCGATCGCGCAGTCGACCTCGGTTTCATCGGCGGCACCTACGGCATTGGTCAAAAGCCTACGCCATTCCTCTGTCTCGCTTTCAAGCTCCTTCAACTCACGCCCGAAAAAGACATCATATTGCACTACCTGCAGCAAGAAGACTTCAAGTATCTGAGAGCGCTGGCGGCATTCTATATCCGCTTGACGTGGGAGCCAAAGGATATTTATGAGACGTTGGAGGCGTATTTGAGTGATTATAGGAAGTTGAAGAGGAGGACGAGGGATGCATACGCTTTGAGTTATGTTGATCAATTCATCGATGACTTGCTCACGAAAGACCGTGTGTGTGCTACCTCCCTATGGAAGATGCCGAGTCGTACACAACTGGAGGACCTCGACGTGCTGGAGCCACGCGTCAGTCCGCTGGGAGACGAGATTGATGAGCTGGATGCAGAAGACGAGGACATGAGAGATGGAAGTGATGGCGAGGCCGAGGAGGTCAGGAATGGCGATTCAAGATCAAGAAGCAGGAGTTACGACAGCCGGAGCCGGAGTCAAAGCTACGAAAGGAGAAGAAGCAGGAGCAGAAGTTACGACAGACGAACCAGGAGCCGGAGCTACGAAAGATGGAGGAGCTACAGTCGTGATCGCCACGACAGAAGAAGAAGTCATAGCCGTGAGCTGCCAGATCGAAGGAGGAGTCCCTTGTCCAGGTCAGGGTCACGATCAAGAGGTTGAGCCACCGGCAAATTCGTCGCTGGGCTTGCTCTCATCTTGACAAGTAAATGTCATACAAAGATTCTGCTCACCACGGCTTCATACACATAGTGTACATTCAGACCACAAGCGATCTCTATATGCTATCACAGAAGGGCATCAGGACGCATGAATCACGCCCGGCTATGTTATCTATCAACCCTCAGATGGCGATACAGTCACATAGAAAAGGCCTCGCTGGTGGCTAGCGAATCAGGTCCAAGGGGCAGAGAGGATCGAAAGGCGGAAATACTTCATACTGTATATAGCCATTGCAAGCTAGCTTGCAAGAGTCTGCAGGATCTTCTCATTCTGCTTGTGATGACTTCTCACTCTGCTTGTTCTTCTATCTATTCTTTTTGTCCCTCGTCGTCACCGTAAAACTCGTCTCAAAGTGGCTCACCAAATTTATCTAAATCTAGTCCCTTGCCCCATCTTTTCTTCCCCCTGTCCCGTTCAACCCAATACCTCCAGCATAATTGTATATCTCCCATTTTTCTATCTGGGGTACCTTGACTGCCTGGAGCCCATATCGTTGTATCTGATCAGTCCACAGATCGTTCGAAAACATCCATTGTGTCCACGCTTGAGGCACCGGGTACAGTTGATCCGGCGGATCATCATCAGTGTTTTCGCGATCCGAATCCATGACGTGACTGTAAGAGCCACCATTTGTCATCCAGACATCCCACTGCCGAGTGGTGTAGAATCCAAAGGGTGCCGCAGCTTGTTGCAGGACGTGCCATTTGCGACTCATGGGTGGGATCTAGATAGTGATGGGCCTTACGATACCACCGAACACGTAGTTTTCCAGGGCGAAGCCTTGCTCATTACACCTGTTTCCTGGGAGCTAGGGGTCTTGATACTTATAGGGATCCGGGTCTGGACAACCGTAGTATGCAAAGGAGAATGCGTGAGCCAACTCACGGAGGATGAGTGAAGCTAGAGTGAAGTGTGTATGGTATTTGGACTACATAAGGGATGAATGGCANNCTCGGCGTGAGATATGAATGCCAGCGAAAGTCTGAACGTCATCGAACAGATCGTTCAACCTATCATCATTTGGGTCCTCGAGATATTCTAGCACATTGATGAAAGCTGATTTGATGCGGATTTTTGAGCGATAGGTATCTCTGTATGATGCAGACCTAGTTAGTGCTGGTTCTTTGGGAGCAAATATGGCATGTCAAACTTTATGCACTTGGGGTGTTCCTAGNNACTTACGGTCTGCTTGCGCGTTCGTAGTTGCCGTATGTATCGCGAGTCCTTTCTGTGTAAGCATATGCATCCACACGGTCGTTATCGAACCCCAGTCCTGTATATATAACACCATGAGATCCAGCTTTAGGAGTGTGAACAACTGTAGAGAGTCATCCAACACATCCGGTATCCGCATTATATCACAATCCGCCGTGAGACCATCAGTTACATGTGACACAGTATCCATGGAAGCAGATGGCATAGCCAGGGCGTGAAAATAACTCAAAGTGACCGGATTGTCCAGAATAGCGGATGCCGACAATAAAGCNNTCATCAGGTCGTACTGATGATCCGTGACAGTGACCCATTCTCTCCGCCTCAGGACTGGATGGATCCTGTCTTGGAGGTCTGGGTCTTGAGAGAGGTTTCCAAAGACCTTGCGCCCTTTTATTTTGTCGCCAATTCCTGTGTGTTCGTAGTTGATGAATCCAGCAGCTTCCATGCACTGCAGACCATACTTCTCGAGAAAGAGGTGATAGTCTGTGATATCGCTAGGAGGCCCGAGTCTGCACGCTGTGATATCTGGGAAACAATGAACACTTCGCACCACATGTTCCCAAAGAGCGCCTGTTCGTCATTGCAAACAAAAGATTCATACATAGTAGATACCATGTTCTCTGGGTCACTGGTTTAGCAGAAAAGAGACTGGTTCTGTTAGGAGACCGCGATGGCCAGATCCGGATACGGTAGGGCTGAGCATGGAAACCACTGGATTTTTGCAACAAAAGGACTTTGAATTCGAATAGAGCACTCGCTGTCAGCGTCATCGTAGCTTGAGGACAGATACGAGGCAATGTGGTCAGGCGAAGAAGTCCAGACGGCTAGACACAGAATGGAGTAGAGGACGAAGACGAGTCCGAAACGCGAGCCGAAGCCGATAAATTCCTAAACAGTGAGCAAGCACCAACAACCACCACAAATAGTCACAGCAACGATGCCCGTGGACGAACGTGGTTGATGGACCACTGATTTCGATTCGCGCAGACTGATTACGCAGCTTAGTGGTGGCTTTTGTCGCACGGAGTGTATCCCACACCGAGGCAGAAATACGCAGTCAAAGGAAGGTCAACATGCGGATCTAGTATCCATTGAATGTCGATAAAGCTCGATGGTGGATGGCTGACATGGACCATGGATGCTGGCGATGGAAAGTGGAAGGATGGGAAGGACGCGCCTCGGCTCTGAGCGGGGTCCTCCTTCCCAAAGGACCAACTTCATCCCATGTTACCATGCTCTCTCGTTCTCAGATTTTTATTGTCTGATAAAGCACATAGTCCGACTTTGTTCGACCATCTGGATTTTCCTGTTCTTGACAAGATACGTGTTGTGTTTGGTGGAGCTCAGCAGAAAAAGCCGTTGTGAAAGCACGAACATTTGTTTGTTCGATGACCTGACGTGACCTTGTCCTCCAAAACCTCGTCCTCAACACCAGCTTTCTCGATATGGGCCTGAAGCTCAACATTGTATGTCCGAGTGTGCATTGTAAGGAGACACTGATCTGACCGAAGTAGCTTCTGCTGGCGATTGCGGCCTGTATCCCGCACATCTACTCCCGCCTGTCTCTGCTCTATACCTTGGAAACCAATAACCATCCTGCCAAGCTTTCCACCGCTCGAGGTTGGATGACCGAGAAAGGTAGTTACGAGATTAGGTATGCCGACAAACTGAGAAATTGTGAAGATTTGGTTGTCGACGAGAAAGTGGGTTATGTGGTGTTTGGCTGCGATGAAGGTCGAGATGTCTGGAATACTGTCATGGTGAGTTTCAAGCTGTCAGACTTCGCTTCGTTCTTGTGTTCATATGATTCATCTAGNGGTGTCTTTGGTAAAACCGCGCCCAAGAATGGCCAACTCTTCCTCTACGACTACTCCCGCCCTCAACCAAGTCTGGAAACCATCCGCCTGCTCAACACTCCCAAGGACTACTCTTTCCACCCTCTAGGTCTCTCCCTGGACCTATCCACCAACACTCTTCTCGCAGTCAATCACGGCACTTCTGGCAGTACAGTCGATCAGTTCCATTTCTCACGCCTCGGTAACTCTGCAACCTTTATCAAAAGCATTTCCTCGCCATATCTGCGTGCTCCGAATGCTGTGGTTCAAATCTCAGCCACAGAAGTCTTGGTCACCAACGATCACTTCTTCACTCCCAAAGGCTCGAAAGTATTGAACATGGTAGAGACATATTCTTGTCTCCCTCTTGGTGGCGTCACTCACCTTGATCTCTCCACCGGAGCCGCACAACAGATTGCTAGAATTGCCTTTGCTAATGGAATCGCCATGGTGAACGACTCCACGATCGCTGTAGCTTCTAGCTCGTCAGCAAAAGTCTTCTTATATGAGATGGACAAGTACACTTCTCCACCCACACTCAGCTACAAAGAGGCTATTGCTATGCCTTTCTGGCCCGATAACTTGCACATGTCTGGTGGCAAGCTGTTTGTCGCTGGCCATGCTCAGCTCGGGGCCTTGACCAAGCTTTCGGAGAGTAAACAACATTGCGGTGCTGATACCACTTCTGCTGGNTGCGATGCCGTCGCACCCAGCTATGTAGCTCAGTGGACTAGGGAGAACGGTGTCGAGGATGTATATGTGGGAACAGAGATCTATGCTTCAAGTGGTGTCACAATAGATGAGAAGAGAGGTGTGGGTGTTATTTCTGGGTTATATGGCAAAGGACTTTTGATTTGGAATAAGGAGAAGAAGTAGTGGAAGATGCTTTGCTCTTCGTGCGCACACCATTTGACTGATACAAGGTTGTGCATTTCGACCGGTAGTCATGCATGGTGATTCTCAACCGAGATCGCCGTATGCATCCCGGAACACACTTTTCTGTCGTTCATCGCGTTACTCCTCATATCAAGTTTGGACGGAAGCATTGCAGCGTAGGATTTGCTCACAGACCTGATTGGTGATGAGACCAACCACATAATACAGGCTTAAGCCAAAGGCACCATCAGTTAAGAGCGAGGCATGGTTGTTGACGAAGGTGCAGTCTGAAGTCACTAAGAGTTCAATGTCGACGGAAGTACTGCAGCGTGGACTCTTGCACCAAATCCGCGAGAGGAGATATCGGGCTCTCGCTCTAGCGGTCACTGACGCGGTTGTCGTCCTTCGTGGTGGTCTCAGGAAAGGTTCGACAGCGACGGGAACAGCACTCCACGCAGCCGTTTACCAGCCACTCCGTCTGAGCCCATGGGTCGTGTCTGTGTCGCTACGAATGGAACAGGTTGCGCCAGCTCGTGGGGAGTATCTATACTAGTGGGTCTGTGGGAAAACGATCGTGAACGAAGAGATTTGAAAGTTGCTACATGGCATTGTTTTGTATTGTACAAGGTGGTTTTACATGGCGTCTATATTCGTGCAGTTTTGATAGTGCGGGGTAGCAAGTCTAAAAGACTTGTCAATCTTGCCTCTCCAGTCGGCGACGTGGTCGTTGATGACTTTTGATGCTTGGTCGACGGTGAAGTTTCTGCCAATGGCCTCGACGAAGTCTCCTTCGGGGTCNNTGTGGTCGGGATTAGTGATTGTACTGCTCATCTGAAAGTGTTAGGACTCACCCATCAAGTAAAAGTAAATGCTGTGATCGACAAGATAATCCTGACCAGGCAAGACGTTCTGGGGAGTTGAGAAGTAGACACGGAAAGCCTTGCAGGTAGCCTTGACAGCCTCATAGTCTCCGGTCAAACCGATCATATCCTCGTGGAACTCCTTCAAATATTCCTTTGTGACCTCAGGTGTGTCTCTCGCAGGGTCGCAAGTGATGAAGACGGGTCTCATAACATCACCGTGCTTTGCCTTGACATTGTCAATCATGCCAGCCATCTTGTCCAACTCTTCAGGGCAAATGTCCGGGCAGTGTGTGAAGCCAAAGTAGACGAGCGAGTATTTCCCTTTCAAGTTTTGCTCGGTAAAGGGCTTGCGGTCCTGATCGATCAACTTGAAGGGGCCACCGACAAGGGGACGACCGACACCTTTGCTGTGTTCGGCGATGCGCTTGCGAGCCATGCGCTCTTTCTCGTAGCTGAAGTAGAAGGCCATTCCGACACCAGCGCCCAGGAAGAGAAGACCAGCTTGCCAGCTGAAGGGACCGAATCGGTAACGTGACTTTGCTTCCTCTACAGTCTTATAGCGCATTGTCGAGCTCTTGGAGAATGTGCGGGTGGTGGTTTGGCCGAGGCGGGAGGACATGCGCTGCGACAGGCATTGCGGCGAGGAATGCGCAGAGAAGAGGGAGCGCTGTAGAGCGGTTCGCGGTAGTGATGTTGTCGCCATTGTGGTTGTTGTGTTGAGAAAAGTGTCCAAATCGTAATTTCTCTCTTTCTCGTTCGCCGCTGCTTCATCAGCATGATCGACTTGGAGATGCGGCGAGTGCACGGACCTCACTCCCGAGCCGCCGTCATTGCTCATTTTGACCTTGATGTCTTTCGCCTGCTTCGCTCCTTCTCATTGAACTCGAGAATATTCATTTTGGGACTTTCTGTCTAGCCAGGGCCAAATTGTGTATGGATCACGACATATCAAGAAGTGGCGAATGATCTCCCGTCAAGTATTGCGCCTAAAAAATGGGGTGACTTGCTCTGTTGTAAAACCACCATCTATTGCCTCTTCTGGCTTCCCAATACCCATAAGGACTGTCCCTCGCCATCTGAGCTACCTTGAGGCCGCTAGGACTAAAACTCAACCCTCGACCTTCGAACCACCACCCAGCACATCTTCGAAGGATTTCATATCAAAATCCATTGTCGCTGAAGAAGTACCACCACTCATCGAAGCAATCGCTGTGGGGTCCGAGGAAGACACCATGAACGCTCAAAAGGAGGCAGAGCTTCTGGCTATACAACACATCTTCGGTCTCAGGGACGCATCCGATGAATTGCTTAAGACTAAACCCAAGGAGCTCGAACGATTACAACGCCTCAAAGCAGCCGAACCTGTCTTTGTCTGTGTTGACCTGGAAGCCTATGAATTTTCCCAAGAGAAGATTACTGAGGTTGGTGTGTCAGTTTTGGATTCTCGTAATGTTAAAGGCACTGATCCTGGCCCTGATGGTATGGAGTGGCTCTCGAAAATCAATACTCGCCATATCATCATCAAGGAACACAAGCGCCTCGTCAACAAGCGTTTCGTTCACGGCTGCCCTGACAAGTTCAATTTCGGCGAGTCCGAATTCGTTTCATTGAAGCATATTCACAAGACTTTGACTCAGCTGTTTGACAATCCCTCACCTGGTTCAATCCGTGCATCAGACCAAGGGTCAAGGAATCTCATTCTTGTCGGTCATGGTCTCTCCAATGATACTGCCTACCTGAATAAGCTCAACTTCACCCCTCATGCCAAAGGTAACATCATTCAAGATGTCGATACCCAGAAGTTTGTTGGAACCAAGAAGCAGACAGTCGGCCTGAGCAGGTTGATGGCTGGCCTCGGAGTTCAACCGGAAAACCTTCACAACGCGGGAAACGACGCTGCCTATACAATGCAAGCCCTTCTTCTAATGATTGTCCAACATACAAACAATCCTGGTGCTTATGTCAATGCAGTCGCCAGTGCAAAAGCTAAGGTCGATCCAGCCAAACAACGATACAAGGATCACAAAGCCGCAGTCAGAGAACGAAAAATCGCAGGGGAGAAGGCAAGAGCTGCGAGAGCGGCTTCACCTCAATCAGCCAACTTTGGAAAATATGCCGTGGAGTCAGCATCCGCTTTGTATCCAAAACCTCACGATCTCGATGCTGCTGCAACCGGTTCTATCAGGAACGCAAACTCGACAGAGCCCCAGCGGCGATTTCCACCGAGGGCAGCTCCCGGAGAGGGACTACGGTCTGATCAAGACTCCGATCTTCCTGCTTCCTCAGCGCCCAATCTCGACAGAAATGTTTGGCTTGAGGCCCCTTCNATAAAGGAACTGAAAGCACGATCAGAGGATGCACAAAAGTTGCTCAAGAAAACCAGAGGGAATCCACCACCTTTCAAGAGACTGTCCTTAGTCAAGGACAATAACCCTCCCACACATTCATCCACGTCTGCTATCGATCAAGCCGCCCATGTCTCTGTTCCGAGAAAAAGGAAGAGTTCTGATGTTGAGCCTGTCGCTGACGAATGGAACGACGATGACGACTTCTCAATCTCTCCTTCATTCTATACTGGACCCCGCGACAACCGGACAAGAGTTCCAGATGATGGCAAGGAAGCCGAATCAGTGACAAACACACAACAGCATAAAGATGAACCGATAAAGACTTCAGCTCAACCACTCACTTCAAGTGCGGCGGGTCGTGAACAGTCAAAGCTCCGTATAAGCAAGCACATGGATGCACGCGGCGAGATCCATGCAATGAGGTTTGGTGAGAAGGAAGACAGCAAGAGCTGGTCATCACCCGTCTCTGCTCAACCTAATTGCACAATCCCGAGAAAGGTCGCAGTGTCAAAGACCGAGACGCCACCCTCGACTGTGAAGGCAGCTCAGTCTGTTGAAGCTGCCCGACAGCCTGACCGCCCAATGGTCCGTAGAGTTGCATCGTCGGGTGAAACACAAGACATACTTGCTGATAAGCAACGGGTTCGTGTCCTGATGGCAGAAACACAAAAGAATAGTCGTGAGACAGAGAAACCGCAGACAATAACTGAGGGAAACAATCCTGTCTTGCGTAAGTGGTTGGATGGAGGGTGATTCTTTTCTTCAGGAGTCAACCATAGTTTCATAGGACTATATTGATACGCAATATCAGAGACCAGGTTGCCTTGGATATATCGCATAGGCACCTAAAATTTCACTTTATCACAAGAACAGGGAACAGCAACAATGATATGAACAAGTCGTTCCAGTCATAAAAGAAACATTATAAAAGATACGTCAAACTCGGCATAAAATCGTCGTGACGCGAAAAACAAAAAAACTGGTATCACCCACCTCTCCAAAAACCCATTATAGACACTGTCATTTCCTTGACTTTTTGTACATAAGACGCCACTCTAACAAGCGTCAGCAGGACAGGCAACGTTGGTACCATAGGGATCAGGTCCAGCAATGCCAGCAATCTGGAAGACAGCGTTGATGACGCCACCAATACCCTCTCCAGCAATGAGACCACCAGCGATGGCGAAACCGTAGATTTCGAAACTTTGAGGGTTGCGCTTGGCCCAGAAGTATGCGGGGACGGCACCGATGACCATGGCGGTACCGTAGACTGTGGCGTTCAAAACAAAGGCGAGGGCAATGCACATGACGTTGGGGTGGTAAGCCTTGTACTTTTCCCACTTGCCGGTGTATGCGTAGTGGCGAATGACCACCATGATACCACCGAAGATACCAAAAGCGATGGCAAAGTAGCCTGAAGTCTTGGGGACGGGGAAGGTAGGGTCGGTGACGGCGACGGCGACGGCTCGCCAAGCACCAACACTCGGGGCAGAGAAGGGGCAGGTCTCGGCTTCGACGTCGATGATGCAAGGGTAGGCCTTGCTGAAGAGCATGAACATGGCAGGAGCAAGGACACAGGCAACAATCGTGCCGAGACCTTGAGCAACCCACTGCTGGAAAGGTGAAGTGCGGAGGAGGTAACCAACACGGAAGTCACCAACCAGGTCGGAAGCTTGCCCGGCACCGATGGAAGCAAGAGAGCCACCGATCAGGTTGAGGCGCTGAGCGTGCTCGGTCATCCAGTGCTCACCCTTAGTTGCACCACCGAGAACAAGCTGGGAAGCCTTGGAAGCGGCAGTCAAGGGAGTGACGTCGGTGACACCAGCGCACTGAACAGCGAGGATGGCGAAAAAGAAGGCCAAGAAGACGGAGAGGAGAGACATGCCGACAGGCATGTCGTACTGAACACCAAGAACAATGCAGCAAGCAATGATACTGAGAATGAGAACAGGTCCCCACATCCAGATCTTGACGAGTTCGTGGTCTGCGGCAGAGTCCTTGATGACATCTTCCTCCTTCTGATCAGTGACATTAAGGGTGGGACCACCAGTCTTGGAGGTCATGGCGTTGAAGCCCTTTGCGGCTCCACGGCCCATGGCCTTGAACATGATGAAGAAGACCTTGTACTGAAGGAAGAGCTCGGTGAAAGAGATGATGATCATGGCCAAGACACCGGGCCAGAGAAGCCAGTAACGAGGGCTGGGAGTGTCCTTGTTGGCCCACTTGGGGCTGAGAGAGTAGAACGAGGTGACCTTGCTCCACTTAGGGTCATCGGCGTAGGGCTGGACACCGAAAGCAATGTTGTGGTGGACGAGAGCAGGGCCAATGATACCCCAAGCGAGGACACTTCCACCGAAGAAAGACAGGGCGACGTTCAGACCGACGAGCATACCGGAGCCGATGAAAGCAGGAGTCCACTCAATGAACCAACCCCAGTTCTCGAGGGCAATGGCGTTGTTGTTGTACTTACCCCAAATGAAAATCCAGGTGAAGATGTGCCAGTCCCAGAGGATGCCGATGGCGTACTGAGAGATGACACGCAGAAGGAGAGCAAAGATGAAAGAGATACTCAGAGCCTTCATCTTCAGCTTGGCAATGGCCTCACCAGTGGCGGCGGCGTGCATGCTACGGATGGTCAAGGCACAAGCTGAAGGAGTAGGGAAGATCAAGTTGAGCTCTCTGGCGACGTAGATGATGAAGAACTTTCGGAGAGGAGTAGCGAAAGCGAATCCAAAGTAGGCACCGACAATAGTCAATGAGATGAGTCTGCCGAAATCCTCCTTGGGAGTGCTGAGCAGCTTCAATTGGTAGAGGGCAGGAATACCAGAAACCATAACGGAACCGAGACCACCGGCGGCAGTAGCAGCAGTCTGGACGATGTTGTTCTCACGAGGACCGAAAGAACCTCCCAAAAGAGGGAAGTTCTCTGGGAGGGCCTTGGCGAGAGGCTTGAGAACAGCAAAACCGATAATGGCACCAAAGAGCGAGGCACCGAAAGTCCAACCAGTCTTCAAACCGAGGTAGATGTTGGATGCGTTGACGAGGGCACCACAGATACATCCGACAAGCATGGCACGGAAAGTAACAACCCAGTGGCGCTCCTCGGGCAGGTCATCGTAGGGTGCAAAGGGGTCGGCAATAGTGCCTTCATCGTAGTCTGTATCCTCCTCGGCCTTGACCAGGTTGGGGTCCTTTTCGTCGAACCTGTCTTCCTTGTCCATTGAGTTGACAGAGGTAGCGGCCTGGTTCTTTTCATTGACATCAATGGCACCGCCAAGTGGNNCTATAGTGTGTTAGCAATATAACCAGTGAAGGCATGCTGGGTACTGGTATCATACCTCAGCCTGGACCTCTACAACATTCGGCATGGTGAGTATTGTTCGTGAATGACACAGATACAATGGCACAAGAACGAGGGGTGGGCAAGGCATATTTATCCAACGCTCTTCAGGTCGACTATCACTCCTGAATGCACTGTGGCGTGTGATAAGCCCGCAGATACGGGCCATTCTGAACTGTCCATCATGGCGTCCAGAACCTACCGTCAGGCCCTAGTACGGGGTGCATATATTGGTTCATGATAGGCGAGGATTCCGGGACTGTTGCGAAAATGATTCTGCCCAGGCTTGGCTTGTTCGCCAAGTAGATCTGCTCTTACCTCCTTCCACATCTGGTAGAATGCGACCTCATCATGGCAGATAATGAACCACACGCGCGCATAAAAAGCATGAAGACTGTAGATAGACAACGTGCAAATTGAGTCATGGAAACTGTCCATTGGACACCTGTTGGTCGCTTGTGACAATCACCGCGCGAGTTCCGTTCGAGAACTGCTTTCGGTGATTGATCCACAGACTCGGTTAATTGTTCTCAGACCTCTCCACAGACCCCTTGTACACGGACGTTTGACCCCAGAGATATTAGCAAAGAGAAATTGTGAGGATGGGGATATCGGTGGTTTCCACGGTTTCAGAGACAAGCCATCTAACAGAACGCGGTCCGAAATGGATGACTCTTGCTGGACGGTGACTGTGACAGCCATGACCGAAGCCGTAGAGCCTGTTCCCTTGTGCTTCTGGTGATCAAGGCACTTGTCAATGGTAGGGCGGCCAGTGGGCGAGTATGCGAATGGACTCTCACGCGACCCAATCGAGCATCACTCCATGGGGTTTCGAACCACGCTCGTATTTCCACCCCGGCCGCGATAAGAAGCAAGGCCAAGATGGCGAAGGATGATGAGTCTTGCCGGCTCTCTTTAGTATGCAAAGTATCAGTGTATCTTCAGGCTATGGGATGCCGGCGGGTGGTCGTACGGGCGTACAGATTTAGCTGTGCATCCAATTCTTGAGCTGTAAGGCGAGGAAAGGGTCCTGAAGCACGTGAACTCGACAACCACCAACAGCCTCGGTCCTTCTCTTTGTGGCTTTGCCGGGCTCTCCAATCGCCAAGAGACCAAGCGAAAACTTATCATTTCTTGGCAGCGCGGTACCGTAACTGCAGGCTCAAATCGGGCAGGTCCGTAAGGACAATCAATTCTGCTGTCATCTCTGACACCAAATAATCACCCAAGTTATCGACGCGCCGGTGCTGGAGGATACGACCAATCCTTCGTCTATCTACTGACCTTCTGCATCGCGCTTAAACACTGATTTCACCTTGTGTCGAAACCCAACACGGCGTTGACGCCAGCGTCCAGACGCGATTCGCAAATTGGCGTCCCATATGCTTGGGTCGACTCGGTCTAACAACACAAGACGGGAAGGTCTGACTCTTGTGGCACGAGCCTAATGATCAGCTTCGCGATCAACCAAGTAGTCAGTACAAGTATACCGCCATTTTCCATGCGCAGCTCACAGACTGCTATTCGTCCAGTCAGCCGCTGTAAAATACCTAGACGGAATACCAGGCTAGGGCATTCAAGAGGTGGCGAAACGGCATGCATGGATGTCCAACCAATATCTGTGAAGTTGTATCACTAGCAGTGTTGTATCACCGCGCCATCGCGCCACTTACGGGCGATGTGGGAGTCTTCTATGTGCTCACTTGCTGTGTCGACTCAGGCTGCGGGACATCCAATGTCATCACAGTCAAAACGTGCAGCGAACAAGCCTCTGTGGCATGTCTTGGGTCGCCAAACAGTTCGCCAACATGCAGCTTCCTCTTGGCTGGCATATTTGCTTGCTTTGTTCGATATTGGCTTGAGTCATCATGATTCGTGTGGTTTTCGACTAGACGGTGGTCATATAGTCATCAGCAGTTCCTTCAAGCTTCTCGGTCCTCTCTGCTGAGCCCTCCTCTCTTATGGATCTCTCGACGAAGATGTTGAAGATCATGGTGACACTTGATCTTTATTCACCGCGTGCACGACGTCTGAGTCAATCATGTTCAACATATAGCTGTATCAGAACCACAGCAAAGCCTCAAGAACAGTCACTGAAAGTGAAGACATTTGTATATGGCGGCTGCCTGGATTCTCAGTCGAGATATTTTTCTCGAAAGCTGTTCGACTGTTTTGGGAAGGAACATGGAAGGGAAGCCTCCGCCAAAAGTCTTGGCAATGACCATCCTTGTCGACACCTGGACTGAGCTTCAAGGACAGCTCCCGGAGCTCTTTTTGTGGTCGACACCATTTCTTGTCATGAAATTCGTATGGGATGAAGACTCCTCATTCGCCCCTATACCATCGTTGTGTTGAGTCTTTTAAAGTACGGCACAGCCTTGAAGAGGCTTATAGTCTTCTCCAAACAACCAACTCCATCGCGCATTTGAGTCAGCGAATCAGGCAGCTGCACAGCCTGATTTTCCAAATGGTCCGAAAAATAATTCATCTAATCATGCATTACCGCCCCAATCCTCTACAATAATAGGTCCAAAAGCCCTGTGCCCGGTCAACTCACAATCTAAATCCTTGTGCAAGATGGTTGGTCAGCTCGTTGTAATTGTGGCTGTAAGCAGCTTTTTAGGTCGTTGACATTTTCTTCGTCTACAAGTAGCAACGCTTGTGGTTGTTCTTGCGATCTTGCAATCAGTTATTGCAATACACTTTGAAGACCGCGACTGAGGAGCTCACATGTTGTCAATACTTGCTCTTGGTCTTCTTGCGAAAGCTTGCCTGGCGAGCGACTTTTGGGTCACAAAATGGAGCGAGACACCTGGTAGGCTGAACATCCCCAAGAACAGCTTTGATGTTGATATTGACACTGCATAGTTGGTCCTGATGGAGTAAGCGATATGTGTGCTGCGCTCATCAACACCTACTAACAAGTTCAGCCATGGAACGCCTTGAACGTGTCGTGGGATGTCAATCCGCTTCAAACATTCGCAATGTTGCCGTCTTTAACAAAGACTTCTCTGTTAGTCGCAGCGGACGCTTGTTCGCGACAAGACTCGGCATGCCCAAATCAAGTTCAATCTGGAGACTGGCCTATGTGGACATCATCAGCAGGTCACGTACCATTTCTCTACATGGACGGCGAGCTGTTTGGTGGCGATTCTTGGGACGAAACGGTGTCATGGCCTCTAAATCTCACGAACGACGTGCAATGGGTACATGAAAGAGCCATCGTGTGGAATACCAACAACGATTCGAACTCCCTGAACGATCAAGCAATTACTTTGACGCACAATCTTACTGTAAATTCTCCTGGTGGTCAATTGTACACCATGAACGCTGGTTTCTTCTCGTTGTATGGCGCCGAGAGCAACAACACCTGGCTCAATGCCACTGGATTCAACCACACTCAATACCTCCATTTAGCGACCGCAAAGCAGAATAAGCTGATCTCATCCCTCTCTTACGGACTCGCGATCGGCTCTCCAAGTCTCGATGTCGAACCCAGTCTGATTCTGGGCGGTTATGACAGGTCCCGTTGTTTGACCAAGCCTATTACCACTCAGAATACGACCTTCCGACTGACTGACATTTCTGTTGGCACCAATGGTACTGAGTGGCCCTTCCTGGCTGCACATGGGGCCAACACCAATGCTTCTATGGGACTGCTTACGAATGATGAATCGCTACAAGTCTTGGCCAATCCTGGTGTTCCATACCTCCATCTGCCACGCGCTACGTGCGACGCAATCGCGAAGTATCTCCCCGTCACTTATGACGAGAATCTAGGATTATATCTTTGGGACACTAAAGCGGACTCCCGCAATTATGATGAGATTACCACAACATTTGCATACTTGACATTCACATTCAGTGATGAGTCCACCCAGCAGGAACAAGAGATCCACGTACCGTTCTCTCTTCTTGATCTAGAGCTTGATGCACCTCTTGCATCATCCAAGACGCCGTACTTCCCATGCAGGCCATTCACCCCTCATGAAGGGGAGCCTTATCATCTTGGTCGTGCCTTCCTACAAGCCGCGCTTCTAGTGCAAAACTGGGAAACCAACACTACCTGGCTGTCACAAGCCCCGGGACCGAACACGACGATACCATCAAGACCTGTTATCATAGAACAGAATGACACCACGATTGCCGAGATGCCAAGTGCTCCTGACTGGCTTTCCACATGGAATGGAACACTTAAAGCCTTCAACGGGACTGGGCTGAATTCTTCGGGCTCTAACTCAGACTCCAATACCGGCTCTGGCTCCAGCTCTGACTCAACGACGGGTTTTGCTTCTCTCTCTGGTGGAACAATCGCAGGAATCGCCATAGGCGTGGTGGCAGGTCTCGCTCTCGTCGCCGCAGCTGTGTTCTTCTACATCCGCCGTCGTCGCTCGAACGCTGGGTATGGTGATGTCGCACTTGTTTCGTTCGACGAGGACGAGAATGGACGACAACAAGCACCGGAATATGAGGACAAGGGAGCGATTGAGACTTCGTCTTCGCCCGTTCACGAAGTTGAGAGTGCGCACATCGGTGAACTTCCTTCAAAAGGGCCGAACAAATTTCACCTCGGCGAGTTACCTTCTAAGGTACATCCGACAGAAGTCGACGGCACTGGTATCGCTGAGCTGCCTGGTCATGATGTGGACCGCAGATAGAACTCCATCATATCTCAGGCCACTGTCTTCTGTACGAATGTTTTCAAACACCTACGGGTTTTGAGACATCTAGTCGTTAATACAAGCATCGTCATCGACAATGCAACTAGGCCTATCTCATTCAATATAAGCGCCAGCATCGGTCGATTCGTTGTGTGCCCAAGTTTACATGCACTGCCCCTGCTGCCACGCAGGGAATCAAGTTCACACATCTCAGGTCTTTTTCTGATTGCCAGTTCCTCTGTTCTCCCTCCCTCTTACCCTAGGCTTTTCTGGATACTTTTTGTTTCTCTGCTTCCCCACATGCATGCCGTCAACCTCCGCGTGTATCTTACACTTTTCCGCAGTTACCAGGCAAGGTTCACGTGCCTTGTTCCATCCCTCTGGAGCGCCTATCCACTCACCGCCTGCGCGATAGGATTGTTTGATCGCGTTTACTAGTGCCTGTGTTAGCGACGGATTTTGTGAATCCCTGGTATGTTGCTATGATGAAGCTTGGAGGTATTACGTACGAGCCAGAGAGCATTGGTTCCATGGAACGTGGCAGTACTGGGTTTGTTGATGGTGCCAGTGGCAGTCTGAATCTCCATCAGGGCAGGGACGACCATATGCATGCTTCTTTGGCGTAGAGGGATGGTGAGGAAGTGATGACGTTCCAGAGCTTGCTTCCAGTTCATCAGCTACTCGGACAGATTCTGATGCTGCGCGAGTGCGTTGCAAGTCATTGGTAGTGTCTGGAGACGTGGAGACGTATAGAAGCTCTTCCATATAATTCAGGGAGAGTTCGGGGTTACTGCTGGTGGTTCTCGGAGCCGAAAGTCTCCTCGGCGAACGTAGGTCCCGTGACGGCATGTTGATGACATTTGGCAGATGAATTGGCTCCAAGGATGTTAGTCTAACGAGATACTAGCTTAAGGTTCTTTATTCGGGAAGGTACGCTCGCGTGTTGTCATGGCAGTCTCTCTCTTCAACACGTTATTTGCCCCTTTACCAACACATTTGTTATGACTCTGGTCATTAGAACCACTCTGATCTCGAAGTTCTCTTCATCAAATCATAACAGCCGTCTGGTCAAGAACACAGGCGGCAAGGGAGACGGATGTCGGGCTCTCGGACGAGGTTCAAGAGGGACGCAATCAGGTCCCTGACCTCTCCGCTTTACAACGCATTCCCAGAGGGTCTTCTATCGCCCAGGAACTCTATGAGTCACCCGATAATTCCGTAAATGATGCTCTTTGCATCTTGAAGGTCACAAGCGTCAACTTGTCCACCGCTTCCACTGGTCAACCATGAGAAATACCTCTTCCTTCAAATACTGGCACGAGATCTGCCTGATAGACAGCTCTGTGACAGCTGCCAATGTTTCCATCGTCAACACGAAACCCCTGCTCCAATGCCTTGGCTTTGCAGGGAAGACTTGCCCAGGACTTGTGGCTGGATAACAGTAAGGGGCAGGGTCTTTGCGTTCCTCAGTCTGCGATATCAATTGCATTTTCAGATGCCCAGTGGACCATGAATCGTCACCGAAGAGGGGATCCAACACTCTCACTGTTACCAAGAATATACACAGACTGGCGTCCTTCGAGGGTGATCTACACGAAGGATGATGATGAGACGCAGGCCCCGATCGACGTGCAATTGATGGTCGAGTACAAGATTGTTAGCGGGTGCATGATGGTTCACTGGAGACAGAAAATGCATGTCAGCAGTGCAACCGTCCAATGCTCAGATCTGGCCTGGGTACATGAAGGCATAGGTGTAGGCGTGGTACTGAAAGTGTGTCCTCACGTTGGAAGCAAGGACAAGATAGAGACACTCACCAACACGGGATTGGACGCGCTGAACAAGCAGACCTCGGTGCTAGGGACCAGGAGGTGCATATCTGAAGGCACAAAACGATGCACGAGCTCTCTAACAGAGTTTTGTCACGGCCTTGAACATCGGGAAGACCAATCTTACGAGATGGCTGTCGAATCCTGGACCAATCTAGGTACCTGCGAGTGGAATCATCAACCAACTTGGCAGGCAGCGATATCTAACATGGTCATGCCGAACCGATTCATCACCTACCGGAACACGAGTCCGGTTTTTGAGATGTTTCGACCGCTGGGATACCCGAGTGAGCATGGTTTCAGGTTGGTAGACGACGCGAACACCGTCTACGCGCAATCTGAGCCGTCGGGAACAAATGCAATAGCAGGATCCTCGACAACTACACCTATATCAACCGCTCTGACATCAACTCCTTCGTCAACTCCTCCCACGACAGCTCCTCCCATGCCAGCTCTTACCACCCCACCGAATTCCCACACGCCGACCTCTCGTACCTCGATCTCTTATGCATCTTCGCTTGCCACAGAGGAAATGAATAGCTCTGCTATAGACGCGGCTCCTGAACCTCGACTGGCAAAGCTAAAGCGCAGAGATAAACTAAGACGGCATATGGATAATATTCGCCAAGCGTGGAGAAGATTGAAAGCAAGAACGTCACAAAACAAATATTATACGTGAAAGACGAGGAATCAAGTGGCAGAGCCTGGCTTGCCAGTATCAATATTGATCGAATGTACTGGAGACAATGGGGTTCAGCTATGTTCACAAAATCATGACTTTGCTTCACTCGTTGTCACCTAGCTTTTCGTCCTGGAGGCTTGCAGTCTCTGCATCAAGGTGAACGTGTCGTTGATTGCGTAAATATCAAAATTGAAAGTCTTATGTATCTTTCAAACTCGGACTTTCGGTTGCCGTCAGATCTAGAGCTTGGAGATGCCAAACCCATCCTTTTTGGCAATACCCAAGTGGTCCTTTGTAATCTCCCTGATAGATCTGACGCCAGCTAGAGTCATGGTACGTGAGAGCTCTCTTTCCAGAATGTTGACCACGGCCTCGACTCCCCTCTTTCCATCATAGCTTAAGCCCCAGAGAACAGGTCGACCGATGAGGACGAGGTCGGCGCCGAGTGCGACGGCCTTGAATACATCGCTTCCGCGTCTGATGCCTCCGTCAAAGATGACGGGGATACGTCCAGCGACAACTTCAGCGATTGCAGGGAGGACTTCAATGGTGGCGGGGACTAAGTCCAGTTGTCTNNGATACTGTTAGTGATGGCCATGGAATAAGACTCGAAACGATGGTAATTACCTTCCACCATGGTTGGAAACAACGATGGCATCTGCACCATACTCGACCGCTAACTTTGCATCCTCCTCAGTCATGATGCCTTTGAGAAAGATCTTCATTGATGTCGCCTTGCGAAGCCAGGGAATGGTGTGTTGCCAAGTGAGACTCGAACTATGCATGGTAGGCCCTGCTTTCTTGATAATCTCATTTGCCTCGTCGACTGTGTGGGCATTAAGGAAGACGCGCTCGGTGGCAGGTCCTCTGATGCTCTCTTTGGGGCGTTGATAATTTCCTAGATGCATACCTTCGGGGAGAACAAGAGGGGTCTTTCTCTCATTGATACGGTTGCCGAGGATTGGTGTGTCTACGGTGAGTACGAGAGCAGTGTAACCAGCATTCTCGGCACGCTTAATTAATTTGAGACTGTACTCGGGATCTTGAGTGAGGTAGAGTTGGAACCAGAAGTCTGGTCCGTCACGATTCGAGATGTTGCATGCGTTTGCCACGTCTTCGAGACTGGTAGTGGATTGGGAAGAGAGACACATAGAGAGACCAGCGCTTGCTGCAGCCTCAGCGGCCTCAAGCTCACCTCTGGGATGACAGAGTTTTTGCATTGCGCTGGGAGCAAAGGCTACCGGGAAGGGGTGACGCTTGCCGAAGAGTGTGGTGCTTGTGTCGATATGCGACACATCGATCATTACGCGCGGTCTGATGAAAAGTCNTAATGGAAGTCAGTGTCAGATTTTGAAAGGCCGAAATCTGGTCCATATCTACCTGTCAAACATGTACGAGTTCCTGGCCACTGCCTTTTGCTCATCTGCTCCGGATACGTAGTAATCAAAGACATTCTTCGGCAATCTGGTTTTGGCAATTTCTTCAATCTCTGGCACGGTGATTGGGACCGTTGACGATGCTGCTTTTTGGCTCATGGTTGGTGATGTGATGTTAGTCTCAGAATTTCTCGGTGACTGTATAGGTGGTAAACGACAGTGGAGATAGCAAATGCTGTGATGTCGGCAATCCAGATAACGATCCCCACTTTTGAAACCGATTCTAATCGGAGAACGGTCACTTCACTCTGTCTGTACCTGTGAATGTCAAGATCTATGGTTAGATGAGAGGAATGAATCTACATGCAAGTGAATGTCAAGGTATATAACGATAATGCAGCGACGTCGAAACAAAATTACTGTCATGGCAAGAAGTGACAGGGTGATGCTTCCTGCAGCTTCGGCTAAACACGGCGAGTCGACCCCGCTCTTACCCGAGCCTTCCTTGTACATCACCTTCCTCGATCCATCACAAGTTCGAAAATCGCTACCAGTACAGCGCGAAGAGACGTCCTCTCACTGATCTCGATCCTCTCATCCAGCAGACGTCCCATTTCTACCTCCTTAGACCCTCGCACGTTATAAAGGCTCAAGGTTCCTCTCCCTGACCATAACCTTAGCAACTTCATGCCCGTAAATCCTCCCCAGACACTCCTTCCAAGAACCCCTCCACAATACACACTCCTTGCACTTGTCGACCCGTGCATGCAGGAAGTCTGCTAGAGCAAAGATGCTCTGTCCTTCTGTTTTCATTTCCTCTCTAGACAAGCCAGATGTAAACTTCAGAAACGAAGTCACCAGATCTGTAGCTGTGGTTGACAGTTCTGCGTTTGTCCCTTTTGTGATGAAGTCTGGACTGAATTTCCCGTTCGAGATAGAGAGGCTTGGTGGATCTGTTTCGTTGACTGCGACATATGGTTCCTTGATGTAAAACTCTGGCTCCGTAATGATTATTTCTGGTATCGGAGAGGTATACAGACACCACGCAAGACAAGTAGCTAGAGATACAAGCCATGGGATTGCCAAACCAGTGTCGTCCAATTGCTTTGGCAGAGAAAACGTCAGAGTTGCGAGGTGGAGTTCCAGGGGTATGTCTTCGGTGCGAATGCGGCGAAGAGTCTGTCTGATCAAAGTGGTGCTGCAGGCGTAGAACGTGTAGGAGATTGGTGTACCCCGTTCGTAGAGTAGTGGAAGTAGCTCGGTGCGAATAGTCTTTGCAGTACGGGTAATCGCAGGTTCGTACACCTGGTTTTTGAAGGCTGGAGTGATTGTTCGTTGACGGTCCTTGTCTGAAGGGAACGAATGCGGGACGAGGCTGGTATTCGGAGGCCGAACATGTATCTTGCTTGTGAACATGATGTCGTGATCTGAAAGATCTGCTAGGGCAAGGTAGTAGATCCTGAACCTGAGTTCAGCGGGCAAGTCCAGAAAGCCCGTACGTCGGTTAGAAAGCATGCACTGGGCTGTAGCAGCAAGCTCGAACCTATGTTTTGTGGTCGCTGCGATGTGTCTTCTAGGCGTCTGTAGACGTGTTTGCAGCAGAGACATGGCTTCGTCCTCCATGAGATTTATCAAGCTGGCCATTATGATGGATTCTGGAATTGTTGCTTGATTGTTCCAAGCTCTCGGAACGGGGACAGGGATGATCTCGCGGAAACGATTGCCGACTGATGCATGCATGAGAGTACAGAAATCAATTTTCTCGATGTAGTCGGAATGGCAGAATAGTCTTGAATGGATGATGAATAGATACAAAGAAATAGAAGAAGATGATCAAAGATGAGAGATGCGTGCGCCTGTGATGATATGCACAGATGCGAAAGTGCTTGGCGCATATTGTTGTGTAACCATAGAACTCCTCCGCTGATTAATTCCAAGATGCAAGAAAACTGGGCCATCATGATGAGGGCGTGTGGTGTGTCCGGTCGTCAGACTGAAGATTGTGTTTCTGGGGACGAGCCAGAGGCTTAGTCGCGATGAAGCAGGTCCTTGACCTTCTGTTTCAGACTTGGTGATGACTTTTGCGAAGCGTCGTCCTGCTTCTCGTACTCTTCGGCCACGACGTCTTGTTGTTCAACACCCTTGGCCCAGCCTCCAGGGACAGTCTCGACACCTCTGTCCTCGGCGACTGCATTTGCGTCAAAGATGCGTTGGCCTGCAGGAGCAGCACCTGGTGATGGGAAGTCCTGTCTTTCGGCGGTCGGGGGAGCGAGCTTGTTCTTGGGGCTCAAGTTGAGGCCTTCTGGAGGGGCTGCACGAGAGCCGCGTCTGAGCATGGNGGAGTTGTCCGAGGGAGAGAGTTCGGAAGAGGAAGATGCTACAGGAGCAGTCTCGACGGCGGTGACGATAGTGGGCTCGACTTGGCTCGACATGTTGGACATCTTTTTGGAGAGTGGGGTTGAGTATTGACAGGTGAGAATGGGGTGTGTAGATGGTAGATAATAGTTGTTGGGCAGGGGAACTATTTTATTTATCTTCGGGATGGTTAGTTTGGTGAGGGGCTACGTCAGAGTCGGGCAGGGTTTGACCTCTCCAGGATGTGATTTGCACAGCTCCACACAGCTCCCGCACGGTAAGCTCACGGATACGAGACACAAGCAGTGAAAGATCTGACTCAGCTTGCGCGTCTGGAGAGCACTTCCTATGATTGAGTGTGGCAGTGTGCTTGATCCGAGCGCATGTACCTGTATACGAAGCGGGTGAGAAGAAATCGGCGGCTCACCATTTCAGGAACACCTTATACGGTGCGGCAAGCATGTGAAGATGAACGATATGCTGAAACAGATAAGCGGTGATTGACAGGGCATGGCTTGGAATGATTGCGCGTCGGAAAGGCAGTCGACTGCTATGTTCAATCAGGTCGAGTTTGTGCTTTACGACAGGTGCGAAGCCATCTTGTCAGGGCTTGTTCCATTCCACCTCTCTGTCGCCAGTCAGGAGTAAGTCTTCCTCGACACAAGCACGATACACTTAGAGATGCTATCCTACCAGACTAACAGACTACCCGACTATAGCATGGCATGTCTGGAATAAAATCGCATGTCTGTGATGGTCAAAGGTGGAGTCGGTGGTTGGATGAAATTTTGTGCAAGTGCTCTTTGTGATAAGTGACGTAGAAAAAGTGCGGGGTGGGAGGGTCTCGGCCTCTGGTTGCATCTTCAGAGCAAAGACAGCGGCGAACAAGCACGACCGACTCACAATCAAGACCCAGGAAAACACTCTGCAAGAGACGGACGCAGACCCAAGATGGCGCTTGATCAGCAGCGCAATTGGACCATATCCATGGCCGAGAGCCTGCAGGCCGTCAAGGACAAGACTGCCGCCGCCGCCAACCCGTCACCCGATCAAACACCACACTTCCCCGTCCGAGATGACGACCCCATATCCCACAACTACCGCACGACCGAGCCAGCGTATCTCCCCGACGAGCTTGTCCTCGAAATACTCGAATATGTCGCCGTCACTCCCGAAGCGCAAAAGTCTCTATACACATGCTGCCTCTTATCGCGACAATGGCACATGGCTGCCCTTCCTTACCTCTACGCATACCCAAAGATCTACGGCAAGAACTACGACCCTTTCTACCGCACCATGTGCCCCTCAATCAACCTTCGCATCAAAGAGAGTCCATTGGCCGGCCTCGTCAAGGTCCTGAACCTGGGTATGCTAGTCCACCACAGTAGCAGGAGTGTCACGGCAAGGGTCTTGCGAAGGACAGAGGGCAGCTTGCAAGAGTTTGTTGCTCCACAGGCCTCCTTTGCCATCAACAGCTATGCCGCCTTGTCAAAGTCGCACAACCTGCGCAGCCTCGACCTGTCGCTTGTGTCTGAAGCCCAGCCTTTAGACATGCTGTTCAAGTCCCTTAGATCCTTGAACCACCTCGAACGCCTTCGTTTCCCGCGCTCCTCTGGATTCGGCGCAAACACCGTCGACCCCGACTCAATTGTCTGGCCCCAGGCTTTGAAAGATCTTCATATTAGCGGCGGCATCGATGCAAACTTCCTCTACGGCATCGTCCATTTTCCTCCAGCTCTGGAACGTCTAACGGTCGAACACTGTCCGCAAGCAAAATCTCACGCCATCCGTCAGCTACTCTCGACACTGTCCCGCGCACACTTACCCCTCAAGGCATTGTCATTATCCCACCTACCGCGACTAGGCATAAGCTCGCTAGACCCCGTGCTGGGTTTATTCCCCGACCTCGAGGAACTCAGCGTCAGTGTCGACTATATTACACCCGCAATCTTCAACCCCGACTTCCAAGAGTGGCAATCTGAGGACACACCCAACTTCACCAACCACAAGCTGCGCATGCTCGCCTTTACCAACTCTGGCAACCCCGGTGTTGACGACAAGTTTTCTCCCATCGACGTCCTTTTGACGTTAGACGAGGGCTCATTCCCGAGTCTGCGCCAGGTCAAGATTGCAAAGAGCTTGGGATGGGATCGTGGCGAGACACGAGATGAGACCGAAGCTCTGATTGACAGATTGGTAGAACTTGGAACAAAAGACTACGAAAACAAGACAGGCGTCTATGCAAACATGTCTACATATCAATGGAAGACTGCCAACTGGAAAGACTGGGCCGGTGTTTGGATCATTGATTAGATCGGACTCTGATATTGTTGGGCAAGCGTAGTTTCAGGCACGCTTGGATCTGTGCATCATTCCGCATCTCGACTTCACGTCGTCACATCCTGTTCTTTCTTGACACTCATGTACATAACATAACGATTCACGACTTCACGGCATCGACTCATAGTTCCTAAAATCTCTACATTAATTGCCTCTGCTTATCATGTTGTCGCTAAAGTCCTGTGGGCGGTGAATACATTCCGCATCATTCGTCCATTTCCAGAGGTTCAGGCACCAGCATCCGAGGCATTATCTGTCCTGTTCTATGATCCCACATATGCAGCAACATAGCTGAGCGAATCCTTCTTACTTCTACTGGTCAGCTCTGCGGAATACCATAACTACCAGGCTCTAGACTTGACCCTCATACCCATCATGTGGTTTGCAGCTTTTGTGCTTAGTCTTCTGAGCATCGTGATGGCGACATTAACAAACATCAATCTCTCGAAACTCGTCAAAGTTTGCCATCACGCAGTCTTTGGATCCAAGGAAGCAGCCTCAGCACGACAGCAGCAACCATTCCCCCTCCTAGCGTTGCCACCGGAGATCCGCTTGCAAATATATCGTTACGCTTTGCCGCAACACCAAACCATCATTCTCACAAAACCATCAGCGGCTTATTGCCCGTTCCCGCCTTCATCTTCGCCTCTATCGATCTATCTACCTGCTGTTTTTGAGAAACTACATTATGGATGCCCTTGTCAGACACGCTTGACCCCACCATTCCTCCCCTTACTCCAAACCTGCAAACTTATGCGCAACGAAGCCCAATCCCTCTTCTACTCGACCAATGCTTTTGTACTAAACATCGATGTTCCGAGGACTTTACTCAGGATACCGGAGTTGCTTGCTCTGCTCGACAGTGGCTCTGATGGCGGCATTCTGAGCATGATCAAGGATTTCAGGGTTCGGGTGGGAGGCAATGTCATGGTTGATGTTTGCGGTCCGAAGAATAGGTGGAGGAAATATGGGGCCAGGGTTTTGGTGGCCAGGGTGCCTGAGGATGAGATTACGGGATTGTTGAGGGGCGAAGAGAATATTGGGAAATGTGTTGGAGGGGTATTGGACGAGGTTGGAGAGGAAGGCGGTGTCAGTGCTGGGCTGATTAGGAGGGTGCTGGATGAGATATTCTGGAACTGGGAAGGTGGCGGTTGAGCGGTGGCGTAGAAGGAATGTTGACTCTCTCTCGTCCGCAAGCCAACTTCTTACAACGAGATACCGCGTCTTTATCTAGCTATGATTTAACAGCCTTTACCGCGCATGGAGATGATATGAAAAGGACCTGGTATATGTGACTAAACTTGGCAACCATACACAAGCTGACATGTCTCGGGCAGGTATACACGGATTGCCGATTGTACACGGTTCAAGTCGTGCAACAACCCGTTCTTCTCTTCTCTGGTTCTTCTTGCACAAGGTTCTTCTACGAAATCCTATCCAAGGACCATTCCTTGAACCGTTGCAGCCATGAAATACAGTTCCAACGGAGAATGTTCCTCGGCCACACACCTGAGGACTCGTCCTCCAGTCTAGATCATGTCTCGAACGTCGGCTATACCACTGCCAGAGTCAGCTCAAACGATCTGTCACCGTGCGAAACGTCTATCAACAGCCATGCCGGCTACGTCTAACAATTGCTCAACTTCTCAAATTATACAACATCGAACCACTTAGCTAAGTCTTCTTAGTAAACATTTCTGGTATACGATCACGTTCTACGGCCACACCCAAACCAGCTGAAGGGTGAGACCAACCATCGTCTACTCATGCAGCTTCTACACATATCCAGCATGCGTCGAGCCATCGCAACAACCCCGGCCTTTGCCGCCTATGCTAGCGCTCAGAGCACTACTTCTATCGACATTGATGCCATCTCTGTGGCTATTCCCACAAGCGTCTACAACCTTTCAATTGTCTACATTACCGCAGAGGATGCACCCGCCATCACTGCAACCACTGTCGCTGTAACAGCAACCGCTTCATCTGATCCTCTTGCAACAAACGTCTTTGACTCGGCTGGCGATGTCTCGGTCGCTTTGTCATCTGCTTCTGTACAGGCCACTGCAAGTCCCACCGATCTTTCGAAGCGCGCAGCTACCTGCGTCCCACAGCCATCCGGCATTACCCATAACTCATCTCCGGACACTGCAGCTGGGTTCGTTACTGATACATACTATTCTGGGCAAGCAACTCTGGCAACCACTCCATCTGGCTGGGTCCGATCTTTCGCAGGCTTGAATGCTTCCAATTCTGCTGACCAGTACCTCGGATTCACTCTTTTGTCATCATACGATGTGGCGACCTGCACGAATCAAGTGCTCCGCCATCAAGGGCAGTGGCTCGGTCAACATCTACTACTAGAGAGACCCGAGCTCCTCGACTGACGGCCCTCAATGCCTCGACCCGCCCAGCTCCATCAACATCAAGTGCGTATTCTGGGGCGGCGCCGTTGCAGCAGCAAATGCCAACAACTACGGTCAGATGCGCGCAAACTTCCAAGTGCTCGTTGCTGGCAGCAATGGCTACATGACCACTTCTTATGCTGCAGCACTCGCCGCTCAACCTGACGCTACTCCACCTTCTACCGCTGCCGATGCTGCAGAACGTGTATAACATCTACGCCGCCCCGGACTTGACTCAAAGCGCCTACGCCAACACTGCTGCTTCGAGCTCGTACAAGGACTGCATGACCTCCTGCGACGCTGATTCGAACTGTAGTGCTTTCACTTCTGTCGGCGGCAGCAATGGACTCGGAAAAGGCGTATGTTGGCTAAAGAAACAAGCTGGCTCGCCCTCCAAAGCCGGCACCAACGTTGTCTCTGGACCCAAAAACGGCAAGGTCACCACAACATACACAACCACCAACCCCGTGTCGAAGCAAATGCACATCTTGATCACTCGTTCTGACATCAACGCTGACGGCAAGTACATCTTCATTTCTGGTAACGGCGGACAAAGCAGCTTGGTCGCCGACGCAGCCGATGCCACAAAGTTTGCCGTGGACCAGGCAAACCAACACATGGTCGTGCAGAGTGGCAGTGCCGCTGGCTATGCTTTCGCCCTTGCTCCCACTACAAACACTTCGCCTTTATACTTTACTCCGCAGGGTGATGCATCCAAGTTTTACTTTACCTGCAATGTGGATGCCAATGGTGGCGTTGCTTGCGGCGTCAATGGTCGTGGTATCGCAGGTACCGTCTGTTCATCGGACAATTACAGCAGCATCCAACTCATCACCGGTGATGTGTGGCCTTAGACCTGTAACTGGGTGCTCTGAAATTTTGTGGCTGCTTAGCCAGGTTTTTGTGTCGTTTGTTTGTCTTTTCTCTTGTTCTTGTCCTCATCTTAGACTCCATCGCTACAGTATCTTCATAAACCATGTCTCAAATGAATACACTTTACTGCGGCATATGCACTTCTGCTTGGCGTGTCTGCACCTCCTTGCCATCGATCTTGTTCCTTCCTTTTCGTCGACACCAGCTCCCATTCACTTTTACAAGACTCGGCTTCACTCATGTAACACGAGATATATAACCTTCTTTCTCGTTGCATCTCTTCCCTATTCCTTCACTTAGATCTCTTCCCTGTATACTAACCAAACATCACGAAGGAGATAAAATTCTCGTTTCCATGCGAAAAAATTGATTTTCTTTTTGCATTTTTTATATCCCTTTGCTTTCTCCAGCGATACTTCGCTCATCCCGACAAGTTTTCCTTTCTTTTTTTTTCTTCTCATGCGCCAAGTTCATCACGACTTGAAAAGGGAGATGAAGTTTCTCCTTTTCCCTCCCTTTGATTTCGATTCGTTTTCAAGTTTGGGATCTGACATTTCTTGCTTTTGCTTCAACAGACATTGCACTCATCAAACCAAGTACTTTCTTTTCGAGACGACAGGTATTCATGGGAAGAACCTTTTTAGAAACCGTAGGAGAAGAAAAGAAAAAAATGTTAGAGTAAACTTGAGCTGTGCCATGATCCCTGCAAATGATTCGCGAGTCTCTTGGGGCAGATGAGCTGGAAGGGATGGAATGTTTGACTCATACGACCCTCTGCTAGTCACCGGCTCTACTTTGGCATCAGATTGCAATCGGTCACAATGTCCTATCTGTAAACTTCAATTCTGTTCTTCTCAAATCATGCACGTTGTACTCGGAACAGGAAACATATGGAAGTCGTTACTCCTGGTTCTCTTTGAGGCTACTGTTCAAGTCTAAACATGCTCATGTAGTTGCTGGTTCAAGCTGCCGTCTTATCCATACCTCCAAGTTATACCAACCTTGGGCCTTGAAACCTCGGGCTATTGGGAGTTCTTGTCACCCTGCTTGATATCCTGCTTGGTGTCTTGTTGATGTCTCGCTAGGTATGGTATGTTCCTCCGTAATTATTGATAGTAAGAGACTGCCTCTTCCACATGGCCTGCAGCTCGACAAAGTCTGACAAGGCAGAGTGAATCTTGGCCGAAACGGCATGCTCAACTGTGTTGTTGACCTGACCAGCAGCATTGGTGTATTCGTGAAGGGCTTCAAAGTCCACGATCTTGAGTAGGTGACCCACAGGTCCGAGGTTGTCGAGTTCCTCATCAGAACGAACTCTCAATCCAGCAAGCTCATCGTGAAGCATTTTGACTTCTTTGTGATGACTGGCTACAAGTCGGATGATTTCGCTCGTGATTTTCCTGATGTCGGCGTGGAGGTCAGACACCTCATCGGATGACTTAGAGGCAGCTACACGTATGTGAGCCAATATGTCAAGATGATGAGCACATAGTAACACATACATGGTATGTCGGCATTGGAAGTCATGGTAGACTGGTTCATGTGGGCCGGGTTGGTATTGACAGCAGACATGACAGACTTGTCGATATTGGAGGAGCTGACGTTGGCCCAAGAGACGACTCGACCAGTGCTGTTTTGAGCCGGAGAGGACTTGCAGAGTGAGTCGAAGACATATGGTATGTAAGCCGAGCGAACTCTAATGTACCTTGAGGTCCGACTCGTTGAGTAAATCTGAGATATTCATTGTGCTCGAGAAGTTCGATCACTGTAATCGAAGTAGTGGGAACGAGAAAGGAAGAACGGAAGAAAGATGGATAGAGAATGGAAACCTGTTAAGAGAAGAAGGAGCAACGCTCTAGATCGCTCCCAAACCAGACAATTTCGTGTCAACCGCTCCTTCCCAGCCTAATCTTCATGTGACGCTGTGGAGGAGATATGATTTCCTCTTTCTCAGACGATTGAACACACCCCCTCCATCTCTCTTGCTGCGAGTAACAATCTTTTTCTTCCTCTCACACTTTTCCGGCGCTATTCATGCGCGATGGTGACAAAGATTGTTCTCGCTGGGATCCTTTTTCCAATCGCCATATATTTTTGCCTGGCCGGCATCTTTCTCTTCATACTTGCATGCGCCTCGTACATTTGCGTGACTGAGTTCCGCCAATTCGTGCATCGATCATATCANAAAGGTAAGGAAATCGTGTTCCAGCGCATCAGTCTTGCTGTAAAAATTGACCTGTATCAACAGCTCAAACTTCTGTACTGGCCAGAGCGGACTTTCGACTTCCTCGGCCTACCACCTGAAATCCGCATTCAAATTTACCGCTACATACTCCCAGAGGATGACATGTACTACGTGATTGCTCGAAAATTCAGATTCTACGGCAGCCAAAATGAAGGTATCAAGGATGAGGTCTCCCGACCCTTGCCTTCTCTATCCCGTGTTTGTCGCTTAGTGCACGAAGAACTCTGCCCTCTCATCTATGCAACAGGCGTCTTCTGCATAACGATATACTCGATCAGAGATTTGCTCTATACCTTGGATCTCTTGGACAAACATGCNAACCCCACTACCTTCCACTCAGCCAGCATTTTCTCTATGATGAGACAGATCATTCTGAGAGTCAACGATGTCGTAGTAGGCATTCTCTTCAAGCCTACTGTCAGGACACTGTTTCGAGCGCTCTACATGACCCCGGTCTGGCATGGTCGTGGCAAAGCGCTGTTGAGAGATGGAGCAACAGCCATGAGGATGATCAAACGGGATCCTAGACTTCGGTCTCGTCGCACGCCTTGGTTTGAAGCCCAAGATCTGAGGCACCTTCTCGAGTGCATCTTCGAAGATGGTGTACTGGACAGGCGCGCTCTGACCAAAATGTTGCCATGGTACCAACGCCGCCAGCATCGTCAGAAATCGTCCAAGTCCCCTGTTTGACGAATGCTAAAGCATCGACCGCTATACAAGAAAAATGTTTGCTACGTGAATGGATGAAGACGATCGACTAATTTCGCTCTACAACGTTCCCAGAAAAGACTTGGCTCTACTTGATCAAGACATCAATGTACTGTAGCTCTACAAATCAATCAACACACTATCTGATAAAATCGACTAGCACCATGAAGCAAAAGCGAAACCTACCTACTCAAAGGGATCTGTGCACTGATACCATGACTATAACATAAAGAGAATTTTTCATTGAAGGGTAGACAATCTTTCCTATCCTCCCTGTCTTGTCTTGCCCTAATGCCTATCCTGCAGTGAGCCTCTTCCATTCTGCAATGTACATATAAACCTTGCCCCTTGCTATCCATGGGGTATACTGTAACCGAGCAGAACCCCGCCGAACCCGTTCCTTTGCCTGATGATAAAAATATGCTCCATTGAACGGAAATGATGGAACGCCGAGAATATGAGAATGCTCCAGACCTTTGATACGCCGCTGAAGAGAAAAAGGCCCAAGGAGTTCCGAAGAAAGGACAAAGAAAAGTGATAAACCGTAAGTGTGATATGCAAAAGAATATGCAAAAAGACATTTTTCCACTGACGATGTGAACTCAACAGATGAGTCTAAATGTGTACCCAATTCGTAGATCGGATAATTTAATATGTGTTCAAACACATTTTCTGGCCTGGAATAGACTCAGGCTCAGACTGGTATCGTTGGCACCCATAATGGGTGTCGGGTCAGGCATCAGCTCCCATCGCCTCAACATGTATGGTGTTTGCTTCAGCTCCACCGGGCCTCTATTTGCGCCCATACCCATAGAAAGTCTTTGCTGCTGGGCTTGCTGCTGTTGCAAGTGCGCTTGAGATAGGACGGGAGTATTGGGGACAGAGGGTGGACGCGCAGGCATGCCAGGTCGAGCAGGCACTGGCCATGGCCTTTGCATCATTGACGGTGACTGCGTGGCTGAGACTGGCGAAGACGAGGTTTGTAAGGGAGTAGACGTCGGATTCTGCTGAGCTGCGGAGACTGGCACAACCTTGGAGGCGAGCAACAGCCAGGCGTCTGGAGATGAGTGGGTTCCGAACAGATAACGTAGACGAGGTATGCAGCGAGCTTGAGACGGTAGGTTACGTAGGATGGTGTGCATGTGCTCGTTGGACAAGTCATCCGAGATCATGGATGCAACATCAAGGATGTGTTCAAGAATAGCTTGCTGGCCTTGTAGCTTTGGGTGGATGAGCAGAGCGCACAGGACACTCATCAGGGGAATCAAGTCTGGTGCGAGAGCGTTCACATCTTGAAGTGTATGATGGTGCATGGTAGTGAGCTGTAGCAGCACACTGATGCCGAATGCCATGCGCACCTTTTTGTCTGATTGTTTGGGATCGAGAGGACTGATACTTTCTGCGAACTGACCTAACCTCTTCAGTTGCTCGGCGAGCATGACAAAAGCGGTCGAGGGCATTGACTGAGATGAAGCTGCAAGCGCAGATGCCTCAACTGCTTTCAGATAACGCCTTACAGAAGCCTCTTCCTCCATACATCCATCGACAGATATGATGGAGGAAAGCTTCTCCAAAACACATTCGCCAGCCCAAGAGTGGATGTGGTGAATCAAGTCTTTATCAAGTGCACTCAGCAGCTGTGGCCATACTGAGGACGTGTGCTCGATCGCACTCTGGAAGGTACGAACCAGGCTGGCTTTGTCGTTCTCTGACAAGCTGTTACCTCCGGAGAGAGTTGAGGAAAGCTGTTGTAGAGCCAGTTGGCTGAATGGCAGAGAAAGCTCCGTTGTTGACCCGACAATGTTGTTCACCTTATCAATGATTGACATGTTTGCCTGCTGTTCCTGGAAAGCGGGATCTAGCAAACAATCAAGAAGAAGCTGTACAGGATTCTGGGCACCTATCAGGTCATTCCTGGAGATGAGCTCCTGCGAGACCAGTTTGTGGTCGCTAACAACGTATTGACGGAGCAGGGAGGTGATCTTGTCCCCTAGCGCGTTGCCGTTCCTCGACAGAATGGCTTGAGGGTTCAGGTGCAACAACGATCCAATAATGCGCAGGACGTCTGCCTTATGGCCAAGACAAAACGAGTTCTGTGCGACTTTGTATCTGTACACTTCGGCTGATTGATTGTGCATCACAGACGTCGAGGGTATCAATATCTTGGCACAGATGATAGCAATGCGACTAGCATTCGCAGGCTCTGTAGATTTGAGGGCATTGAGCTTCTTCTCCCAGATTTGGTGGAAGATCTCCAGCTTCAGACAGCTAGATCCAACCANGGAGGCAACAATACCTTCCACAGCCTCGAACGGCGCTGCAGGCTCGGCCATTCTGTTCACGAGCTTCTGCACCAATTGCTCAAAAGTGGTCTGGTCGAACGACCTCAGTTGCGCAAACCACGTGCTGGCACGAGACAGGCCCTCAGATCCCATCTTGACACTGCGATCAGTGATGGTAGAGAACATACGGATTAGCAGCTGCTCGTCCATAGTGTTACCACTAGTAAGCACTCGGTCGATATCGTCGTTAGACTCAAAGCTTCCAGAATGCAAGACTGCCACGCTGTCAGATGCTGGCGAACATGCAGCGGTAGAGCTCTGAATCTCGCACATTGCAAGCTCGCTGTCAAGAGTCTTTGCATACGTTGCACCAGATGGTACGCGGCGAACGAGTTCAGACAAGGACAGGAGGAAAGCGCGGTCCAGTGGTTGCCTTGATCGTAAGCGACGTTGCTGTTGATAGATTTGCGAGACCAACGCCGGCAAGAAACCCATAGTAGCGAATATCTCGATGTTCAAGTTGATAGTGTCTGCTGCAGCGGCCAGAATATGAGGATTACTGCTGCTAGACGCGGCGGCGAGTACTTTGGCCAAGCTTGGAAAGTCCTCGAACTGTTCCAAGGTGTGGCGAACCAGGCAGAAAGCAGCGAGGTTGCCATTAAAGACAGTGTCATTGGCTGATTCAAAGCTTTGCGAGATTACTCTCTCACATAGCCATTGGGCTACTGCCATTCTCACAGCGCCAACAGGCTTGGTATCGAGCGCTGGCTCATGTGAAATCATTCCAGGACTAGGCAAGGACATGCCGCCAAGGTGTTGGGACAGCACGGTCTTGTAGTTCTCAACCTCACGCACTTCTGCATTGGCGTGATAACCAACACGGTTCAGAAGTGTGCGCCTCAAATTGACGATGTGAGAAGAGAGGTAGGCTGTCGGTAGTTCGAGCAGGAGCTGAGCTTCGCTTGCGGCAGCATTGGCCCCAGACAAGACGCCCATAGAGATGAGCCATTGAAGATATTTACCAACTGAGAAATGACCAGATCGAGCGAGGGCAGAGACAAGCTTGTAGATTAGGCGAGGTTCTACATTGCGGTCGTTGCGAGCCTTCTCGAGCATCGTCAATACTGCGTCATCCGCACTGAAGCCTGCGAAGCTCCAGTATCGAATCAATTGTGCGGCAAGATAAACACGAGCGATACCTGAGCGGTGTTTGGAAGCTGCCCATTCAAGTGTTGTGACCAACATCGACCGTGTATCGAGCCCCAACAGCCCACATTGAGCAGCAATCCTATCGATTTGAACATCCAAACCGACAGAGTCCAGGGTGTCCAACAATCGAAGTTTAGTAGTACGCGAGGTTGCTTGTGGGGATGCTCCTGATAATCGGTTGTTGCGTCTTGCAACATTGGTCAGACCGTCAGCTTCTAGATTGATCCGACCTGTTGGTTTAACAGCAGCGAAGGTGGTCTTGTATTGGTCCCAAGTCTTTGGGAGAACCAGGCATCCTCTATGGTTAACGGCCAAGATAGTGATGAGTTGATTGACGCGCGTGATGAGCTGTAAATTAATACCATACGGTGTAGCGGCAAGGGCTTTGGCATGTCCAAGCAGGGCTTCGGCGAGTCGATGACCACGTTTCCGGTGGGAAATGAGATGTTTCCAGTATATTTGGGTAAGTAGGATCCAGACCGGCAGTCTTTCAGAAGAGCTCTGTTTGAGGGAAGTGAGGATCCAGTCCATGTAATGTTCTTCATCAAGGAGATGCTCAACATAGAAATGAGTGGCCAAACGAACAGCATAATTCATCTTTTGGGACCATCCCGGCTGGCCGCAGCTGACGACAACACCATCAACAAACTGTTCAACAAATACAGTCCACTCTCTGATCCATTTTAGTTCACCAGCCAGAGCAGCAGGGCCAGAGACACCCTTTCTCTTGAAAGCACGAATCTCGTTGGCTCCGACGCACTTGGAAAGCCAGACAGCTCTGGCGATGGGAATGTCCTTGGATATGCAATGATCGAGGAGTACCTTGCCTCGAATACCATGAGGAATAGTCCGGCTGAGCTTCCGTAATGGCACTTCTGGGTTGGCAAGGTCCTTGAGCCAAGCTTCTCTCTTTGTGTCGGTCAGGGTGACTCTTGGTGGCGGCTTAAAGGTCGAAGGGGCGGTGCAGAGACGCATTTGAGACCTCTTGTCCAGCACTTGGACAAAGAGAGCAGACAAGACGCCGAGTCCATTCTTGTTCTTCAAGCTGGGCCAAAGATGAGGGCGAGCCGTATTGGACTCGGTACTCGAGGGACCGGTAGGCTTGTCGCTGAAGCCGGACTTTATGAGGTGCTCGTTCAGCACATCTTCCGGATGCTTGCCTTCGATGTTGGTCCATGGGAAGAAGTCGGCAGCCTTGTCTCNGGGAAGAGCAGTGGCCACTGCGGGTGGTTGTAGACCGTTGGCTCTTGTTGATGGATCCAGGACGGGAGTGGGTGTCGGCTTTGGGACGGGCGGGCGAGATTGACCGTGTGCGGTCAGAGATTGGGGACGGCGAGGTAGAGGTAGTTGTGTGGTGCGTTGCGAGAGGAGGCGAGGCGGGATGTGCTGGGTGTTGTCCTCGGNGGTGCTGACGGACTGTGCGGCGTATTGGAGCATGCCGTTTGCCGTGTATGCCGAGCGGTTGGCGTCGTCGACGTCGGCAGTGTCATTTTGTCGACTCAGGTTGACATTGCTGAGTTTGGAAGGAAGAGCAGGGCGATTCAGAGGGCGAGGGTGAGGGTGAGGGCCAGGAACTTGCGTGCCCGCGGGTGGTTGGCTTATCATGGCACTGTTGCGGAGTGGGTGCACCTCATGCTCGAGGCTTCAGACGGCAGGAGCCATGGGCACGACAATGGCAGCAGCGGTGGTGGTTGTGTGGTTAAAGCAGGAGTCGGCCTGGATGGTGCGACTCGACATGCTTGATGCTCAGTCAGTCACAGGCACACGTCGCACACGAGAGAGAGGGTGAGCGAGCAAAGTCCAGAGCAGCTGATAGCAACATGTCATATCCGATCTACCGTACCAAAAGATAACTTGGCTGCCCTTAGGCCAACGCTCGCTCCACTGCCCGCACAAGCACACCGCACTCGCTGCTCTTTTGCCGACAGCCTCCAACTTCCAAGACAAGGAACCAACAACAGCCGCCACCTCGGCCTTCCCTAGACCTTCCGCTCTCACTACCTGGTCCGAGAATTTCCCCCAATCGCTACTCTAGCAAGCCACCGGCGACATGCCTCTTGCTCCTTCCTACTGATTCACCTTTACCCCAGTCAGGGCCCAGATTGCCGCGACAAGCCTGTGCCTGCAACCTGCTCCTTCCGAATGCACTCATCAGCAAACATTCGATATGTGCCAAGCCTGACCTGACCGTAACCTGACTCTGACAGCTATCCCATTTACCCCCAAATCTCCCAAACCGTCTATTCCTACAGTCAAATCTGCAACACCAGCTTATCTCGGCCCAGCTTCTTCCCGGTGGGTGGAGAGCCCCCGGCATCTTTCTTTGTGTGTGCGCTTTCAGCCTCGCCGAAACAACCTTCATTCATGTTTGCTTCTTTACGCATCCGCCGTCGCTCTGGCGTGATGAGTCCTTTTGCTCTCGTAATACCCAGCAAAGCGGACCTCTCTCGGTCCTGGCCTGGTGCCATGCCGTCTGCGACAAGCAACTGAATTGCAAAAGCCGAGACTTGCTTTCTTTGCAAATCTCATCTCTGTCCCTGCCTCCTTCTCCGCATTTTGCATCTCTTTTTGCCTTTTGGGCGATAGCCCTTTCCCAAGTGCCCGTTCCATTGGTAAAAAACGCTCCGTGATGCACCGCAACTCTTCACCGGGCTCTATCTCCTTGCAGCCATGCGGCATTAGACTGGCCATGTCGTGCTTTACTCAACACTTTTCGAAACATCAGCCTTGTATTCTAGTTGATCCTGACCTTGGACCCGACCAGATGCGCACGCGCACCCTTCTTCATGCAATCTCATTGACTCCTTTCATCTGCATACCTTGAGATAAAGCGAGGCGTCGCATCTACAGTACATATCGCAAAGGCCGCCTTATCCGCACCAAGCCCACGTGCTCACTCGCTTGCTTGAACAAGCAAGTATCTATCGAGCGTATCAAGACACGGAGTTGCATCTTTCTGTTGTTCCATTTTCGGCGCTCAAAGATACACATTTTCTCCGCATCTCGCATCTCGCATCAGAGACTCACCATATCATCTGCACACATCGGTCGTATGGAATTGAATCTCCTTTCGGAGCCCTGAGTTGTATCTCTCGGCGACTCATGGAGCCTTGTTCGGAGCGTCGATCCTGGAGTAGACACTCTTGATCAGACATGTTGATGGTCTCCGACCTCGCAGCAGGTCGGGGTTATTATGACAAGAGTTATGTATTCACCACCACGGACTTCTGCCCGGCTATGAGCATGGCTCTTGGGTCTTTACACGCTTTCCTGACCGATTGGTGGATCTGTCCAGCGAGCCTCGAGAGTTTGACGGCAACTGACTTCACCTTTCCTGCTCTCTTTTCCCCACATTCCGCGAGCCGCCTATAGCCGACCTTTTCCCAAATTCCATGCTTCAACTGTTTTGATCGATTTGGCGAAAAAAAAAGAAAGGTATGCCGCCTGGATAAGATGCCTTGTTGCTCAGGTACAAGCGCCTAATCATACTGCATTTGCTCATCTCCGCTATCATACCCATGTCTATCGGACGGTTTGTATGCCATCACCGCCATGATGTGATGTGCGAAGGTTATCGCTCTTCGTACGTTGTATCGATCTTGAATTTCCGCCATCATCGACCTCGATATTTCAGACTCGGCCGAGATCGTTGGCCGCCGGCGACAGTATTCAGCATCCCTATGAGAGTTCGACATCAATCTCGAGGTGGACGAGAGGCTCTGTCGCGATTGTCATACTCGACGAACCTCATTCCGTCGGTTCCGTCTTATCCACGGGCTGGATCTCCAAACTAACTGAATATGTTGGCTAAAGATCGAGAATCAAGCACATACGGCCACAGTCAGCTGAAAACTGGGCATCCCGTCCGCTCTGCCATACATAAGCAGTTGAACGGCAGATTAGTACTACGGTGGGTGACCACGTGGGAATCCCTGCTGCTGTATGTTTTGCTCGTTCAGCATCTTCTTTTTGATGGCTGTTCATCCAACAGCAATGCTGTTTTCCAACCTGCTTCTATGCGCGGCAGTTCTCTTTTGAGACTCTAGTGTGGTATAAGTGAGGCAACATTGGGCTATTCTCTCCTTACCTGACGTGCTCATGGCAATATTCTAGCCACCAATGAGTATTACACCGTCTGTCTATATCTCGCGTCGTTGACAACAATACGCAATGCTTGACAACGACCTGCTCTCTGCATTATCAACTTGTCTGTTCCTCGTGTCTTGTCTCGTCAGAGTCCATCATCAAGCAGCTGTCGAGGACGACGTTTCTAAGTATCCCTCCAAACTCAATATCAACTTTCTATCCTTACAAAGAACCATGGCAACCACATTCTGCTCAAGCCAAATGTCGATGTACTGAAGCCTACAGCATCCTCGGACGAATCCATACTTATAAAAACTGGTAACACATCGCGAGAAATATCACTCATGTATCAAAATCTGGTATTCGGGAGGACAACCCTGGCAGAAACCCTTGCCTCACTCACTATACCGTGGTCTCAACATCACGATGGCGAAAATGCAAAAGCTGCCAATAACATTCACTAGTGTTGCAATTTGCATTCAAAAGTGTAGGACAAGGAGAGTGGTAGCCACTTTCAGTTTGTCATGTACAATCGACATTCTTCCACAACAGCAACCGCAGCGAACACCGGATTGCTCTCCAAGTCGAGTTGTAATGATCAAATAGTTTTGACTTACAGGCGACCAGAAGTCATCAGGGGCACAAACACATTCACAAGTCACTGCTTCAGACACACAATGCTGTAAAGTATACACAAGTAGAATTGAAGGTGTAAGAAGAGGTAAAAGCTAGGTGATAGGATTCAAGTCATGGCCCTCCATCACACAAAGAAACTGGTGTGACAGCCAGTGTATCCAACACACACGCAGAAAAAGTGCGAATGCTTTGCCTTTTGACGCCAAACCCCATCCGTTTCAATCCCAAGGGGGCGTTGTGTGTGTCTGTTGCCCAAGTTTTCCTTCCCAACAATGCAAACAATGCTATCTTGCCTACAACAAAGGAGAATGAGCNNGATGGTTAGGAATATGTGCAGTGTCTTGAGGGTACATTGCTTTTGCCTTCTCTAACTTTCTTATTCAGGAGGAGGCGCTTCTCTCCTTGATTTGTCCGATCTTGAACAAAAGGTGNNGATACATAATAGAATGGGTCGTGAGCTGGTTTCTGTCGTTAGAAATGGATTCCGCAGGNNTCGCAGTGACTCGATGATCTTCAAAGCCTTCTGAGTGGAACGTGATGCCGGTAACTATGCGTAGGATCTGCGGTTGGGGTGTGCTTGTCTCCATGCTTGCTCGCACATGTTCAGAAATGCGTCCTGTAGATAAACGCTTGCGAGACTCATGGCGTGGTAAGTCTGGGTTGAGGCGTTGCGGAGACTGCTTGTATGCCCGATGTCAGTGGCTGAAAGTTCTTCCTTTAACTTGTACCACGACGTGAGTTGGGCGAAGCGAGGGCATGGGATTGGATGGTTCATGCTTGTGCTGGTGGTAAAGTGTTAGGTGAGTTCCTGTTGACTTCACCTGTGCAATTTCTCCCAACCATCCAAGTAGTGCATGAGCGCCATGCCGACAACGACCACAATGAAACCCGATCCAAGCGGCAAACCATGGTGGGTAAGCTGCTCTTTCAAGTTGTCAGAGGAGTTGTCGGAAGCGTCATGTTGGGAAACAGGCATCTTGCGGGCGAGCAGTCGTTGGATCGATGCTGCTTGCTCTGTTGACAAAGCCGCGTTGGCATTAATACCGGCTTCAGCCAACAGACTGTACAGACTGCCTTCGACTAAAGGCTCGGAGATGTGACCGTTCGAGGACGTTGTGTTGCTCGCGAGGCTAGACGATGATTTTGATGGGGAGANTGCCTCTTGCTGGCGCTGCAGCTCTGCGTTCTCCTTGCGCTTCTGCTCAACCATCTCAGCGAGCGTCTGGTGCGCGTCATCACGCTGTGACTCTGCTGTTTCTGCGCGACGACGATAGGCTTCCATCTGTGTCTTCATATCATCCATAGCCGCACGGAGTCTATCAAGCTGTGACTGGAGTTCGGGAGTTTGATCCTTTGGTAGATCATCACTGTCGGCAGAGTCTTCCTGCTGTTCAGTAACAGAAAGGTCTTCTTGGTCTTCGGGTGACTTTTGAGATGACTCCAGCAGAGAAGCTCTTTCCTCGGCACTTTCACGAGCATTACGCTCCTGTTTGAGTTCCTCTTCCAGATTCTTGACACGATCTTCGAGGCTAGGGATTTGATCCTTGGCAAGTTTCAGCTCGTGTGTAAGGATGAGAAGAGCTTGTGAATGATCGGCGCGAGTGGGAGATCCGTTGGGAGCCAAGATTGAACGAGCAGTTTCTGAACGCATGAGGAGTGGTTGGATTACGGGATCGGCAAGAGCCTTTGCGACGTCTGGCTTCTCGGGCAACGGAGCCTGTGGTGGTGGAGCAGGAGGTTCGGAAAAGATTACAGAAGGCTTGGAGTCGGAAGTTTGTTGCTTGACAGGCGAGGATCTAGCTGACTTGTCTTGCTTGCCCTTGGAATCAGCAGCCAACAACCCTTCGAGGCAAGATCTGCTCCGAGCTAGGTCCGAGGATTGCTTCTTAGCAAGGCTCAGTTCGCGGTTCAGACGTTTCACAATTGTCTCGGTCGTCACGGTGGAAGGCCAGCCGCGAGCCCATTGGGGTTGTTGCATTGCACCTGAGTCTCTGGCAGCCATGACAGCGGCCATGGCGTTGGCCTTTGCGCTTTGTTGCGATGACTGACTGTTGCTGCGCTTCATTTGATGAGAGGGATCCATTTCTCCAAAGTTGAGCTCGGCAGTCTGGTTGTAGATTCCAGCGTGTTCGACACGAGCAGCGACTTTGTGGTGAACAATCGTCTTTTGGTCCTCGCTGACGATATCGATGCCGAGTTCGAGAACATCTTGCTCACGCAGTTCGTGCGGCTCTGATTCTTTGTTTTCGGGTGACAGTCTCTGACCATTGACGAAGGTGCCGTTGGAAGACTTGACATCGCGGATGAAGATTCTTCCATTGCGCTCAGCATAGATTTCGGCGTGCTGACGTGAGAGAACCTTTGAGTCGAAGAAGCCGTTGGCAGGGGTAGGGGCTGTTTTGGCGTTGGTTTGGCGGCCGATGCGCAATACGTCAGGGTAAAAGGGGACGCTGATGGTCTTGCGTTCGAAGGTGCCGTTCATGGGCGAGAGGTGGAGGATGGCGGGCGTGTCGGAAGGGGGTTGAGCTCCTCGAAGCGAGCCGTTCTGGGCGGTAGACATTTGCTGTGAAGGCAGCATTGGACCGTGTAGGGCGGAGATTGCGGAAGCGGCAGATGGACCAGATGAAGTGGACGAGACGGGCTGGGGACGAGTGGTGGAGAGGCCGGCGGTGGGCTCTGCTTTTCCTGATGGCCAGATGCCTCTTGAGCTCTTCTTGCGCGTGGTCCATGTGGTGGGATCTTGATTGGACGGGGAAGGCTGAGACGGGGTAGAGGCCTGGGAGATGGTAGAGGAAGAGGACGACGAGGCCGAGGTGAGAGAGGACTGCGAATTGGAGCGCTGGGCGCTCTTACGGGGGCCGGGCATGAACATCCTGGTCACATTGTCGTCCTGGGTCATTGCGGATGTGCCGTTAGTCCATGTCGCAGTCGAGCGGGCAGGCGGCTGGAAGGTGACGGGGGCGCGACTGCTGTCATTTGCTGCTGCCGGGCGAGACGCAGAGGTGGATTGGCGACTTTCTGACGGACGGGGAAAGCGCCGGGGCTTGGATGCTCGCGTGGTCGTGTGGAGAGGTTGATAGGAAGTGGTCGTGGATCAGCCTTGTCGTGTGTCGATCATATCCAGGGCAGCCGTCGTGTCTCGGGAGCTTGACAGGAAGCGCAGGACTCGAGCGGGCGAAGAAATAACAATATGCAGGCGTGCAGCGATCAAGAAAGGGAGCACGTCGAGCGTCACAGAATCAAGACGCACAGACGGTCGCTCGCTGCAAGTCCAAGTTGCGACCAAGAAAGTGCAAACGGCGTCTTGCGACAGGAGGACCTAGTAGTATCTGGACCCGCACCGTTGTCCACCTAGATAGCTACGCGGACTCAACGACAAAGGACAAAAGCATGCACAGAGAAGAGAATGCGTGGATGAGAAAGAGAGCGGGAGGCACAACAAACAAGGAAGAGCGCTGTGCCTTGTGTTTCCCGCTGCCGCCGTCTCGCTCTGCAAGCCAAGTGGAGCTGAACTCTGTGCCAACCCCCGACTCGCTCCTTCCTTCCTTCCTCACGGAGTGACCTGCCAGTGACCTTTCAGTTACCTTCCGACCGGTCGGACGCCTGAACAAGCCCCACTCCAGCGCCAGTCTTTGTTCCCAACCGTAGCCATCGAATCTGCATCAGGTTTCACAACCTCCGAGACCTTCCACCATCGTCATTGTTCTGTCCCTCCGCACGTGACTGCCAAGTATCCCTCCACCTTGATTGCTCGTAGCTCTGGCTTGGGCATACCGAAATCTGGAGAAGACTGGTTTGTCGCATTCTTTGTTCTACTCGACTCGTCAAGATGCCTGTACCCGCAAGTGCGATGCCCGCTGGTGCCCATGGCCCTTCTACCTTCGACAAGCGTAATACAATCCTTCCATCCTCGTTTTGCCTGAAATACTGACCAGTCTACNNAGTCAAGATGGGCGCCATGATGGGCGGCAGTACGTCCCTTCCTCACTGATACATGTTTCTTCGACACTCATCACCCGTTCCAGGTGTCGGCCTCATCATCGGTTTCATCTTTGGCGCAACCAACATCATCAGATTCGGCCCTGGTCCCAATGGAATGCTCAGAACCTTGGGCCAGTACATGGCCGGCTCGGCCGCCACCTTTGGGTACACATCTTGATTTCCTACACTCTATACCCTTTGCTGAGACCGCCCAGANTTCTTCATGTCCATCGGTACAACCATCCGCACAGAGGGCACCTCGCCCATCGTCAACCAGGCGTACGCCAACGCCTACCGCAAGCCCTTCATCTTGCCGAGAAAGCACACCGCACGTTCATAGACCGATCTGAGGCTGTGCGTCTACCGCTCAGCTCGAAGATCGAAAAGGTCTCATCGATCGCCGAAGTCGAGACCAAATTTATACAAAGCCATCATGCTCAGCATGACCCCACAACCGTGGACTCGAAACCGGTAAACCATGAAGTGGAGCAGCCTCCAATGCATCTCATGGCTCTTGAGTTGTTGACGGCCTCGTCTATCGAACCCATCACGCCGTATGTACTTTATACCACTTCTTGTAGCAATATCAATCTTCCTCATCTTTTCTTCATGCGCCCAGATTTCCATCTGATCGAACGCGTTCCAAGACGATTCCAGTCTGAAACAGTGTTCGCTTAGTGGACAAATTCTTCAAATCCATCCTCAACACGAGTGAGTGACAGTCACATGTCAACACTTCAGTCTCCGGCGTCACTTTAGCGCGTCACCCGCGCTTGCCTTCTACGTGAACATTCAATTGTTCTGCCAACTGCCCTCACCAACTCGATTATCTGCCAATCTATCCAGGTCCTTCCCTATCATGGCTGACCCTCCGACCTTCTCCCTTAACGTCAATGTTCCTGCATTGGCCGATGTCCTCCAAGCCATCCAAGATCTTAGAACTGAGGTCCAGAGAAGCGAAGCCAGAATCTCAGCGCGACTGGATGCCGTTGAGGCACGCCTAGCCATCCGACACTCCAGCCATCCGTCCAATGGTCCGCTCTTAGACATTGACGATCATCATGCACACCGGAATGATCACCTCGAAGCAAACAACCAAGATCTTCATTTCCAGACAGACGATCTTGGCGCCGAAGACGATCTCGGTCCTGGAGACGATCTCTCTTACGAAGATGACTTCGCCCACGAAGACGATCTCGCTTGCGAAGATGCTGCCCACCACGTCAACATAGACGATCGTGCGGTGTCTCANGATTTCTTCCCCAGCGTCGATCAGGGGTTGACTGCATCGGCTCTGCCACCTGCTGCTGGTAGAAAGCGCAAACGTACAGCGGGCTCTCATGTTGGTGAGCTAGACTACATCAATCAGTCGGGTTTCGTGGTCCGAGGCTCTGACGCTCAGTTAGCTGGAAAGAAAATCAAAGATGCCGACGGGCCTTCTAGATCGGAGTCGCCTTTCGATGCCAACAATGACGACAACAGCCACCAACCTTCGTCAGACGACCTTGATACAATGCCGCCTGTTCGCCCACAACCAAAGCTCTCGGCATCNTCCACGAAGACCTCACCCACAGCATCGTGTCAGAGCGCTGCAGACTGTCGAAGATGAACCTCTTGCTTTCCAACCGGGAGAATATACCATAAGGTAAGATCGATATCTGCTACAAATATGACAAAGGCTAACACAAGATACAGTCAGCGTGGTAGAGTGAGAAAGCAGACGCAACGACCAGATGGCTTTGTTGGAACTCCAAAGGAGACAGAGATCAATAAGATGTCCCGACAGACACGACAGAAGAAGTGATATAGAGGCCTGTATTGAAAAGCCACATCGACGCCAGGAAAACGGATCAAACGTATGGATGGGTGGAGATCTCAAAGGGATGGATCAAGAACGCCAGCTTGTGAGATGTATATAGAACAACGAGACGCAGTCCGTGGCTTCTGCGTGAAGATATGGAAGATGATGACTTTTCGAATCATGCTTGTCCAGATGATGTCCTCGTGCCTGCTGATATCCAATGTCCACGCCACTGCTATCTCGTGTCATGAGTAGCCATTGTGCCTTCTGCTTCACTCGGCTCTTGTCCGTCCATATGACAGCTGATGGAGCGTCCACATGCCTGCTAACCGAGATCACCTTCACATGCCTACTGGCAGTTGAAGCCACGCAACTCGTGTCTTCACAAGATCAGGATTAATATTGAGATCGTGTGGTCAAGAGATGACCAAGCCATGTAGCTGCACATCAACGCACACTTTCTGCTTGATCTTGCCTGTTCTCTGTCTGCCCACGCTACTATCGTGGTAGGCGGAGCTATAGACTCCGTGATCTGTCAATGGTGTAGGGAAGGTGCAAAGCGCCTTGCCAAGAGCTCGCTTTTAGAGTGACGAAAAGGACTCCCTTACCGCGGCGTCTGCCTTTCCTCTTTTACTAAACACCATAACATAAAATGGCAGACTACAAGGTCACCCTCACTAGACAAGTCCGCAAGATGCGCGAAGATCTCGAGGCTATCGGTGAACGCCGTAGGGCTATCGTCAAAGGTCTTAATGCTCTCGAAAGATGTGTCGAAAAACTGTATCAAGGTACACAGTTACATGTTTCTAATCTGTCATACTTCTACTTAAATTCACTTGCAGAGCAGGGTCCGGACTCGTCTTCCACCTTCGGTGGAGCTGAGTGAGTACTTTTCACTATCGATTTGCGATTTTGTCACTTATCTTGCCGTTGCAGACTAGGAGATGCTATCATTGTCAAGTCGTATGCGGCACTCTAAGAGACAGAGACAACAGCCAATTTCTAACAACACACTAGAGACGATAACATGGTCGTTGAAACTCCCCTAGACAAGTAAGTACCATGTCTTCTATAGACACCATAGCCAAGTTCTAACAATACAACAGAGACGAACCCGCTGCCGTTAAACCTCCTATGGACAAGTGAACCCTATCTCTTCTACTACAAACGCCACGGCCGAGTGCTGACAACCAAACAGCAGTAACGAATCCGTCGAGCAGGAAGACTCCGTCGTGCAGGAAGACTCGGTCATGCAGAACGACGACGCTACGCAGAACGCACCCGTGGCCCAGACAAAAGGCAAGAAGAAGATCGGCGCCAATCCCAACAAGCGGTAAGGACTTACTCGATTCTGAAATTCTCAAAGCCAATACCTGACTCGTTTGAAGTGCTGCACCAGTGACCCCACCAAAGATCAAGTAAGCATTTTCTCTTCAGCGAATCTCGGCAGCCAGGGGCTGACACAAACTTAGGACACGCACTTCCAGCCGTGTTGCGCAAAAGAAGGAGTAGGCTGTTCGCTTTGACCTCCCGAACTTAACGACTGACCGAGCCAGGGACACTCCCCTTCGCCCAGAAGACTGCGTTTTAAGAAGACCTAAAGCGCCACGATACAGTCCGAAGCGTCTAAAGCGTCCAAAGCGTCCAAAGCGTCCAGAGAGCAAAAACACAAAGTCCAGAAGTCATTGCTCAGTCAGAAGTTGCTCTATCAGAAGCGAGTGCTCAAAGAAGGGAAAGAGAGACGGAACTAGCTCGCTAAAGTCAAAATGAAGCTGCTGCCCCAGACCCAGATGATCCAAAACTCCAGAATGGAATGATTCCGGCCGTGACAAGACACCAAATAAGCCGGCGTGCAAATCCAGACAAAACGTGAAATCGAAGTCTCGAATTCTCGAGAGATGGAGACGCTTCGACATTTCACCGCCCGGCAGTCTTCCGCTCCTCTCCTTCTACCACCTCCTACTCCATTTCTCCTTCTCTATTCGATCATTTCCTACTTTCTTCTTGCTTGTGTTTGTTTGGCATTTTTTTGAGTCTTGTGTAGTGTGTTTTGTGTGTTGTATCTATAAATCCAATTACCTACCATACATTTCTATCCCATCTTAACTATATCGCCAGATCCACACGACAAATACATACGTGTATTCTACATAAATCTATCTTATACTACCGCAGAAACATAAGTTGTTCTGTATCTTGTTTGCATTTTAAGCAATACACCGACATTTTTGCTACAGCCACCGATAACCATGATCTAGGCAATGAGAGCAACGGAAAGTCGGGTGAGAATCATGAATTTGTATATTAGGCCGGATGATTTGTTGGCATAATGGGATCATCAATGGACGTCTATCATGTTGGGACAACAGCTTATTGTCGAGGAGTGTAGCGACACGAATGTTTTTTGAACGAACAACAAATTGTTTACTCGAACCACAGTACCACAAGAACCTAAGCAAGAGGACATCTTCACAAGCATCTAAACTCATAACCTCTCTTTGACATTTCCAAATCTTCGCAGATAAACTTACAAGATAAAAGAAAAAGCTACTCATTCCATGCACATTTTAGACTTCTCATCTTTCGCTGGAGCTCGCATCTTTGTCAGAAAGGATACAATCCCTACTCCACATTCACAACTACTCTTTATGCTACACTACAGCCCCAAACATCCCCTTTCTTCCTCCCCTGCGCCGTCATTGCTTCGTTAGGCCAATTCCATAACCTCCCCAGGCGTGATAGAGGACACTCTCATTCATATTTCCCTTCGCCGCCTTTTGATGCAAATGCAAATGCAAACCGTAGCTGATCCGCGCATCCCAGAATGTGGGTTGCATCAACTTTCAATAAACCTTCGCCAATCGTTCCTCGTACTTGTGCTCGTCGTTGGCTCGAAGGGCCTTGGGTCATGCCTCGAATCTTGCATAGATCGGGCATTCAGCAGAGATGTTTCCAGTAAGGAAAGCACTTCTCAACCCGTCATCTTTTCGTAGAGCAAGATGTAAGCGACCTTGTTGTCCTTGACGCTGCTCTTGTCCTTGGCCAGTGGTGTGCGCTTACCGGACGATGATCCGTTTGCAACAGCCGATGTCAATGTAGGCTTCTTGTTGCCACCGTTGACCTCGTTCCAGCTGCGTACACTATCCGTGTCATCGTCGCCATCCAAGCCCTCGAACAGGTTACGTTTGGAAGCGTCCGTGTCCGCCTTGTGCTGCTCAAGCGCACGTGCCAAAATCTTGGGATCTTCCTCCGAGCCGCCCTCTGCCACATCTCCGGGACGGATGCGACGAATGATGGTATCATCGACACGAACCCATTCGCGCTCATCCTGTCGGAGGATGTCAACAGTGTAGTGACCGCCAGCAGCACTCTTGCCATGATGGTAGACGACCGATGTAAGACGGTACTTGGGAGCACCACCCTGGACAGCCAAACTACCACGCTTTTGAGGAGCGAAGACCTCCTTAGGAATCTCTAGCTCAAGTGGGTAGCCGACCTTCTTCCAAATCTTTTGAGTGCCGCCAGTGTTATCATACTGGAAGCGCTTGAGGTGCAGAATGAGGACTGGTGGAAGGCTTTCAATAAAGACTTGCTTGACAGCAGTTGTGCCGGGTCCGCGAGGCGAACCAAAGTCTCCAGTCAAAGTCTCCGGCTTTGTGATGGCCTTCAATGCTTGGATGATGTTGTTGACGTCGGGTGCACCAATGTCCAGTTGCAAGGGTTGGTATGGCTCCATAGTGACCGAGTTCTTGAGACCAGGAACACGAAGCTCCGAACGAAGAGAACCTCCGAATATGCGAGTGATGGGAGTGGGCAATGATTCACCACTCTGGCGAGTTACGGACTGCTTCTGCTTGGGACCAACCTCGAGCCAGCCAGCATCAGCGTTTGCACCTGAGGTAGTGCTGGCAGGTGATGCAGGCTGGGCAGAATCGTCCGATTCCACTCCGGCTTTGCGCATCACAGTCATACACTCGTCATGGATACCGTCAAGCAAGAAGCCCAGGAACTCTTCGGCATCTTGTTGATGACCACGTCTCATCGAGGCAAAGCGAGGCAGGTCCTTGATAGTATCATAGACATACTCGGGTATGATGGAGTCGCCGTATTGTTCTAATTCTTGATCCTTGAGACGCATGCGCAGTTTTTCAGCAGACTCTGCGCTGTCAATAGTCTTGAACTCCCTCATAAACAAGANTCCTACAACAGTCAGTACTTCACTTTCACATCAAGTGAGTAAGACTTACATGGCATCAACAAGAGGAGTTTCACTCTTGAAGGAGTGAGCAGCTCTCTTGCTAACCTGATCCAGGAAGTTGTAGAAGGGCATACAGTATACAAGTATTTGGAGAANTCTGAGTATGTCAGTGAAAGTTTTGTTTTTGAAGCGGGCCGAAGAACGTACCGAATTCATATAACACATATTGCCAGTATTTACAAGTCCTCTGGGCTCCAAGAAGGCAACCTTATCATTGTCGTCGACGTTGAATTGTTTGAGAGCGCCAGCAAGAGTGCTGGCTCTCGAAGGGGCTGCGCCGTTAGCCGGGCCACTGCCATTCACAGCAGCAGAAGATGCAGCGGCGGCAGCAGAGTTCTTGGAGCGCATAAGATCTGCCCACGNACTTGGGAGCTGCCTTGGGTGCAGGAGTAGCAGGCTCGGCAGGCTTAGTCTCGGCGCCTGCCTCGGGCTGAGGTACGGCAGGCCCGGCAGCAGACACACTCTGCTCATTGGCACTGGCAGCAGTCGACACAGCCTCGGATGAAGCTGTCTTGGGCCTAGCGGCGGGCACTGCAGGTACAATATGGAAGGCTGGCCTCGAGTCTTTGTTGGTTTGGCTCTGGGGAGTTGCAGGCTTCGAGACTTCTGGCAATGCGGATGACGGAGTGGCCGCGCCTACGCCGGCCTCTGAGGGAGCCTGAGAGGTTGCTGGAGTTTCCTGAGCAGATGGGAGTTNNGAGACGGTGCGGCCACAGTCGAAACTTCAGATTGAGTCGCATCGGCAGCAGGATCTTGGACGGGAGCAGCAGTCCTCGATGGCAAAGCCACAGCGTCATTACCAGCAGTCAGATCCTGTCTCTTTCTTCTACGCTTGGATGCCTTGGGAGGGAATATTTCGTAGGGATTCGAGTACCACGGAANGCTAAGTGGCAATCAGCATTGTGTTGGCGGGATGTCTGCCATCAAACTTACCTTAGGATAGAATGGCATGCGGCGCACAACAGGCTGGGGTTGAGCAACGGACGATCTACGTGAGGCAGGCAGAGATGGGGTCGACGCCTGTACAGAAGCCGGACGAGGCGAAGGCATGGACTGCGGAATCGAAGTGGCGGGAGTTGAGGGAGCAGGATACAGCGGCGATTGTGCAACAGGGAGCTGGTGGAGAGGCGACTGAGATGGAGCGGGCGGAGGCTGAGCCATGTATGGCATACTTGCCTGTCGCGTGACGGGTGGAGGCATGGCAGCCATCTGTGGTTGCGAGCTAACGACTACCGGCGAGCGGGGAGGATACTGTGGCTGCTGGTGCTGCTGCTGATATTGATGCTGTTGGTGATGCTGGTGCATGGGGTAGCCATAAGCCTGAGGCATCCAACGTTGTTGCGGAGGATAACCCATGTGCGCGGGATGGCCGTAGTAGGCCTGGGCGCCCGGGTGGTGAGCATACTGGGCATAGGGATTCTGGACGGCCTGTTGCTGGTGGAACTGTTGGTAGTCCTGGTGACGGCGCGATTGGTGGTGGTGTTGCATGGGCGAAGAGTGAGCAGGCAGAGCGGTTTGCGGAATATGCGATGGCCCTGCCGGCAGATGATGGTTCATCATGCCGGCGGTTGACGAGATGGAGATGGTCGCCGCACGTCAATCAAATCTGACGTACTACGGCCAAAAAGGTGCGCTGCGGGTCGAGGGTCTTATCGCGTGGGAGGAGCCAGTTTGCGAGGGGATGGCGGCAGCGCAGAATGCAGAGCGGTGGTGTTCGACAACTGGTTGACGGCGATGAAAGACTCAAGTGGTCCAGGCGTCAAAGCTCAAGGAGACCCGCAGAGAGATCGATGACCGCCGGTTTGTCCTTTTTCTTCTTTCCTTGTTGGGAAGATTATTATCTTTCGTATGGACTAGGAAGCTGCTCTCTTGTTCTCACAAGACGCACTGAGAGCAGTTCTGAACAAGAGGGCGAAAGCGACTATTCGCTGTTTCCTTTCTTCACGCGTGCCTTCTTTGTCTGTGACGCTGTTGCTCTGTCTGACCAATCGGCGCTAGCTCTATATATCTCCGACAATCTACCGCCGACGACAGCCCGCTACCATCGTTGCTGGCCTTTGTAGTTAGTGAATACTGTAGCTTTACTTCATTACATCATTTATATCCAGTACTTAGAATGGTTTCAAAGAAAGATATGCGCAGAGGCGACCTCGGTATGCTGTATCACCATCGTGAACACTTGATTCCAGAACTGACCACGCGACANGTCGTCCCCTACGCCGAGCCAGCAAATGCTAAAAGCGATGCCGATGTCACTGGTATAATCAAGCGGGTATTCTATCTTAGGACTACAATCTAACATTTATTCCGACAGGCNGTCTTCGGAAGCACGCTCCCTATGGCTGCTGTAAGTACACATCTCGATATCCAGTCACATGACTAGACTGACAAGAGGCCAGATCTTCACCAGAAACAAGTAAGGATCAAAATACATGTTCAAGCATAGCAAGGTAGAGCTCTATGCTAACGCGACACTGTGTTCAGGATGATCGGCTGGGTCGCCGTCATCTTCGCCGTCCAGAACTGGCTCTCAGAAACTCCCGAGTCGCAGAAGACCGCTTCGACTCCCGGATACATGACCGTCGGCATGGCTCGTATGTCATCCTCATCTCTCAATGGCAAACGCCTCTGGCTAACCTCGCGTATAGTCATGTCAACCGCAGTTGCATACCTTCCTCTCTTCATGCCTCCTGTAGCAGCACCTGGCATGGGCAGTGGCACCGAAGCACCCGCTGCTGCCGCTGCCATCACGCCTTGATTCTTCTCTTTATAAATGATACCAGAACTTGTATACTATTTTTCAGTTTGCCTCCAGCATTGTATCATTGTAAAGTGACAACGTGACGATATCTGACATGTGTTTGACACATCACGCAGCAGAATTTAAGCTTTCAATTCTTGGAGAAACATAACATTTTGATCCGAAAATGGGAGGGCAGGGGGTATCTAGCGAGTAAAAAAAAAAAAAAAAAGCGAAAGCAAAACAGCAACATGCAACATCCATCTCCTTCCAACGATATCCTCTCAGCAAGCTCGATAACAGCCACTGTCAAGTATCGCTCAGAGCGTCTTGGCAGCCTCAGCTCTTCTCTTCTCAACACTCTTCGCCGTAGCAATCGGACCCAGTCTCGAAGACGCTTGGATCAATCCATCAATAGTGACTACACCTCTAGCCATCTTACGGTCCATGTAATCGTAGACAGCAGCTGCCGAGTCTAGCTTCAGCAACTCCTCTTCGTTGAGCTTGAGGAGTGCGATGGCCACATGCAACAGGAAGACTTGTTGGTTCTGTCCAGGGATGCCCAGCACAACATCCCATACACGGAACAGTGCTTCCACTGACAGTGTTGATGCAAAGGCAGTGAGGAACCAGTTGATCGGTACTGTCTGCTCCTCCAAGACGTCTAGCTCGTCGAGGTGAGCACCAAGACGTGGCAACAAAGCCTGAATGTAGTGACGAAGCACGATCGTATCAGCACGCGGGCCTTGCCAATCATGCTCAGCAGTGAAGTAAGACGCGGGTAGCACTTTCTCGATGAGGAAGCAGAAGACCCAGAATGCTTGTTCAGTAGTCGGCATTGCGAGCAACAGGTAGCCAGCAATGATGTTGAAGCCTTGACAATACCCAATGTCCTTGTTTCTGATGGCAAAGCAGCCCAGTAGCAGGGCAAGCCCATCCTGATTCTTCTCCTTTCGGAAGTAAACATTGTTGGTCAGAGTACGAGGTGTGTCCATCTCGATATCATGTAGATATCTTTGATCGTCTGGGTGTGTGTTGTACTCGGCTGCCAACATGCTGAAATCCTCAGGCGAATAGTGAATGCTTGACTGCGCACTCTCCAACCAGATCTTGGCACGCATCTTCATCGGAATACCGTCGAGGACAAATTTCACGAATGGGCCACTTANCCCTGATTGCGCAAGGTTTGCGATGCCCACGGTACTGGTACCCATGGCTTCGACGCGGTNTTTGGGTACTGTCTCTGTCGCAGTGGTGAAAATACGCGAGAATCTGTTGCTAGCAAGTTTCGGCTCTTCGACCTTGGCCATCAAGCGGTCGTATGCTTGCTCTCTGGCAACTTGCAGCTGAGTATACTCGGCCGAGATCTCATCACGCAAATGCTCTGCATGCGTAGTGAAATCTGCAGGATCGCACAGCTCTTCCAGTCGTGGAACGCCATCATCAGTATCGACCGACGAGATGCTAGCGCTGTCGGTCATCTTGGCCCCATGCAGTTGAATAGGAAGACGCGAAAGCAAAGCTTGCTTGGTGACTTCGATTTTGAGGAATTCATGCCATGGGCGAGACTCTTCATTTGCTTCGGCGGATTCGTCTTCTTGGGCTGTGACATCAATAGCTTCTTCATTCTCGCCTTCCTCGATAGAAGCAATCGAAGCAGAACGGGTATTGGAGGTAGCTCGAGCGAGGATTGAAGTAGTACGACTCTTGGAGACAAATCTGTGTCTCTCTAGAGACCAGAGCCACTGTTGAACACGAGGACCATCAATGATGAACCCGTAGTTATCAGCGATGAAGGCTCGGAAGAGTATTTTGATGATTTTCATGTCAAGCAGAGGTGGTGGCAGATCGTCGTTTTCGATCTTCTGTTCCATCTCCAGTGGTTTGTATGATGACATGGAGTTTGAGCGAGTAGTCTGTGCGATGCTCGGACTGCGGATATTCAGCATCCTTGGGTCCAGCATCGAAGCGATCGAGTGTCGATTCTGTTGCTTTGGTGGCTGACGTACAGAGCCCCCACCACCAAACAGGTTAAATAGACCACCCCGCTGCTTAGGCATTCTGTTNNTCTATGGAGCTATTAGTACGAAAGATGTGCAGATTGTATCATTGGAAACTCACGTGTCGACCTTCAAGTTGGTAGCAGAATTGCGTGGTGCGCGAATAGTCGAGGAACCAGAAGGAAAACTCGGGCTAGTCGAGGTATCCTTCCTGACAAGAGGCGAGACAGAGGCTTGCGTGTTGGCCGTGACTGTGAGCGAGTCGCTGGCCAGAGCCGCACGACTTTCGCCAAAGAGATTATCCGATGAAGCAGATTCCAACTCTTCTTGTAAATCATTGGCGGAAGGCTTTGAGAAGACTGGCGAGTCGCGCACTGTCCTGTCGGCCTCCAGTCTTGACATCTCGTGAACAGCCATCAGGTGGTCCTTGAATAGTGTACCGAACTCTTCCACTGTTCTGCGCAAGCGTGAGATCTCAGCATCACGATCGCTGACATCTTTCGCCAGTCTTCGGATGACCCTGCCTGCGCCGCCTTGACGCTTGACGTAGGCTACGATGGTCTTGTCATCGGACTTTTGTAGGACTTGAGGGTTGTTAAGTTGGTCGTTGACGTCGTTGAAGAGCGGTGGGCGAGACTCGTCCCTGGGAGCCATGTTGAGGACGTTGATGAGAGAATGACTTGCAGCCGAGACTTGTTCGAGTGATCGTGTGTCGGGCTCGGAACCAGAGGCAGCTTCGGCTTCAGTCTCGTTGCCCGAACTGGCAGCCACCTCGCCGTAGACATCTTCAGCGAGAGAGTTTTGCCTATCGGGAGCGTAGATGGAGCGGGAGCGTTTGCTGGATGAATAGGAGCGGACGGAGGCGTCATCTCGACCAGCGTGATTGCTACCGTTGCCGTTCATGACTGCAAGGCTGAGCCCATTCGTCGTGGTACTCGCAGTGCTGTTGTAACTCGACGTGACGTTGTTCGGCGGCGAAAAGGGTTCGAATGAGGTGAAGGTCGTGTTCTCCTGCGGTCGGCCAGCGCTGTGGAGCGACTGGTTGGATGCTCGGGCACGCGGTTTGATTCTCTGAGTGGATGACCTCCTCGAGGACGACCGAATTGGCCGTCCACGGTCGTCCATATTGTCAAGGGCTGTGCTGGACGAAAGCGACGTCTGTCTTGAACGTAAGAAGATGACACGACAATGGTAAACAGCTTTGTTTAAACCTCGCTGACCTCGCTGCCCTCGCTGATCTACTAATCCAGACTAAAGGTTCGGTCCGATGAGCTTTCCCCGCTTCCGCTGCAAACCGTCATCAAGGCTCATCCTTCTGTCTCATTTCCACGAAGGACGACAAGGGGCTCACAGGGATGCCCAATTTCTCCTGCATCAAGGACACTCCGTGTCTGAGCGCAGCTTCCTTTGCGAGCATCATCGGATTCAACCTTGGGCTTCCATCACCCCTCAGGCTTCAATCTGTATCTTCTGGACGACACGCGCGACACACGTTCTGCCAAATTAGTCCTCGAGGCATGACGTCTGTTAGCGCACTCAGAATAGATGAAAGCCACCTCTCAAATTCTTCCAGAAATTTTCTTTCAATCTAGGAAGACATGAAACGTATTCCGGCCAGGGTGACACAATGGTCCGGCACCGAGTACACCAGACTTGACAGATTGAAAACGGTTCCCAAGATGGCTGTTTCCCTCCACCGGTTCGCTGTCGAACAGGGTTCAACGGTTCCGCGTGGTCCTGGATGAGATGATCTGGTTTCGAAACAGCAAACGTCCATTGCTCCGACCAGAGATCGTATCTAGACCTGTCCAGCCTGCTTAGACCCTCTTGGGCTCAATCGCAAACCTGAGTTTGGCTTGAAGTGATGCCTCTTGGATCTACCGCTACATGTGTCGTTGCAGATTCACCTCCTGACAGGAAGCGCTTACGCAGACCGATGAAGCAAAGTATGCAATCACCAACCTATTTCTGGAAGGTTGAAACTTCGACGGACTTCCATCGTGTCGTGGTATATCACTGGCGTCCTAGTATACTGCGACATTAGCTTCAGAGGTCAAGCGTTCCTGGTTCTGCCTCGACACGGTTTTGTTGGAATCTCTGGGGCTGTGATACCGCCCCAAAAAGTGTTCAAGCATGTCTAGAGAGCCTAGTCAAAGTCTCTGCACGATACTTGCGTAGAGAGCATCATTCGGAGTGGACAAGCATACGATGTTATCAATCCATCAGCTGCATTACTTGATTACAACATGCTTGCCTGAGTTGCTGGATATATCCGGCAATACTGGAAAGATCAGCGACAAGTAGTCGTTGCCACACCCTGGGCAAGTCCAGCTCTCGAGTGTTGCATGCGAGTTCGTGCGCAATTTTCTGGTCACGATGACTTGGATATTTCAGCTCTCTCGACTGCATACTGAGTTCTGGAGCGCATCTCAATATGGTGGGGATGCCGTGATAAGCGTGACTATCTCTTGTCCACAAATTGTGTAGCTCCGGCGTAAGATGGTACATTCCTCGACATATGCAGGGTACCGTAAGCCGAGATGACGAATACTCGACAGAAGCTCAAATAAAGCAGTTCAACAGCCTGCTTTTCTTTGTCGCATAATGACTGGCCGAGAGTGGATGATGCTCCAAATCCGGATTCTTGACTAATGTTTTCTTTAACCATAGAATGCTTTCATCCCGGATGTGGTTCAGGAAACATTCATCTAGGGACTTTTCGAGCTGGGGCACATATGGCAGTGCCTCAACATGAGGTGCTCTCATTGCCTTCCTGGGGGTGTAACGCCTCGTTCCTGGCATCTGATGAGACTATCTTTTCGACCAGAAACACTTCGTCCAAATGAGTGGAAAACGTTTGTCCTGTTGAAGTCGGCAGCTTGCAAGTGGAGTGTAGCCCTTCTCAGTGTGGCAGCCTTTCTCGATGGCTGCACCACGTTTGTTGTTCTCGGTGCACTTGAAGATGTTCTCCACGAAGTGCCTCCTCTTGCACGAGGTCCGGCACACATAACTAGAGTGGATGGTTTGTGGTCCACGGGTCCACGGTTCCGCTGCTTCATGGCCAGCAAGTCACTCGACCACGCTGAGAAACCTACATATCTCGTCCTTGGGCACCGGAAACCGATGGTGTCGTGTTCTGGCTTCTCGTTGTTTGTAAACTTCTTGGGGCTGCTGATTGCGCCATCGAGTGCCGATACCAGGACAATTTTTGTCAGATTGGACAGCTCGCTTTTGAGGTCGACCTTGGTTGAAAGGTGCGCTCGTGTCCAGCGAGCAGAGACACCATCAAACTTGCGTCTTTTGTCGGTTGCATACGATCTCGCCAGCTCTTGACGCGTCGAAGAATGCATCGGGATCTGTCATGGTGATTGTAAAGACGTCCTGCAGCGTTCTAGCCCTTGCCTAGTCGATCTGGCGACATCAAATCATGGCAATGACAGCTCAGTCCATGTCGAAGCATGCTAGGTCTCGATGTGGCTGGAAGCTATGTTTGTTGTCTTGTGTCGTGTTCGGTCCGCCCGCAATGACGCGATTAGTGTCCTGCTGTCCGGACCTTGTTTGAGGTGAGCCAGAACAAGCATGTCCCGAGCTATGAACATTTTTGTCGTTAACGGCTCGTGGATGGGCTGAGGTGGCGTAGTAATCATCGTCATATGTTGACGGTGGTTGTTTCGCGAACAAGCCTACGACAAACGGGATCAGTATAATCCTGAACCCTCTGTTGGCGGCTTGTGAATGGGCGAAGACGGCGTCGCAATTCTTGTCATGTATCTTCGTCGGACGGCCTTAGAGTCTCGTTTGCGCAACGTTCGCCTTGTCGACAGATATCAAGCATGGCGGATCCATGATGAGCCCTGATTTTGACCAACTTCTCTTGGTGGCAGCCGAGTCTTGTGGAGGGCGTTCGATAGATTAAGTGGTCGAGTGTGATCCAACCTGAGAAAAGATCAGTATTGCATGGAGGAAACGTCTTTCTCGAAGGAAAGGCGCCGCTCCGTATCACCTGCAGTAACCGAAGTCTGCGCACTGGTCAATCTGTGTCAATGATCTGACGACAACGATGTCACATGGCGAAACCGAGCAATGCTTGTCAGTATCTCCGGGCCGGACGTGATGGCTTTCAAAGCGCCATCGAAATGCATGAACATCTACATTAACGTCGAGATGGCCAAGGAAGTGGACTTTACATGGTTGAAACTCGAACGATACTCGATATCTCTCGAGCCATGCCTTCTATTGCACTGGCTATGAAAAGGCACGAACGAAAGTGCATCTGTCTCGTGTCCATTGAGATGTCGAGAGTGCCTCCAAGCTTTTGTGTATGCCCCCGATTCTCACGTAAGAAGTTCACGTTGTTGGGATGGAAGCATTGCACCAAGTTAAAGCAGTTGTATTCTTCCCCTTCTAGAGACCCTTATCCTCCTTCTCTGCCTCGTTGGTCCCCTTCTCGTCCCTCTCCTGGACCTTGTTGTCGGGTGTGGTGTTGCCCGCGAGGCGTTCGAGGCCAGAGCCTGCCGAGGAGCGCTGTTGTTTCTGGTGCTGGTGCTGCTGCACGATAGTCAATATAAATCTCTTGAAGAAGAACAGAGCGGTGACATACCTCCTGCTCTTGTGTAGCGGAGCCCGCCAAACGAGCCCGTCTCGCCTTATCCATCTTCTACCCTCCCAGTCAGCGACAATGCCAGAAACATCCTTGAAGCCACTCACGGCAAGCCACCTCAACAGCATTTTCCTCTTGTTGTGAGACTCAAGCCGCCATGCGCAGCTGGCCAGACCGGNGAGCTTCTCGTCGTTGTCGCCGTATTCGTTTGCCCAGCGGTTGGCCAGACCGGGACCCTCGTCTTCTTCTTCGATCATTGTTTCTGCTATCATTAGTATGGGTTCTTTGCAAGTGTAGGGATACATGACATACTTTTGTTTCAGAGATGGTGTGAGGAGAGAGAAAGAGGGGTTGGGGTTGGGTCAAGCGCGACTCCTCGACGAGGCGGGCAGGCGCGACGAACAACGCTTGAGGGAAGGCACGATCCCCTATACCAGTGACTGCCATTTCGCGGCAGTAGAAGTGCACGATAGTTTGCCATTTCTGCAAGACACCAGAGAAACACTGCTTGGTTCCTGTATATCAGTGGGCATTTCTGTCGATGAGATAATATCCTGCATTTCTATGAGGATACTCACGGCTTGGTCACAACGACGAGATACATCGCAATCACATGAAAACAGAGAAGACATGTGTGAACCAGAGAAGAATTTGAATACGAATAACGATGGGGTATCATCCGAAAAAGTAGAACCAGCAGCAAACGCCCTCCCAATCATTCATTGCCTCGTGATGATGATGAAACGCTGGTGGATGAACGTCAGAAACACGTCCATTACACATTAAAAAGCACTCTACACGTACCTCTGACTTCACTTAAAGACGTTCTTGACCTTCTTAAAAGCATCTTCGATGTTGTCGGAGATGGCGTCGCGCTTGCGCTTGGGAGTAAGGGNGTAGGGGTCGTAAATGCACTTGCCAGGGCCGGNGCTTGGGCTCAGGCAGCTCTGTGTCGTTATCAGCATCGTCAACGTGAACAAAGAAGAGATTGTCGAAAGCTCACTGCCATTGATGCGGATGTAATCAGCGAGGTGCTCCTCAGGGAGCTTGATGGCGTTGGCGGCGACTTGGATCTGGCGAAGGGTGATGTCGCCATTCTCGAGGTCCGCCATGTACTTCTTGACGTCAAAAGCCTTGCGAGGGGTGATGAACTTGGCATCACTGTCAACGAGCATGGAGTTGATGCTGTCAACGCGTTCGGCCTTCATCTCGTCGACGCCCATAGAGGCGATGCGGTCATGGGCCTCGTCAAGAGCTCTGATGATGTCGGAGAAAGTGGTGCATCTGGATTCCATGGAGGCAGTCTTGGCCTTGGTGCCGGTGGTCTTCGAAGCAGGAGAAGACATGTTTGATGATGAGATGATGTGGATGTTGTGTAAGAAGAAGAGTGATGAAGGTTTGTAAGATGATTGAGGATGGTAGTGGTAGAAGAATGCGCACGCGAGTTGTGGAAGAAGGTAAGAGTGCGTAGAGGGAGAAGAGTGGAGGAGAGGAGAAGAGAGTGGTTTGGTGGTTGATATAGGCGGCCCAAGCTTCACTCGATTACTTGCTGCACGAACGGACTTTCACCTACGGTCTATTCCAACACCTTGAAAACGAGCACACGTGATGCAATCGAGGACAGTGAGGTCCTCTCTGTGGTTGACATCAGGTTGTTCAACCACGCAAGACGATTTACAATGATTGGGACAGGTCGATTTGGCACGATTTGAGGAGGGTAGCTTCTGGAGCAAGGACTCATCTCTGCATCCACCTACCCACTACATCTACTCAACATATGTCTGCAAGGCGACAGCTACTGGCCGTAGACCCCTACTGCTTCTAGGACTCGAGGCTCAACGGTTGTGACAGATAGGTCTCACACGATCTGGAGAAGATGCTCTCTGGGGTAAAGGCTCATCTCTGCACCTAACTACCCATTGCATGTCTCGAACTCAGTTCTAATTAGTCATGATGGAAGAGCTACTGTCTGCTGACATATCTTGACCTTCAAGTCTGAGGCCCAACCACAAGCCCAGCATTGTCATCAACCAGCTTTGAGCAAGAGCCTCTACGCAACACCGCCCTCAAACCTTTCCGCCGATCATCTGCCGAGTCCTCTGCAACGAGCAGGTCAGATCAGCGCCTTGTATCGACTTACAACGATTGGGACAGGTATGTGTGACACAATCGAGGAGAATTCTTTGTTGGGCAAAACCCCGTCTCTGTCTACCTAAGATAGCGCCTGATGAATACAAGTCCACACACGTTTGAAGTGCAGGAGTTACTGGCGGTAAACGTCTTACTACCTCCGGTACTCAAGGTTCAGGGTCAGACCTTGCCCGCTCACCAAACGCTCCCGAGCGACAGCCTGCGCATCTCAAATTCCACACCCGACACCCTTTGACGAACCTCTACTAAAGCTTCCGCGACGAGCAAGTCGCTGCAGTGTTTTGATCATTCTATGATGGCACAGCGCGCTTGACGAGCCGCACGTTGACGCCTTGCTGCATCACGAACCAGCTACTCGGTGGGTCAGCACGGCGGACAAGCATCTACAGAGCACAACAACTTACAAGCAGGTCTCTGTCCATTCGGCATCCGGGTCTGCTAGCTCAAGATTGTAGTGGAGGAACAGCGTAGGTATCAGCTTGGACATTTCCATCCAGCTAATGTCTGCCGGAGACGGATCAGCAACCATCCTGAGCTTTTCAGCACAACAAGCACTTACTCCTTCCCAGGCACATCCGAGCACCCGAACCGAACGTGAAGAAGAAACGACCTGATAGAGTCAGCACAGTCAACGACTTCATCGACAAAAGAACACACGCATGTCACCCGTATCCTCCTTCAACCAGCGATCTGGGCGGAAGTCCTCAACATCCTCACCATACACCTCCTTGTTGCGGCCATGAAACCAAAGCTCTTTGAAAAGGTTATCTCCCCAATGACATCTTCATGGTAGTTCAGTCAAGTAAGTGGTTGTAAAAGTTTGGTGCTGCTCACCGAAAGCGAAGAGCTGCGCCCATTTGCCCATATCGACAATTTGCTTCTGACGCTCACCCATCGCATCCATAAATCTCTTGACAGTGTCGTCCACATACGGCTCCAGATCTTTCAAGCTAGTCATGGCGTATGCCGAACTGATCGAGCTTCTTTGCTTGCTGTGCAACTTCTCGTCCCGTTCTGCGAACAAGTCGAACTTTCTATGACCTTGCCAAACCGAATACCAATCGCTCTTGCGAAACTTTGTGCCTGCACCGTAGATTGTCTTGATGGCTGATAGATCTGCTATGCTGACTTCATTCGGACCATTGCGCACGATGGGACCATGTTTTTCGTGCAAGGCGATCATGGTCCTGTGCATATCGCCATCCCAGCTGTGCTTGGTTATCCATAATCGGGTGAGACTGGCCCAGAAGGGTCCGGGTACTGATGCGAGTGGATGAAAGAACCTCTGGTATACTATGTATGCTGACAGGCAAGATGTGAAGAAGAAAGCCAGCAGGACAGTGTTCGAAGCCTGCCCGGCAAGAGGAACGGCTGGTGAATCGATCACAGGCATTTCATCTAGGTTATTGAGGATCGGACCAAGAGTAAGGACTGTACAGAAGAGATGAGGAGGCTTGACAAACACTTTATACGATATTGGACTTCAGGATAGCCGCGGGAGAGAGTCCCAAGAGGGGTTCTACAGCAGATGATTTGACGTCTTTCTAAGCTTTGTGATCTGCAACAGTGCATGCCGAACCCTCAACCCAACTCGTATAGGGCTAGCAAGGGCTGGTCTGTGTAGCACGAGTGTCAAAACACGAAGGCAAGATGCAAGCAAGATGCAAGCAAGCAAGAGAGCACAACGGATGCCGATCGTACCGAGTCCCGATGGATGGAGGGAGACGCGGGGTGGTGCCAAGGGATGGAGATGTGTGTGGAGGGCCCGGCTGACTGATCGAAGAGACTCGACTCGAGCTGCTCCCCAGACTCCCGAAAAGCACCTCGACTTGTGCCGGCCGCGGCTCTGACAGACACACGACCAACGGCAGAACAACTGCTTCTTTTCGGCCTACCAAATCGTTCTAGCTTGACCCTAATATGACCCCAGGAATGCTTGCGATTGGTGCTTTGGGGTATCGAGGCCCCGCAGATGTCATGTTGCCTTGTTGCGGCAGAGGTAAGTCGCGGACTCGGTAGCAGGCAGGCAGCCGAAAATGTTATAGACTTCTGCCGGTAGCTAAGTACACAGGCAAGTCGTGCTCCTACATAAGCTATGTGATCGCCGCCGTTTCAATCATCATCATCTATCTATCTCTCATCGGCTCGCATTGATCTCCCCTGGCCTCGAGCCCACTCTCCAATCCTCACGCATACTCAAGACTCGATCACCATGCCGACCGAGAACTACGACATCGTTATTGTAGGTGCCGGTCCTGTAGGTCTCCTACTGTCGACCTGCCTTGCAAGATGGGGCTACAAGATCAAGCACATCGACATGCGACCCGAGCCGACACTCACTGGTAGAGCTGACGGCATCCAACCACGATCACTCGACCTCCTCCGTAACATGGGCCTCAAGCGCGCAATCATGGCTCACGAGCCTGCAAAGGTCTACGAGGTTGCTTTCTGGGATCCTGCAGAGCAGAGCAAGGGTATTCACCGTACTGGCACATGGCCCTCATGTCCTAGTTTCCTCGACGCTCGCTACCCCTTCACCACCCTGCTCCACCAAGGCCTGATCGAGCGCGTCTTTATCGCCGACATGGAGAAGTACAACGTCAAGGTCCAGAGACCGTGGAGGATCACAGGATTCGAGAACGATGGCAAAGACAAGGAATACCCGGTCGAAGTCAAGATCGCACACGTCGATGGCAAGGAGCAAGAGACAGTCCGAGCGAAATACCTCTTCAGTGGTGAGGGTGCCCGCAGTTTCATTCGCGAACAGCTCAAGGTCGGCATCACACACAAGGATCCCATTACGCACGTCTGGGGTGTCATGGATGGTGTCGTGCGCACAAACTTCCCTGACATTAAGATGAAGTGCACAATCCACTCCGATGCTGGATCCATCATGGTCATTCCTCGCGAGGACAACATGGTCCGTCTCTACATTCAGATTGCTTCATCAACAGACAAAGACTGGAACCCTCGCAAGCAAGCGACAGAGCAAGAAGTTCAAGAGGCAGCTAAGAAGATCTTGAAGCCTTATGAAATTGAGTGGGACCGTGTTGAGTGGTTCTCGGTCTACCCTATCGGTCAAGGTATCGCAGACCGCTACACTCTCGACGAACGTGTCTTCATGGGCGGCGACTGCTGCCACACCCACTCTCCCAAGGCCGGTCAGGGCATGAATACTGCATTCTTGGATGCCCAAAACCTGGCATGGAAAATTCACCATGTCGAGAGCGGCTTCGCGGACCGTTCTATCCTCAAGTCTTACGAGTCCGAGCGCAAGTTGATCGCAGAGAATCTTCTCAACTTCGACAACGCATATGCCAAGCTATTCTCACAACGTCAGCCTAGTGCTGGTGAGGTCAGCTCAGCAACGCAACAGAATGGCGAGAAGCAGGTCGAGGAGAACGAGTTCATCAAGATGTTCAAGTCTTCTTGCGAGTTCACCTCGGGCTACGGTGTTGCTTACAACCCCAACATTTTCAACTGGTCAAAGAATCACCCGGCCAAGTCACCACTCTTCCTCTCCAACGAGGACAAGACCACCACGCAACGCACCGGGCGTATCTTGACAAATGCTACCGTCACAAGAGTAGCGGACGCCAACGTCGTTCATCTCGAGCAGGAGATCCCTCTCAACGGCAGCTGGCGCATCTACCTCTTTGGCGGTGAACCAAGCAGGACTAAGCGTGCCATCTCAGACTTTGCCGCCGGTCTGTCGAAGAAGGGCTCATTCTACAGCACCTTTGGTCACCTCAACATCGGCCAGGTTTCCTACCACGAAAAGCACAACCCTCACAGTCTCTTCTTCACCATCAACACCATCTTCAATGCTAAGCGCCCCGAGATTGAGATTAGATCATTGCTTCCCGAGGTTCTCGCTCGCTACTTCGACCACGTCTATGCCGATGACATCTGGGACCAGAAGGTTCCTGACGCCAAGGCTGCTGCTCACGCGAAGATGGGTTTGTCACAAGAAGANGGTGGTGTTGTGGTTGTCCGTCCTGATGGATATGTTGGTTGTGTCGTCAAGCTTGTCGAGGGTACTGGCACTGTTGATGCTCTCAACAGCTACTTCTCAACCTTTACTTCCAAGAAGGTCGGTGGTGCTGACAGAGCAAGTTTGTGAGAGTATGATGTCAAGATATAATGTCATGGATGGTTGGACTGTTCTTGTTGTTTTTAGATATCCCCCAAGATTTAGCGAGTTTGATTCTGTCCTACTTCCAGTCCCTTGCTCTTGTAGAACTTGGCTTTTTCCTGGTTGCTGTCATTATCTGTGTGACAATTCGAGCATCATATGATCGTATGTTGACCTCTTTGATAGAGGATAAATTTTGGTCAGGGTGCTTAGCGCGACCATAAATTGTGTTCCTTCTTTTCACTTCTACACCTGCAACCTAGATTGCTCTAGTTTTTGGCTCTCATTCATACACGCTTCAGAGACTGCGCTGATCACCTGGCTGTAATTCAAGAGGCTGTTCTTACCATGTCCATTCTCATGACTTGATATCTTGACGAAGATTAGCAATCTCGTCAAATCCTGCTGGGTACAATTATATTTGTCGTTCTATGTCAAATATTCACAAGGCAATATATTCCTATAGTCATATAGAGGTGCTTTGACTACTGTTATCATGGTGGTATACCTTGCTGTCTTGACCATCGTCTGGAGCCCAACTCATACGACCACAGAGCTGCTCGGTGGTTCTCAGGTCAACCTCGCGATCAGCGATAGACTTACAGACACACATCAGTGCAATATCTAGTGTAGGCATGACATCTTAGGCCACCCTTCTCCATCGTCTATAAACAAGGACGCCTGCCTGCCTCATTTTAAAGTCAGCCAGCGTCACAGGTTAGCGTGTGTGGGGAGCCAGGGTGGAGCAAGCCACCGTCGACAGAGGCTTGACGGATTGCCTCGAGCTTCCAACGACTGTCCAAGCCCTCTGCTACGTCAAAATACGAGCAAGAAAAAACCCAGTGCAAAGAGCGACGCTGGTTGCGTAACACAGTCACGAGCAGAAGGGGCCGGCCAGTGACTTGGAAGATATAGGTCTGGAACGTGAAGAGATGCAATCAACGCGCGGCCCTTGAGGTGAACAGAGTCTGATCTCGTCAAACGTGCGTTTCAGATTAAAGGTTAGATGGTCCATCATTTCACAAATGAATGTGGCAGAAAGCGGTGCCACTTTCAACCAAGTCGAGGCACACCAAAAAGCGCCGTGCTCGCTGTGCATGTGCGCCGCTGGTCCTTTTCTCCATCTCTCGTATTAAAGAAAAGACCCCTTTTAAAGTTGCTACGAATTTCTTGTTTTTACTCACATCCTCTCTACGACGCATCATACAGAGCAACGGCATATATTTCGCAGACCTTTTCTTTACACAACTACACCATAATCGCAGCAGTTTGTCTTTGCATACAGCCAGACGCACCGCCGTTGTCACCGCACAAACACCCGTCAACAGTTTCTCCGCAAAAGTCAACAAAACAGTCGGTCTCCGTCATTGAAACAGGACATTCAGGATTTCCTAAGGCCTTAAAGAGTCCACAACATCTTTTCATCCCACCAGACTACCAATTTGTCGAGGAAGACGGACAACAAGCCCGAAGCACATCACATCACATCACACACAACCATGTCGCGCAATTCCTTCGACGAGGGTGACGACCAGATCACCCCTCTCGCCCGTAGAATGACAGCCACCGACGAAGGCAACCGCGTCCTCCAAATGGGCAACATGGCCGCCGCACGCCGCAAGAACAGCATCCACCGCACCAGCCCTCCCACCGAGCACACCCGCAACCGCTCCGAGAACTCTACCTCGCCCTCCAACCACAAAGTAGTGATACCCGACGAACTGCCCGCACGCAGCAAGACCACTGGCGGCGGTATGAGTCGCTCAAAGTCCATGAAGAAAGCGCTGGGTAGAGCAATGAGTGTGCGTCAAGAGGCTCCCCATGTCGCTCACAATATCCCTAATACTGGGTTTGCGCCGAGTAGATCAAAGTCGTTGCGTGCGCCTCCTCCTCCGCGTCTTTCTCTTCGCAGACAGCAAGAGGCGGGTAAGGATAGCTTTGCGGAACCCGTTCCTGTGCCTGANTTTCCGTCGCCGGGAAGAGCTCCTATGGGCCAGAGAATCTTTGATCCGCAAACGATTGCCGAGGATGAAGGTGTGGATGTGGAAAAGACTGGCGGATGGGCTGTAGACAAGAAGACGCAGAAGAAACTGGATGATGAGAGGGCTAGAATTGAAGAGCAGGAACGCCAGGCAGTGTTCAGCGGTGATGATGGTGACATCAAACACAACACAACAGGAAGATCACGAAGCAAGAGTTTCAAGGAGTTCTTCAGGAGAGGTTGATTCATGACTCTCTTGTCGCTTTAGCTCTGCTTGTCTTCTTTGCATCTTCGTTCTTGTTCACGGTTTGGCTCACTTGTTCTTGGAGAAAACGCAGTTCACAGTCCTTCGAGTCTACATTCGCTCGCTTAACATGCCGATACCCTCATCTATCGTTCCGAGACACTCATACGAGAGCCACATGGAATTATCATCGCATCTTGTATATAGCATATAGCATAGTTTTGTTTTTCTGTCATCTCAGTTGTCGCATATCATTGTTTAGTATAGCAAGCATTGGAATCCCTTCATAATATTCTCAAATGGATATTCATCAGCATGCGAAGTCCTGCACAACAACATCCATGTTTAGTTGCTCTATCTCAGTCTATTTCGTACAGTCTTGGTCATACTCCTCAGCCCACTTTGCCTTTCCTGCTGCCCATCTGATAAGAAGAGCTTCACTACTGGCCATGCGTGGATCCATCCTTTTTCCTCGTGCACGCTCACTTCAGTGTTGACTTCCTCTTTCAAAAAGTCAACCAACTCGACAGTCTCAGGAGCGAATACCTCTTCAGCACCGTAGATGAACAACCAGCCTTTGCTGGGTGAAGCCCGTCTCCACCACTCCCTGTCTCTGCACTTTCCAGGCGAAACCATAGGATCAGACGCAGAGGCTTTGGAGCCAACATATTGGCTACCATAGAGATGCAAGGATTCAGCATTGAGATAATCGCTAGCCGTATCCTTGTTCTTTGGCGATACAATGACGGCCCAGGGAGAAATCATAACGCCCAAGCTCGGTAGTTGAGTGCGTAGTTTAGGTTCCTTGGACATGTAAAGGAGTAAACTGAGCATTAGTGTTGCGCCTGCCGAGTCGCCGCTCACGACTATCCTTGACGAGTCCGAGATTTTGGAAAGGACGTATTCGTAACCGAGGAGGGTTTCGTGGACTTGGGTTGGATAAGTAGATTCAGGGACGAGGGTGTACTCGAGGGCGAAGAGGGCTGGGTTTTCGTAACCGGATTCTTTGAGGATGCTGACCCATGCGAGGAGGAACTCGAGGTAAAAGAAGCTGCTACCCATCGAGAAGCCACCACCTACAGAACGTTAGCATGTCTCAAGTCATCTAGAGGTCTTTTGTGTCTTACCATGGCAATAGTAAACCACAATATCTGGTTTCTTTGTCTCATCGCAAATCATCCAGATACCATGAAGACCAGGCTTCTTGACCTCACGCCACGGGATAGCAGATTTACGATAGCCATGTCTCAACATGCGGAACCAAANAAAGGGCAGCGCAACACCCTTGGAGAAAAANNAGACTTTGCCGATATTGGCCGGGATTTTAGCAAAAGCATAGCGAACGCAGCGAATGACAAAGTCCTGAAAGGGAGTGGCGTGCTGATTGAAAGCCGACTTTTGTTCGTATGGTGTAAAGAATCGTTCCTTGATGAATTGGTATGGTAGTTGCACCANCTGCGAATGTATATCAGTGACTGTCAATTCTTGGATTCCAGCACACATACGGAAGAAGGGCAATGCAGTAATGACACAAGAGATGGTTTCTACTGGGCCCACTCTGATGAGCAATTGAGGAGCGAGGAAGATGAGGAAGGCTACGCAATCCAGATATGAGATCTGGTTCAAAATCATTTTGCTTGGTTATATAGAAAGAAAATGGTATGGACAATTGGAATGGTTGAGTTAGGTGATTTGGAGGAAGGAACCAATGATGTAGTTGATGCTTCTCAGGGTCTTCCATTTGTGGAGATGATCGGCGTTGCAGGCTGATGAAAGCTCAGAATTTCGTTCAGGCAACAGAAATGAGGTGACTCTCTGGTTGAGCAGAAGGTGAACTACTTTCTGCCATACAAACCAAGATGCCATTGCATCATGATCGAGCTCGATATAGGAAGGAACGAAGGGCGTTTGTAGACCTTCACGTGTCACATTCGGCAAAGCTTCCCGAACATCCAACAGCGGGAGTAGCCGCGGTTGCGCGTTAGTCGACGGAAGTTGATTCCTCTGACTTCACAAATCTAATGCGCATTATTATCACAACTCGCAGCACCATCGACACGACTTCCTCCTACGAGCTGGTCCATTTACCTCGGTGCGCACACTGATCCGGCACCATGGCGGCCGTCCAGGACCAAGCGGCCATCGACTTTGCCAGGTCAGATCCGTAATAACTTTTACACCATGCGCAATCACTCACATGCTGCTCNAGCTCGCTCACCCAAGCCGAAATTCCTACTAAGCTGCGATGTACCACCTGCAGCAAGCTCGCCACCAATGCCTTCAAGCTCCAATGCTGTGACTCGTCCATCTGCCAGGACTGCCAGGCTACTCTTCCTGACGCTTGCCCAGTATGCAGTCACTCTCCTCTGGATCCCGACATGTGCAAGCCCAACAAGTCGCTGCGCATGACCGTTCGTGCTTTCATCAAGGCCGAGGAAAAGAAGAAGATTGCCGCCGCTGAGGCTGCTGCAGCCGCACAAGCTGAACAAGAGGAGATCGCCGCCCAGGAACCGGAACAATCCACAGAACAGCCACAAGCAGACTCCAGCATCCAGGCTGAGCCAGCCGCCGAACAGCCGCAAGAAGAAGATGTAGCCTCTGCAGACGAGACTGAAGGTGCTCTTGCGCCAGAGGCTACTGACCCTCTGCCCAGGTCGAGGAGGTGAGAATACGACGAATCGCCAGTCAATAGTACATTCTGACGTGTATATNNACAGGTCTCTGAGCACCCAGTAAACGGAGAGCCCTCGGATCTGGACCAAGCTGAACAAACAACTGGAGCTGAGGAAGATACTGTCCAGCAGTCAATCGAAGGCGGCGATTCTGAAAATGTTGATTTCGAGCAGAAGAACNNGAGACGGAACAGAGTGAAGACCAACAACAAGACCAGAATGGACAGGACGCCACTCAGCAAAACTTCCAAAACATGGACTGGAACGCTGCCAATGGATTCAACCCTATGATGAACATGGCCAATGGATTCAACCCCATGATGGGCATGATGGGTGAGTTTTATTGTCTCGTGTGCTCCTCCAACATATACTAACACCTCAACAGGCATGCCTGGAATGAACCCCATGTCCATGTTCGGCGGTTTCGGTGCCGGCGGTATGGGCATGCAAGACATGAGTGGTATGAACATGGGAATGGGCTTTGGAGGCGGTTTTGGTGGCAATTGGAATGGACAGCAGGGAATGGGCGGAAACTTTGGCGCTGGCTATTATCCCAACGCTGGATATAATCAACCGCAAATGCACCAAGGAGGCTATGCCAATCAACAGTTCCCCAATCATAATAACTACCAGAACCAGAACCGCTTCCAACAGCGTGGTGGCTTTGCTGGCCGTGGGAGAGGCGGTGCTGCGTTTGCTGGTGGGAATCAAGGCCCATCTAACCCTGAGGCTCAGCAAGACGACGCTGCTTATCCTCAAGATGCCGAACGAGGCGACCGTCGCCCCTCGCAAGCTGGCACTGAATCGGCTGAAGCTGGTGCTGAAAGACGCAACTCCCAATCTGTAGCTTCTGTTCCCCAGATGCCTGGAGATGATACTCCTGCCCTAGAGCAACAGCCAGACACTATCAATGAGGACACTAACGAACAGACCCTACAAGGTGAAGAGCAAACNAGAAGGTCAAGGTCTTGAGAATGGCGACGAGATGCAGGGATTGCAAAACGAACAAGACAATCAGGTGATGAACTCAAACAATGAAGGTGAGCGCACCAAACCAATAACTGTCATGCCAATNNTACTCATGCATCTAGGNNCCCAAACATGATGGATCCCAATGCCTTCAATCCGGCCATGATGGGTATGGGTGGTTTCAATCCTGCCATGACACCGATGATGCCATTTGGTAATCAGAACGGTTTCTTCCCGCAGAACAACTTCAACGGAGGATTTGGCGGAAGAGGAAGGGGCGGTTACAGGGGCAGGGGCGGCTTCCGTGGTCGTGGTGGCTTCAACAACATGCATGGCGGCTTCAATGGACACATGTCACAGCCTCCAGAAGACTTCACCGTTGTCGCAGGCTCTACAGAAGGACCTCCAATTGATGCTCCCAAGGGTCCCAAGGCTATGCGTGAGGGCTTGCCCAACAGTGGCATATACAGTAGGGGCGGCTACCAAGGAGGAAGGAACGCTCATCCCACACCTACCCCTCAACCCCAGTCTCTCCCTGCACAATCACCTCAGCCGCAAAGAGAGCGTAGNTATCTCCCCGCTCGCGACAACCGAGACCGTGGCCGCTCGCCTTCACATTCAAGATCAGGCTCGCACAGCCGCAAGCGTAAGCACAGCGTCGAGTCGCAAGACAGCGAAGCACGAGCCCGCAGACGTGAGCGACGCCGTCGTCATGAAAGAAAGTACGACGACGAGCCCGCCGAATCCGACAGAAAGGACGTAACAAGATCGGACTCCGGCGACGAGGATGCTTCTAGAAGATCACGCCGCCGCAGAGGAGACAGAGAGAAGCACCGTTCAACTCGCGAGAACAGCAGAGACCGCGATCATCGCCGCCGTCGCAGCAGATCTCGCGGCGACAAGGACCACCGCACTAATGGCGACGACCAATCCTCGCGAGCCAAGAGCCGCCGCGACCGCGACCGTGAGAGAGAAAAGGAACGCTCTGATCGCGATAGAAGTGATCGTGATCGTGATCGTAAACGCTCTCGTAGAGATCGCTCGCCCTCAGCCAATGGAACCAACGATCATTACTCATCTTCCCGTCGCTCACGTCGCGACGACCCAGCATCCACAAACGATGATCAAGGATTCAAGATCAAAGGCTCTCGCACCGGTGGCAGCAAACCCTTTGCTCCACCCACCGGTCCCCGCAAAGACCGCAACGACGACAGAAACACTAGACGCCCTTCACTCCAATCCGTCGCTGTGCCCCAAGACAATGCTGCCTCTTCATCTGCAGACCCATATGCCCTAGAACGCGAAGCACGCATCAAGGAGCGCATGGCCAAAGAACAGCAACGCCGCGAAAGTGCCACCTTGGGAAAGAGAGGCAGAGGTGATGAATCAGGGAGACGGGGATCGTTCGAGGCGCCGACGGGCCCTAAAGGCGGAAGGAAAGGAAGAAAAGGTTAGTTATAGGTATGAGGATGAAGAGGGCGAGGAAGCTAGGGCTGAAAGGGTTGAGAGAGAGAGAGAGGCTGGAAGATGGGGTTGAAGACGAGAAAAGGAGTGTAAGATAGAAAAAATGTTGATATGCGGGATAGAGAATCATGTCTCGTTGCTCGTATTTGTTCTTCATTTCTTCGTGAATGTGCTTTGTGTCTCTTCAAAGAACAAAGGCGTGGTATGTAACGGAGGGCAAGTCCTTCGAGAGTCCACGGAGGCATTGAGATGGACATTGTCTGGCTGTTTACCCCTGAGTTGGTCCCATCGGCCTCAATGAGATTACGTCTTCAAAGCACCCTTTCCTGTTCTTGTTTTGCTCGATATGCTGCCTTTTCTTGTGTCTACTCCCAGATTATGAAGATCAAGATTTATATCACTCTACTACACCGCACTGCCAAAGCCTGACAAGGCGAAGAAGGTATGATGGAGAGAAGCATCTCTATCTTTACATCAGATAGACATTTCCCTTCCAATGTACAAAAACCTCGACCAAACCTTCCCTGAATGAAGCAAAACCAAAGAGCAGACCTGGCTATCATGTCTTTTTCCTGAACACCTCGCTGATGTAAAGAAAGTCTGAGCCCCTGATGCAGTGAGAGTGAGAACTTGATTGATGTAACGAAAGCGGGGCAACATCATCGTGGTTGAGCAATGGCTGGATGTCGCAATCGGGCATGTTCGTCAACTTGTCGTGAATCGGATGGTCAGCAAATATCAAGGTGGAAAGTGAGAAGGACATACAAGGCGATGATGTGCTCATTCAACAATCTCAATCTTGTTTCCGGCGGCATCAAAGCCAGTAGCACGTTCGATCATAATTCTCAGGGCTTCTTCCTTGGTGCCGTCGGGGAGCTCGAAAGTGTCCTGTAGGTACTTGGTTCCAGGACCGCGGTAGACCCAAAGTCTGTTTTTGCCGTCGGTGGTGCGCATGGTCACGGAGTGACAAGTGATGTTGCGCTTGCTTCTGATAGACTTGCTGTCACCGTGAACGTCGACAGAATCGCCAACGGTGCCGGTGAAGGTGACTTGGAGGAAGCGGATGTCGATGTTCTTTGCATACTGAGCGTAGAGCTCCTTGGCGTCCGCTGTGCTGATGATCTTGTTGAGCTTTCTGGCCTTGATTGAGAGAGTAAGCAGGGGCAGCGAGACGGCGTGATCACACAGTGGTGAGGAGAAGTAGCTATTACCATTGTGATAGGGAATGAACGAGGGTTGGTTGGTTGATACAGAATGATTAGAAAGTCTTGTATGAGACGACGAGGTGGTGTTTTGGTGGAAAGATGCGTGAGACGAGTGAGAGGCAGAACAACAACAAACTGAAGTGACGGAAAGTTGAGACGGAAGCAAGTGGAAGGTGAGCCATCGATCACTCGTCTCAAGCTCTTTCAATGGTGAACTCACGTTTGATGTCAAATCTTTGTATTGCTTCAAACGCTTATGGAGAAGAAAACCATAAGGAGAGAAAGCTCAGAGCTCGAGTGTATACATTCAAGATACGAACCAGGCTCTTTCAAAAGGCCATGAGAGGACTATAGATACGATTGTGACTTTTTACGGAGAACCATATCAAGAGAGATCAGTGAGGAGGGGCTTTGAGACTCTACGTCTGTAGACCTAACTTTGATGCACCTACCCGTTGTGACACTGAGACCTACGCATGAGTTCATGAGTGCGCTTTCACTGCAACTCTATCGATTCCATCATCTTCTACGCGGAAACGGAAAATTCGTCGTCAAGTGACAGCACCAAAGCGCGCTACCCGCCAAAATCTCACCATCACTTCTCGATTTACTCAGCCTTCTCGTCTCCACAACAACACCACACTTACACGAAAATCGAACATGGCGGATAACGTCACGTCAAGTCAATCACCTACAACAATCGCAACGGAAATGGACGTGAATACGACTGAACTCACTGCGTTCCANACCTCCCTGTCGACTGAAGTGAGCCACCGCGTCAGGACTGTTTACCTCAGCGGCCCAATCAAGATCATCTTGCCAATCGACGAACGTGAGGAAATTAAGACGGTGAATCGCGACCAGCGCGACCTTCACTTTGACGCGTCTGCATCGCTCGTAGTCAGCGCAAACACCAACACTGACAATAGCGAGACTGTTCAGCTCAGCGGCCCCGTCAACATCAAGTCTCCTGTCGAACACTGCGGCAACGTCAGCTCCATAGGCTCTGCTTCCAATACGCACGCGATCGGCTCCCTTTCTCTTACCATGGAAGATTCGTCTTCCGTGGTCAAGCAGCTCGACTGTAACCGTCCCGACGACACTTCATCGCCTTTGTAAGCGCTCTTCTCCAGTGAACAAAGCAACTCAATTGACCACTGAAGCAGCTGCTCTTATCTACCTGGAAATGAGGTTGTCCTCAAGAGTCCCAACAGCGATGCGCCGATCAACGCCATGATCGTCCAAAGTTTTCCGGCAACCCTCTCCTGCTGCATGGTAATTCGCTTCGTCGAGCCGCATGTCTTCAGTAACATATCTGAATGCGTGCTCAAACTCTACGACCGCCGCTTCTCAACCCAGCATCGCGAAGATTGGGATGCCTCGCCTTGGTCCCCTGAGCTCGAAAAGGAATACCAGGACTTTGTGGAGTGCGGTGATGCTGAAGAGATTTTCAGCTATTGGGACGCGGAAAAGGAACGAAATGACGAGTGGTCGGCGGCCGATGTTGGCAACCACGACAGATGGGGTGTCGCGAAGCGCGAGGCGTATCTCCAGTGGGATGCAACAAACATCTTTGACACTGAGAAGAAGGCCTATGAGCACATGGCTGGCCTGCAAGGAGAAGATGTCCCCATGGTCTTTGGCGAAGTTGTGCTGGATCAGCCAACTGCCTTCCAGAATCAAAGCGACGGCATCAAAGCTGGCAAAGACGAGGCCGAAGATATTCAGGAAGACTCATTTTCTACCACCTCATTCGATGCCGACAACAACCCTCATATCGTCAACATCCCCGGAATTCTCATGCAGTATATCGACGGCTTCCATCTCACAGATCTATACAAGCATCTGCCTCAAGATTGCTGGCAATCCATCGTCGACACAGCAATCGAGAAACTCCACCACATCCAGGAATGCGGCATTCTCAACCACGACGTCAACACACGTAGCTTCATGGTTGAATCCCTGGCCCACAAAGTCATGATGATCGATTTTGGCATGGTCTCGTTTCGTGAAGACGTTGAAGACGATAGAGAGTGGGAGCTGCTCCAAGCAGAAGAGGATGAAGAAGGTGCCGTCGGTCTGCTCATGCAGACATACTTGAAGGAGAGAGGTGGNGGTGCGATCACCTACAAGCCCAGCGAGAGTTATTGGAGGTTGAAGTACCGCTACAGAGGTATGGAAGGCCAAAGGGAAGGCGGTACCGAAGAAGAAGAAGAGTATGTCAGGAAGCACACAGACTTCGTCTTCACGAGTTGAGCTAGTTGATTATCTGGGTCACTCAACACTTTGAACCCAACCGAGATGAGAAGGGTTGCGAAGAGCAGTGAGGGCGGATAAGGCGAATCATGGAAGAAACTAGGTAGCGTTCCTGGAGTCAAGTTTCGGCAAGGGTTTGACTGTCGGTCTCATGCTTATGCTTGAGATTGATGATAATCAGCAGCACAAGTAGAGTCCAGTGATACCCCTTTTTCTTAAACTATTTCCAGCATACGTGTGTCGTATCGGTCGAATGCTGTAGCCGGAAAACAATGATTAGTTGACTCCGAGTGCTGTCTGACATCTCTCTTAGGGAATGTGTTGTGAAATGCGGAGAACATCTCTATCGATGTTGGTGTCTGTATTCTAGTCTTTCTTCCAAGCAAATCGCTCATCGGATGTAGCTTAGAGCGATCATAGTAAGGCATCTGGTCGATAGGCGTCCATTGCCTATTGCGTTCTGCTTTAATGGCGGCTTTGGCACCAAGTTCGTTTTGTGGTGTGATGGAAAATGCAACAAAAGAATCGTGAGGTAACACAGTGACAATATGTGCATTCATCAGAGTGGAGATCAAAGAAACAGTATTTCGAAGAAAGAAAGTTTCTTCAAGGTAGGGAAAAAGGTCTGGAAGGTAGAATGGTTAGTCTCAAGTCCAAATTTGTTCATTTCTCAGGCAGGAGCAACTCTGCCGAAAAACATACTGCGGGCGTTGTGGAGTGCGTGACTTCCTGTAAAATCTCATCATGTAGCTATTCGCTCTTGTGTGAATAAGGATGCCTTCATGTGATAGTGCTAACGTTCCCATCGAGTTGCATATGCCACATGCACGTCAGACACGTCGTTAATCGCAACACGGAGCTGTTACTCTATATCGCCGGATGCATAATCAAGTGCAACCTTTCCTTCCATATCTTGCACAATCATCGAGGCTCACCCAGAAGTAATTCTCGTGCGGTGTCCACAATATCGGATGTGAACGTTGTCGACCCTTCGCCTTTCACAGCAAGATGCAACGCTGTGTAACCGTATTCATCAGTCGCATCTATCAGAGCGCCGTGGTGCACGAGTGGTGCTACCGCTCCACGATTTCGTAAGACAGCTGCGATATGGAGTGCGTTCCTACCGTGGTATGCGATCTTGCGATCGAGGTCAGCCTTCGCTGCGGCCATTGTGCGGCACACTCTTTGCAAGAGCGTGGTAAATGGCACGTGAATCAACTCTTCGAGAAGTTTGATGGTCTTGTTGTGGTTGTTGCATTCGTGATAAGGATCGACGCGAAGCTCAGTCAACTCAATTGTGATGGGCAAAACTGATTGGGCATCCGCCCTCAATGCCTTCTCCAGCATTCTCAAGCGCTCTGTCACTGTCAAATCCTCTTACCATTGCAAATTTGACAGCTTCATGGCCTGGAACAAATTGCAACTCGGGATGGATAGAACAATTTCCTGCCACCGGGGGTCACGCAGATGCCTTGGTCCCAGAGGGAGAAGCCTTACAAAGGAACAACACCTCCGTTTCAATATTAGAGCCAAAGTTGACGCGAGATCATCTTCGTTCCAAAACCGGTGGACCCACTGGAGGAACAACGCCTGATGCTTATGGGAGAAGACGAACTGGTGCAAAGCATCTTTTCGAAGTTCCAACTCCCAGGTCCAGAATGAAGTATCGGTGCACCAGATGAGGCTATAGCGTTCTTCAACGAAGGTTCGAAAGGAACTCGATAAATGACCCTGCTCGGGCAGGAACTCTGTTGTATGTGAAAGCCAATATTCAGAAGCGTACTGGAGGAATTGGTACTTTGTCGTAATCTTGTGGCTTGTGTTGTTATCTGTTTGTAGGGGCAATAGATTTGAGTTCGCAGACACCGATTCTGCTCGTCTCCTCATCACGTCTCTAGCTTTATTCAAGACAGTGTTTGGCACATCAGCAGCCAAGGCATGACTTGCCATCATCATAGGATCCAGAGTTACCTGAGATCTGGGCGATTTGATAAGCTGGGTCTGAAAGTCGTTGAAGTTCAGGTAGGTGACGCAGACTTCGCCAAACTGTCGATTGGATTCGTACTGTTGAAGATGGAAACCCGAAAGTGTCATCTGTTCGGTGTCGGGAGTACAGAAGAAGTCCTTTACGCTCGAATGTGCAGATTACAGCGTTTCGTCCTTTTCATCGAGTCCAGTCAGATCATGACACCATCGGACAATGGCTTTGGTGTTGTTGATCTGGCGTTCTGGCATGAACCAAGGCTGGCAAGGCTCCACTGAGGTACAGGTGATCGAGTTCTAAACAAAGCCAGCATGGTGTAAGAATCGTTTGAGCAGCGTGATGTCCGGCTTCGAGGTGTCGGAATAAAACCAGAAGCAGCCAGGCCGAGATTTGTAGGATGTGACCCCACCGTATCAACATAGATACAATACACCATGCATCATGCAGGCTTCTCAGCCTCGCGGCGCAGCAATCTCGAAACCCTCATCAAGGCATAGCTTCCACGTCCCGCCGGTATGAAGACTGAATTCAAACGTTTCCTCGCAGCAAGACGCGAGATGTGATAATTGTATAGAGAGACACCAACTTTGTACCATCAAGATATCTTGAAGGAGGGAAGTACGCTTCACAGACGAAGGTCAACGCGGCTTGATGCCGAGGTAGACAGGTGGCAGAATCTCACCGCCTGTGATGGCGCTTACCTTTGCTGAAGCTCATACTCGGAGTAACTCTTGCTCAAATTGTGTGGTGGCACTGCGAACATGTGCAATTCGATCTAAGGCATTGCGGACCGAGTTGTGTCAAGTAGGTTCCATCTCAAGGAATAAAACTGCTGCTATGCGAGAAGATCGTGTATTCGTGATTCATGGAGCCACAAACATCAAGCTGGGAACGAAATGCCGTTTTCTCGAGGCCACTTCCAAGCGAATAGATCTATCAGCGGTCTTGAATGGAGATCTTGAGCGCGATGTTTCAATCTTCCACACACAATTTATCATGCCCAAGTTCATGGGGGCCTACGTGCTCCTTCCACTATCGTAAAGCTTACTAATCCACGGCGCATCTTGGAGTCACGGCGGGGTTTTGAAGCGACAATGACAATACCTCAAACGCCATAGGCAGAAGCACCTCCCATCTCCATTCCTCATCTGCTACAGCTTGCAAATCTTGTACCAAATGTCACATCTTACAGGCGACCCTAAAAGACATGATCTATCCTCCTTCAAGGGCTCCATAACAGGCAGCTGCCTATGCGGAAGCATCACAGTAACGATTAACGAAAACCTCTTCACAAAACCACGCGGCCACCTCTGCCACTGCGAGAACTGTCGAAAAGCGACCGGCTCTGTAGTAGCCACAAATCTCACCATCGAAGAGAAAAAGGTCGATATCAAAGACAGAGATGGCACGCTCAAGCTCTATGCAGATAAAGCTACCAAAAGTGGGAATCCAGTATATCGATACTTTTGCGCTGTGGATGGAAAGTAAGTCGTTATCCCCACGAGACTCGCGACGGAAAGCAAAATATTGTAGCGCTGACTGCTTTCAGTCCCATCTTTTCAAAAGTCGATTCTATGCCTGGCAAGGTCACTATTTCGATGGGCTGCATGCCAGTAATCCCGAAACCAGAGATGGCAGGCTTTACTGCGCATAAGCATCCTTGGTTCAATCAACCTGAGGGCATAAGATCGTACAAGATTATTCGTGAAGAAGAGATTATGGGTGAGTAGTAGTCGTCGCCATTGTCGCCGCCGCCGCGTTTTTTCGCTTGAATCACAATTTACCGACAATGACCTCAAACTACCACAACTTCCCAATACCTCCTTGATTCTAGTGCACGAGACTCGTTCTCCAAGGTTCGGGCAGCAACCATACCAGTCATCGCGATGACTCGATCTCTATAATATAATTCAACATTTCGAAAAGCATCTTCTTCGCTTTCAACGAACTTCGCATACGCTAGATCCCTACGAGATGGCAAACCAGTACACCACATTAAGCACTCAGTCGCCTCAGGACAGCTTCCTCAGCGACTCCACAGTCCGCCACAGCAAGGCCATCCGCCCACCAAGATCACAAGCCTCACGATCGCAAAAGCAACAACCAAAACCCACAACCCTGACAGCAGAAGCCTTAGCCATGCTGGAACCCACGAATAAAATCCAAACCGCAGCTTACTACTACAACCGCATCAAAGACTTTATAAACCAGCTGCCTGCTCCTGGGACTTCAATAGAGCATGATGAAAATTCAGATGCCATCCAGCATCCAGACCTCACCACATTGGCCAAAGAGACTGAGGGACAAACACACTACTACATGCCGCCCTTCCATCTTCAACATATGCATATCTACCACCGCTTTCAAAAGATGCGGCGTGAGGAGCCATGGGCAGAGTTTCATACACACAACGCATGGTTGAGCTTGCATTATTCTGAGCACGGTGAAGTGTGCATGTATGCGGGTGTCGAGAATGTGGAACATTGTGACAAGATCAATAAGCACATGACCTGGTTGAGAGATAAATGGCTAGGTATCGAAGTGGGTCTAGTTTACTATCTCATGGAGTATGAGGATGATGGCCAGGTGGACAAAAGGGAGGTTGATGTGAAGGGGGACGAGGGAAAGGTTGATCAGAAGGGAGCCACAAGTGGCGTTCGAGAGAGGTCAGGATCTGAGACTGAGAAATTACTCGATGCGTCGACCTGGAGCGACTTTGACGTATCTTGGCCTGTATAATCTTGATAGACTAAGCTCAACCTGGCGCCGGATCAACTCTAATTCGGTCTGCTCGAGCCGTGGCACTGTAGAGCAATGACGAGCCGAATGGTCCCCAAGGCGTAACGCATACATGGGAATTTTAGTGTATTGAACATACTGCAACAACAACTTGGTCTTATTCCTGCTCTTTCTTAGGTAATTCTCCTCCGTTATGCGAACTTCATAGCGCACGACGCAGTCCCAGGACTTCTAGGACTGCGTCGCCACGCCTTGCTGATAATAGAACCAAGCACAAGATCCTCTCTAACTGGGAAAGAGTCTATCGCCGGCCATTCCTCTGCGCAAACACAATCCGTATGGAACTTTCNCCACCGAGAAATCGAACAAAAACTATTGGTGACATGCAACACCTCCAATTTCGCAGTGTAGCCATCCCAGTCTGTGGCATCGAGGTCCGCGTCCAATGGCACTGCTGCACTGTTGGCAAAGTCGATGGCTCGGATGGTACAGTCATCGGCAAGCAATACATTGCGTATGGCGATATCGAACCATAGCACCTTCCTATCATGACATGCAGCCACAAAGTCGACAATCTGCGGGATCCAATCTAGTCTCTTACTCCATGACGGTAGACATTTGTCTCTTATATGATCTTCCGAATCTCCATTGCGATAGTACTCGAGCTCCAATCCATTGGTAGAGATGTTCAAGCAGTTTGCAAGGTCTGGTATGCCGTGGAGTCGCTGATAGACTTATTTCTCGACTTTTAACCTGTCGCGACGCCAGATGTTGTCCTTATCTGGCTGAAGAGATCCGCCGGGAAGAAGTGTCGCGTCCAGTTTGGGTATCTTCATGACGCTTGTGGGTCCCATGGGGATGATACATCCATCCATACCAAACCCAATCACTCCCTTCCCAACAGATTGCCCGTCAGTATACAGTAGCCGGGTAACACGTGTTTAATACATCCATGTCGTGCTGGAGTAGATCAGATCAAGGTCGAAGAGATGGGATGGAATTGGAAGGTGTTTGGCAATGCTCGTGCCCCTTTGTCTCGATGTGAACGAAACTCTTTCGCGAAAACGTGATGGTCTCTTGTACATGGTCTTTGTCTATCTGATGAGAAAGGAGCGAAACGAGTGTCGCGCATACTGCAGAAACCATCACCCAAACAACCCTCTAAGAAAGAAATGGTCCCATCACCCTTTTGCACCCAGGTTCCCATTATCTCTCGGACAGAACTCGGTCACTAGACTATGGGTAATCGTGGCATAGTGTAGCCTAGACACCAGAGTCATCCTTTTTCCAGTAGGATTCTTCAGGATAGAAGTCGCGCCATTCCGAGCAGATGTCGTTGAAGGCAGGGTCGAGTTTGATCTGATCGGGTGTCTCGAGGAACTGGGTGGCCAGACCGTCGGCTACATGCCACGCGATGTGACAATGCATGATCCAAGCACCGGGGTTGTTCGTCTCAAAGGCAATAACCAGCCAGCCTTGGGTTGGAAGCATTGCAGTATCACGACGAGGGGNGTTCTTGAAATTCAGCTCGCTCGCTTGATCGTTGGTGTAGTTGCTGTTCTCTTTGGCGCCCAACACGTAGAAGTCATGTCTTAAGTTGTATTAGCCGCATTCTAGTATATGTGTACGAACTTTAATTTACCCATGCAAGTGGATGGGATGAGGAACAAAGAGTCCTGCACCCGCAGGAGTGGAAATCTCCTGGAGAACCCAATATGTCCACTCGGCGTCGGGCATATTTATTAGATTCATGGAAGGCGCGTAGCTTGTGTTTTTCTCCTGAACGTATTCAAGGGTCGGCTTCTCCCAGGTTACATTGAGAGCAGTGGTGTCGATGGCCCACCTAAAGATTGTCGCGTTATCTGATCTGATACCAGCCTCCTGAGCCTGCACGCTTAAGAACTCAGGATTTGCTGTCAAGGCATTGTCGGGAACGAAGCTGTCCCAGTAAGGCGCAAGTTTGCTCGAATTATAAGATTCATCATTGCATCGATCTGTGTTGTCCCCAGTTCTGTCCCAAGCGGTGCTGGTAGGATTGGCGAATGTGGTGTTGCTGTAATGAATGATTGCCCTAATGCCACTAGGATTTGCATTGTTGCCGCATGCAGGGAATGCACCACCGACAGCAGGAACATCTGCCCGGAACCAGTAGTTGTCTGCTGTCTGATTGGCCTCAATGATAACATCGAGTCTTTGTCCAATTCCTACAAAGACTCGGTCTGCAGCATAAGGCATGACTGGGACAAAGTCATTGCTGATGACAGTGAAAGGGTGGCCGTCGACCGAAACCATGAAGGCGCTGTCCACAGATGTGTTGATAAGTCGTAGGCGATATCTCTTGCCAGATTGGACAGTAGCGTTGAAATACTTTCCCTTGGTTCCGTCAGGGCTAACATTCATGCCATTCACGAGACCGGTGTAGGCCTGTGGAGGTATACTGCGTGCCAAAGGGTTGTTGAAAAAGGCAGTTTCGTCATACCAGTCCGTCAACGCGAAGGGGCCAAGATCTTCATCGTAGTTATCTGTAGCAGGACCATCGATGACGAGCGTACCAAGAGTCCCTACACCATATTGAACNNACCTGTTATACTTGTCAGTTGTGATATAGAGCCGGACAGAGACCAACATACTCCAATGGCTATGATACCAACTGGTACCATACTGCGTACAGTGGAACCTGTACGTGCGAGATTTTCCTGGAGCAATGGGACACTCGGTTATCTGACGGCGAATTTATCAGCATTGATGCAGTACCGAAATTGATGGTCAACATACTCCAGGGACACCGTCTTGGTCGCAAGTTTCATACTGCCGAATACCATGCCAATGAATACCGGTGCCGTTGTCAGCCAAGTGGTTGTTGACTGTGATTTCGAGCCAATCTCCCCAATTAGCCCTGATGACTGGTCCTGGGTACTGATTATTGATCAGCATGACCCTTCGATCGCCTGTGCCATCGGGGTCAAGAGTAGTGTTTGTAATGGTCAATGTGTATGGAACTGTCTTTTGGGTGTCAGGGAACTTTTGATCAAAATCGGTTGCAATGCTGAAGCCGTTTCCCCAGCATGCACGGCTACCGGCAGTGTTGGTACATTCTGTATCAGCATCATCTGGTGTCAAAGTCGTGGAAGATCCAGCAGCAGAAGAGGTCGAGGAAGCCTGACGTTTTACAGCTACCGAAGCAGCAGCGTAAGCCGCCAAGGAAGCAAGAAGGGGGATAGAACGCAAGAGATGCATGCCTGCGAGTAATCGAGCAAGTTTGAAGTGTTGTAGTCACCCCGAGGTGGTAAGCAACTTTTATACACATACACTTGCCTAGGAGACATATCGTGTGCAGCCTGTTGCTTACAGGGCTGACGAGACCGAAATAGATTTTTGTAGGTTGGAACACGGCTGTTGTGTAGATGTCGAGAGTATGGCCTTCATCGTCATAATGGACGAGATCAACATGCCTTCCTTATTCTTTATCGAGAGAAAGGGAAAGCTGCAAGTCAGATGGTCTGCCTACTTTCCAATAGACTGCTGCGAAGTCAGCATGTACGATTTGCAAGCCCACTTGACCACTCAGTACGTAGGATTTCAGTAACAAGAGAATGCTGGAATCTGTGATCGGGAGTTGCTGTGAAGAGAAGGGAGAACACTCTGGAGTTTTTGATTGGTGATGCAAAGTTATCCGCTGACCAGTCTGCCATAAGAACCTTACCGGGTGAGACAAGATTGTATCTTCCGACGTAAGGTACATGACCTTCAATGCCCCTGTTTGCACAATGCGGTGGACTATTGCGCCTCCGACAATCATCAGAGTTTAGGAACAATGTTCCTTTTTAGACCAAAAGCCAGGGCTGCCTCATGATAGACCAACCGTATCAGTATCTGCTATGTAAGGGAATGCAGGAGCTGTAGCGTGACATCGTATGATCTTTCTCAGCTTCATATCTGAGAGATAACAGGGCCGTGACGAGGGTGATATCCTGAGCGGCAATATTCGTCACTCTATCTGTACCGTGAACTAGATAGAACATGGCGTTTGATCGTGATCTGGAGTTTCCAAAGATATGCCAGAGGTGTTGAGTCGGGTTCCGAACAAACCATCATACTTCAAAGTATGCAGGGTATGGTCATCGTGCTTAATCGCCAAGGTCAGCCTCATGGTTTGTCCCAGGGTTAATGGAGCCTTCGGAGAGCCCTTGCTTAGTGAGAGCATAACGGTAATCGGCTTTCCAGCCGGGCGCCAGGCCCAGTTCGACTCTTCCATACTGAGGAAGCCGTGAGAGGGCGCATTAAACATTCTACGGAGAATGTCGTCTCCAGCATCTATATTAGATGTGGTATTAGGCAAGCATTCTTTGCAGGTAATTCAGATCAAACATGCGACAGGTGGATCTGCCTCGCAGAGTGGCTTTCTGATCAGTCTACTCTTTCCAGAAGAGAATACCGCAGCTTTGGTTCTGTCATGCGCCATGTCCCGACTGCTTTCTCTTCGTAAGTGAAGTCCCGGACGAGCTCAGCCACGTGTCCAGAAGATACACATCAGGCTTAAAGGTGCCCAATTACATGCCGCGATGATCAGTGACGTCCCTGTTGCCTGGTGTCTCCAAGCAAGAGTACTCTTGGAACTGTGCTGACGTGCATTTGAGAGTGGTAGGAAGCCAGTCAGGAGTGCTGCTTCCCTCGTTCCAAATTTAGCGCCTTCCCGGGGACCTCCGAAGGATCGTCATCTCTTCTATCGCGTACCACACACCGCCTTCTTCCGACATCTACCTGCCTTGCATCGCAACACACTCGCGTTATCGCATATCTGAAATGATACTTGCATGTGCCAGGCTGCTTGCTGGAACACAGTGTTGGGCTCGACAAGGTCCGATCATGAGGTCCGGTACACTATGACTCCTGCTCGGCGACCTGAGCTCCTTTAGGTCTCTGATGTCAGATTTCGAGCCTGCAAGTCCGCAATCTATGCGACAAGAATCCTCTCACGAGGCAGTGTAGGAGTACGGATGAAGACTCTCAAGAGCATATGCTATTTTTGCTGAGAAGGTAGGTCTTTATGGAGCAGACATAGCCGCTGCCAGCTCGACACCTCGCAGCCTCGAGGGGTATAAAGTGGACCAAGGTACAACTCGGCTCTCTTCTTTGAGTAGCCAATACTGCAATTCCATTCTCTGACCAAGCAGCCTTCGGAAACAAAGACACCATGTGGACCTCTCTTCTTGCTATCGGACTTGCATTCCTACAGGTTGCCAGCGCCTGTGAATCATACGGTATCGACTTCAAAGATAAACGAAACTATTTCATTAACATCAATTCAAACGAATCGTTCACCGCCGTATCAGAGTTCTATGGCTGTTCGGAACCTGCTCGCGCCATCTTGTACACTCCCAGCAACCATTCAATCTTCTGCTCGGATGTTGCGACCACACCAGATTATACTGACGCCACTACTACTTGTCCAATATTGAAAAACCAGATGTATTCTGGTGACTGGACTCTCGTACTTCTGGACAACAATGGGAATGGTAGCAGTTTCAACGCCCAACGTAAATTGCACCTCAGTGTTGGCGAGCAATCCACCTCGGTCGTCATCCCTACCATAACTCTAAGTGTTACGCAAACCCCTACATCCGTTGTGAATGCTACAATCACAGACGTTGATTCAACAACCCTCCAGCCTGTTTCGGTGACCAGTCTCGCTAGCAACGCAAAGACACAGACAGTGACCTACTACCCGCCCCGAGAGACCATCACCAAATCGTCGACAGCAACGGTCAAGCGCACCTCCACACGCTTTACCTACACCGTTAAGACCTATACCGAGACCAAACTTTGCGCAGTTGCATTCGTAGCTTTGGCAGCTGATCCCACGGCCGACCCCAAGCTCCTCTCCATCGCCCAAGCCGCCATTGCTTCTGCAACCCCCTCCGCCGCTCCTGCCCGTCGTGCCAGGATCAGGCGTGATATCACTCAAGTTGTTCAAGTTGCCAAACGCAATGTCGTCAATCTCGCCAAGCGCGCTCCCGATAGCGCTACTGTGACCTCAACAGATACCAACACTGCCCACTGGATCTCAGTGACGTCCAGCTTCACAGCTGCTCCTGTTACGCAAACATCATACAGTAAATTCTGCNNTCAAATCCCGATCGATGGACATATGAAAGCTGATTTTATTCTAGCTACTGTGGAGAGTACGACAACAATTACTCCAGCACCCATCACCATTGTTGCAAAGCAGACCACGGTCACAAAGACTGCCAAAACATCTGTAAGCATGAGATACAGCCCGTGATCCAGAAGGATGACAAACTAATTGATGGAAACAGACTCGCACAGTTACCAAACGAACAACGACAACGTCCAAGATCACGAAGACGGTCACTGCCACGTATGTTACTCTCCCACTCTGCATATATCTGAAATTGCTGACAATCTTCGCACAGTCTCAAGGTTACTACCTACATGCCTGGAAAAGGTTGTTCTTAGAGAAGCTTCTTGACTTGCCCGCACTACAAGCCTCTCTTCAAGCGAAGGAATTAACAACATATGATATGTTCTCGATTTGGATCTTCTAAATTTTGGTTTTATTCCCTGGCTTCGTACTAGAATCTTCTCTTTTCCCTTCGTTGCATCTCCTCTCCTGTTTTCTTCTGCAGTCAGATTTTCCTCTGTTCGTAACACTCGACTCATTCATACAACACCTTAGATAATGCACGGAAGTTGAAAAGATTGGACTACTTCCGGCTCGATATGTGTACTGAATGCCATTTCTTGGGACAAAGTGATCTAAAAGAAAAAGAGAAAAAAAGAGCGCCATCTTGGAAGCATGTCTGATACGCCGTTTAACGCCTTCCGCAGCTATGCATGAAATAATTTCGTCAAAGAAACCCATCGTTCTCTCAATTCGATAGAGATGTAGGTCATGATAGGTTGATACCGTAATCGTTGGACTCGTTGGGAGTGCCCCAAGGATCCTCACCAGGTCCGGGGCCATAGTTGCCGAAACCACCACGTCCACCCATCATGCCGGCATGACTCTTGTCCGTCTTTGCCTTTTGCACAATCGAATACTTTGAGCCCATGTCCTTGGCTTGGGCTACTGTACGAGTGAGGGAGGCGAGCAAGGATACCATGTGTACATCTGACTGTTCCTGTGAGGCGGCTGTTGCAAGTGAAGACTGAGGCATGCCTGGTACAGAGATGATAGTGGAGGATTGAGAGACAGGAGGGGCGAGTAAAGGCAAGCGAGAGAGCATGGAGGAGATTTCGCGCAAGAGTTGGTGGTTGAGAGGAGGGTCGCTAGAGGTGGCGGAGATAGAGGCGTCGGTCAGGTATGATTGTGGTAGTTCGGCTAGATAGGCCTTGATGAGGTTGATGCGTTGGTGCAGCATCTTGATGGCGTTGTACTTGGCAGTGAGAGACGAGATGANCTATAGGTTGTTAGCTTGTGATGCTCAAAGAGATATGTGGTTATGCTTACCTTCTTCATCGGCGGCGTTAAGCTGCACATCGTTATTGGCAGGAGTGTCGTTCGTGGCACTGCCTTCGGAGCGAGACTTGCCCTTGGGAGGAGTAGCAGAGTTCTGAGCAGCGGATCCACTACTCTTTGCGACAAAGTCGACAGCGATCATCTCTGCCTCTCCAGTCTCGACTTCGAAGGGCAATTGACGGAAGCGCATCTGCAATTGGCGACCCATGCCCCATCCATCGACCTGCAGACCTTTGTCTGCGTTCTCACTGCCAGGCTCGTAGTATGATTCGTAGATTGAGATGGGAAGCTTTCCGCCGGCGAGGGAGCCGTCAAGGATGGTCTGAGGGTGGAAGAGAAGGAGCATGAGGGATTCATTGTACGAGTGCTGGAGTTGTTGGAGGATGGGCACATGATCGGGCAGAGGCCCTGAGGGAGGAGCGAGTGTGAAGATGGCAACCAGATCGAGAGGAGGTGCCTTGTGAACGTCCTTGACNNTGGTTGGTGGTTAGTCGTGATAGTCTGGTATGGACGGACTGTAGTACGCACACTGTTCTAGACGCTCGGCGAACCACTCTTCGTCAACCAGAACTTTGTCGCCATCTTCCTTGGTCTTGCACTGGAAGGCCTGCTCCATGGTGATTGTACGGCCAATTTGCTGACCGATGATCGCACCAACGATTGGGCCTGGCTGCTTGCGCATAGAGTGGCGCGTTATGTAGTCCGAGATGGTGAGAAGGACCAGTGGGTGCAGCTGGACTGAGAGCGACGAGTCCGAGGTGCTGCTGGACAGCAGGAAATTGCTTGCCGTCTCGACCATGATTGCGATTGTGGATTGTGAATGTTTGGCACAAGTGGATGGTCTAGTGGAGAGAGTTGAATGACATCGGTGTTTCTAGAGTGAGCTTCCTAAAAGCCGTCTATCTCCGGCTCCGCGCCTGCCTCACTTTCATCTGTTTCAAGGGAAGCTTCGACAACTTCGACCACTCGTTCAACTTGCACGCCACTTTCCTCTTGCGAGCATCCAAACAACCGAGTCGACTGGCTTCACCTCATCCTCGCGACTCCGAATCTATCAATAAGTCCTCACTTCCAGACACCCATCATGTCGCGCCATCACCCGTACGTCCTCTGTCGAATCACCCACGAAAAAGGCACAAACTGACAAGAAGGATACAGTGATTTGGTCATGTGTCGCAAGACCGCCGGCATCGCCATCGGCCGCCTCTGCGACAAATGCGACGGCAAATGCCCCGTCTGCGACAGCTACGTCCGTCCCACAACCCTCGTCCGCATCTGCGACGAATGCTCTTTCGGAAACTACCAGAACAAATGCGTCGTCTGCGGTGGCGAGGTAAGAAGATGCCTGCTCTCTCTTTGCCTGTTGGTCATGTTGCTGACAAGTCATCTCAGNGGCATCTCCGACGCTTTCTACTGCTTCGAATGCACACGTCTCGAGAAGGACAGAGATGGCTGCCCCAAGATTATAAATCTGGGTAGTTCGAGGACGGATCTGTTTTACCAGAAAAAGAATTTCCGGAATCATTAGTACCAGCGGATACCGTCCTGATGGTATAGGACGGTCAACTACACTATGGAGCATTATGAAGGCAACTATGGCTATTCGGGACATCTGGTCACGAACATTGCGAGACACTGCGCCGATGGGAAGTGCCTCGCCATGGCATTGCACCAAAGACCTCAGGTCAGGAACGCGAAGCAGAGATCGTCAGATTAAGGACGTTCTGTGTCCAAGGCAAACTATCTTCACGGAAGACGTCTCATGGTGCCAAAAACTCCACAAGGCTGCTCTCTGTCGGCACAACATACTGGCCAAGTCTCGGTTGCTCATACGCACCAGCTCTCCCTCCAAGCCAGGCTCCCAGACAACAATCAATTCACCAAGCACGACAAAGTAGCAAATTGAACTGCGAGACTGGCGGGAAGAAACAGATAGTTAATGTCTTCCAACGACGAAGTTAGACTTTGGTCATTCAGCTATGTTCTTCCAACTTTTGTGATCTATCGTGATGTTGCCATGGAATCTACAAGGCGATCCAGAGCCGACTTGGCAACTGTTTATTTTGTACAACATCGTTGCATCAAGTTAAAGCCCTCGTGGCAACAAGTGATGGCTCCTGGAAAGTTCGGTGCCTGCATTCTGGCTCGCAGGCCGGAAGAGATGACTGGCTTTTCGTTGACTCGTAGCCTCACGCCTTCAATGGGCGAGAGAGGCAGTGGCTAGGTGGCATGAGAACGGACACTAGACGCTCAACCCGGGATGTTGGCAAGCTCTCTCGAGTTTGCAGCATTCAGCTCAGCCATGAGACCGCCCTTGTCTCTCTTCTTCTCGTCCTGGTCCAGCTTTAATTGCACGAACTGGTGCAGAACCTTGACCTTTTCCAGCGCAACATTCGAGCAGTTGAGAGTGGTCAACGGGTCCACAGGCACACCTCCATACTTTGCGATTTGGCAGACCTCACCGTGACGATTCATGCTGACGATCATCTCGCCGTCGCGAACGCTCTCTTCTGCGAGGTTGGCATCCAGTAGCACCGTCTCGCCGCCGTGGTAGAAGGAGAAGGAGACACAGAAAGGGTGGTGTTGCATGGCCAGCTTGACGGGTTCGCGCTCACGGGTGTCAAACACAGTGACATCTTCTCCGTGCACCTCGACCTCAGGACGGCGGAAATGTTGCAGAGCGGCGACCAAGGCGATACAGCAAGCATCGATCAAGCCGCCATCGTGGTCCAGAACGTGTATGTCTGCGCGGACGGCGAAGCACTTCGCGCCGGCGATAATGCAGAGGGATTCCGTGTCCAGGGCACCAGAGCGGCGGATGGACTTTTCCAGTAAACGAGACAGCACGACTTCGGCATCGTTGGGGCGACCGACTTCGAAAGCGGGAGAGGCCATGGGTGAGAGCTCGGTCGAGATGGTGAAGACGCCGTCGAACTTGCGATCGGGGAAGGGTGTTGTTACTTCGGCGGATACCCTCACAACGACTCTGTAAACATGTTAACAAGATGTGACATGCAAGGTAATGGTGTACACTGCACACCTCGTCTTGCCCAAACGGACATCGGCAACGCCATAGTCGTCGCCAAACTCCAGCTCTAGGTTTCGGTATTGATCGAGTTGACGACCGTCGAGGCGGATGCTTTCGAACAGAGCATCGCGAATGAATTGGCGCTCATTGAGCGAGGGCTCGACTTCTCGCGGCATGGTATTGTGTTGATTGCTAGTATGACGTGAATGTCGATTTAATATTTTGTTACATGGAAGGAAGGCGCAAGGTCCGACTCGGCTTCTGCCGCACCCTTGAAGGTCGACACTTTGCGACCATCGACAACTCTCTCTCCACCTGCCATAACAACCTCATATCCGACTCACCATGACTACCGCCCATCGTCCCACTTTTGACCCCGCCCGCGGCAAAGACTCCTTGCGCGGTCCCGGATATCATCAACGCCTGCTCCCAGCCCACAAGACCCTCAAGTTCCGTCAAGCCACACAAGGAACCACCGACGAGCACTCTGCCCGCGACCTACGCGCCGAACTCTTGCGCGCCGAACGCCGTCACTTTGCCAAGAAGGAAGGTCGCGAACTGTCACCCGAGGAAGATGAACAAGCAACACCCCAACTCGCTCTCGAACAAGCCTCGACCGATGGCAAGAGTCTGAAGCGCAATCTCGAGGATAGAGCCAGTGGAGAATCACAGGATGGAGAGCAAGACGAGGAAGACTATGAGGCCAAACGAAGGAGAGTGCTGGAAGAAACTCGCGATGTTGATGCCGATTCAGACGACGCATCAGAAGAAGACTCTGATTCCTCAGATGACGAAGACGACGATGATGACGAAGCCGAGCTGATGCGCGAGTTGGCAAAGATCAAGGCCGAGCGCGCAGAGGCTGCTGCAAGAGAGGCTGCCGAGCAAGCTGCCAAAGAAGAAGAACAGCAGATGCGAGATATCGCTACTGGAAACCCACTCCTTAACAAGGGTAAGCTACTTGTCTTTCTCTTGCCATGTGTTATCTCGAGATTCTAACAAGAGCGTNNAGGAGCATACGATGTCAAGCGAAGATGGGATGATGATGTCGTCTTTAAGAACCAGGCCAGAGGAACAGAAGACAANAAAGGCAAGGAGTTTGTCAACGACTTGCTGAGATCCGACTTCCACAGACGCTTCATGAGCAAGTACGTGCGATAGACGGATACAACCCCTCGACACTCACATGGACTGCTCTGGACTGAAGGCTTCAAACATAAAGACATCATGATTGGTATTCGGTCGTTACGCCATTAAAACTAACACTCTGGTTGCGCATCATACTGGCTGCAACTGAGCTATTACTTCCTCAATCTTTCAGACCCGGAAAGACACTTAATAGTCGGAGCGCTCGTTGTAGGCACCGGCTGCCTCACGCTTGGCCTCACCCTTCTCAACCATCCTCTCATTCTTCATCATACCACCGAGCTTGCTCATCAGCTTTCCAGCGGTCGAATCTGAAATTAATATATTAGCATGCCACCCACTGCAAAGGATTAGAGGACTTGTCTTACCGCCTTGCTTGCCAGAGCTCTCATCAGTGGTGTACTCGGAGGACTTGTTACCGTATCCTGCACCACCGGTGGAACCACTACCATACTCGTTGCTGCCCGAGTATGCACCAGTGTCGGTGGATGAGCCGAAGCGAGTGTTGCTTGAGTCATCAAAGGTGTCACGACCAGAGGTGGCCTTGTTACCGTATCCAGCACCGCCAGTGGCGCCGGAGCCAAAGTCGGTGCTTCCCGAGTAGGCGCCAGTATCGGTGGAAGAGCCGAAACGGGTGTTGCTCGAGTCGTCAAAGGTGTCGCGGTCATAGCTCGACTTGTTGCCGAAGCCGACGCCACTGCTGGTGCCTGAGCCGTAGTTGTCGTCGATGGACTATGGGGTCGAGATGTTAGCTTCTGGTCGATTTGATCTTGCGATAGGCTTTCGAGTTTCATAACCAAAAAGAGCCCATACGGTAAACTTCTTCAACATTGTTGTTTCTGACGTGAAGTGTGATGTGTATGTGGGGTGACAAAGGAGTGTTTCGATGAAAAGAAATAGGCAATGGACATATTGAGCAATATAGTCATGTGAAGAGGGGCAAGATAGATGTGCAAAAGATAAGGGGAAAGCTCGAAGGATTCTTCGTGCATGAAGAACTTACGGGGTAGTTGCCGCCAGTGGTGTGGTGGGTATCCCTCTCAATACCATGGCTAGGCTTCAAGTCATCTTGACCCAGTGCTTCACCAGCAGATCTGTGATGATGACCATAATCTCCTGCCGACGAACCAGTCACGCCAGAGCCATAGTTGTCTCCAGAGCTCGAAAAGGTATCTCTACCAGCGTTCGAGGAGCCATAGGTGTTGTCGCGACCAGAAGAGAACTCGTCTCTGCCAATTCCAGAACCAGAGTTACCACCCGAGAACTCGTCTCTGCCCAGTGTGTTGCCAGTGTTGCCGCGCGAGGCAATGTCATCGTTGCCAAGCTCACCGCTACGGTATGTGTTTGAGGAGTCGCTGTACTGGTCGCGGCCAAGTCCACTGCCGGGGTTTGCTCCGCTGCTCAGAGAGTCGTTGCCGTAGCTAGAGTCGTTGCCATAGGCTCCTGAGCCAGTGGTTCTGTCGTTGAGACCGCCTTGGCGACCCTAATGAGATGAAAATATTAGATACGTAGTTCTTGGGAGGAAGTGATGATTTGCACATCAAGCAAAGAGGGTATTGGTGGGAAGGGATGATAGGTTCAGAGTAGCCGGCAAGATAAGGAAGGATACGAGGAGAGAGGGACTTACAGTACTGCTGTACTCATCGTTGCTGTTGCTACTGTACTCGTTGTTGTAAGACATGGTTGGAAGCGTGTGTTGTTCAAAAGTTGCTGTCAAAGATATATAATTGATAAAAGCCAAAAGGAAGCTCTACAACAGAGGCAGGAAGGGTTTATATATAAGTTACTCGGAGAAAACCAAGTTTGTCGGTGACCTTCTCCTCCCTATCGCACACAGCTCTGAGGAAACACACCATAAGCATGCGTCATGTCTCCATAGAATCCCACCAAACCGCTTCCCCCCGTGAGAAGTTGACACCTTCCAGCAAAGATGCGGAAAACCTTGCTGCGGGGACCTGGACACGGGTCCCGACCTGCTGTTTCACGCGAGCTTTGGTGCAAGAGATCGAAAAAAAAAGGGCAAGCATATGCAGATCATCACAAGCAGGGTCTCTCCAATCGAAGCTCCCCGCTTTCGTCACGTTTCGGTAGCGAAAACGTGCAGCCCATCGCGCAAAAAGGCCCAGAACACCCTTTACACCGTACAAGCCACCGCACGCAACAGGAGGCTGTGTTGGCAAGAAAACCTGCTTGCTCGCCCATCCCAACTTCGTCCTTCTGCTCAGTGGGAAATTGGATCGAAACATGATCTTCCACTTAAAGGCAAGCCACACATCCGTCATCATCGATCAAGCTCAAGGAAGCACAGCAACCAAGGCAGCTGTGGCGTGCTCTATGGAGAGAAGTAAGATTGCATTTACGTCCAACTGAACAGAATCCTTGCTTCTACTGGAGGTCATCAGATCAAGGCATTCCTTGACCACCTCCTTATCCTTGTTGTACAGAATTAAAAAGACATAACTCGTCATGATACAGGTAATTGGTTTAATCATCGCTGATAACGCCACTACCATCTCCGCCAGCTGGCCAAGGTTGCGTCTTGAAATCTCGCGATCCGCTGGGTGTCGATGGTGATGACTGTGTTTCCTGTGGTAGCGATGTTGATGAAGCATCAAGGTCTTCCTCACCGTCTTCTATTGCCTCGTCAACGAAGGAGCCTTCTTCGCGAGAGGACGACATCGAAGGCGAAACGAGAACACCGTCTTCGCCGTCTGTTCGCTGATTGACCTCTAAAGTCGGAGTGGGTGGCTGGAACCGCAGATCAGGGTTCTCGCTCTGAGAGTGCTCCTCTATAGAGGCCTCGGACACATTTCCATTGCCTCTAGAAATGGGTCGAGGAGATACTGGAGAATGAAAACTGCTTCTCCAAAATCCTCTTCTGCGTCTGATGTCTCCATTGGTAAAAGGTGGCGAAGTCTGATCCGGTGATGGTGAGTTCAGAGGAGAATCGTAAGCGCCCCTTCCAAAGTGCGACTTGTTCACCATCTGCTGGATAATGGGCATGTCTAAGCTGGCGCCACCTCCCGTGCGTACGAACAAGACAAGACCCAGACAGACCATCATTACGGTCATTTGGGCAATGGCCATCCGCTTCTGGAACAGTAATTCATCAGCGACAATGCTCAAACGCACACTGACTGCGTGAATCTCCCTCTGATATTGATCACGATGATTGTCAAGCTCAATGACGGTACTCTGCCATAACTGATCGTATTGCTGTTTGAAGTCTTGGAGCTCAGCAAATACAGTTGTATTCAGGTTTTCGAGGAATGCTTCGGTCTTCTTGATCTGTCGTTTCTCAACCTTTATAAAAGCATCGCGCAAGATGCGGGACTGCTCCTCGATGTACTGCAGAGACAGAGTAGCGTTACTCTCGAGCATCTGCAGACGTTTGTGAATAGACTTGAAAAAGGACTCTTGAGTAGTCGGATTCGAGTGAGCTGATGATACGGTCGACGTGCCGGGCTTCTGATTATGCACATCGGACGATGCAGATGGCTCCTTGTTGCTCAAGGCCGTGCTTTTGTTTTGGTTGCTGGCATTGGCAGAATCAGGCATACTGGGGTTGGCGGTGACAGGTCTGCTGCTCAAGTCCACGGGCACCTGCTGTGAAGAATTGTGAGTAGTGACAGCAGTCGAAGAAGAAATGTGTGCCTGAGAGGTGACGATGGGATCAGGGGACCTCGCGGCACCCGTTGAGCTGTTGGTAAAGCTCGATGCACTTTGAAAAGATGTAGATGTCGTGTTTTTGAGATCGCCTGTCTGCATGCTGGGGTCTGTAGTGGTCTGTATTGTGTTGTTTCTTTCTAATGTGCTGATGTTGTGTGATGAAGAGACATTGACAGTACCTGGTACGTGGGCATGAGTACTGGTCGACATATGTTCGCTGTTAGCACTGGCAGTTTGCACCTCAGAGCCTGTTGATGTGGACGCTGTTGAAGTGTGCAAGGGTTCTGACCTTAGGTCAGATGAGGCTAGAACAGCAGATGATTCTGTTGAAGTCTCGATAGGACGAGCAGATTCCACGGCGATAGACTGATCAGCTTCCTTCGAAGACTGAAGAGGTTCCTGGGGAGGTTCTTGAGCAGGAGACGGTGATGCGTCAGGCATGACAGATTCCTCCAAGTCGTCGCTGATTTCACCACGAGCCAGCTCTTCCTGATGACGGAACTCCTCCATCATCGTAGTACCATGTACTCTGAGCAGACTGACGGGACAGTAGTACTCGTTGCCGTAATGGGTCAAGAACTCTATCCGAAGATATCTGGCCCAGATCAGGGGTTGCTCAACAAGAAAAGCCTGGACTGAGCGAGTGTTTCTGGCCTCAAAGACACCGAGTTCTCTCCAGCGATCCGCTTTGACAGGGTATCGATCGGAGACCGAGACTCTAAAGTTACGGAAAATCGAAGAGAAGAATTCATAATTGGCCAGGACGATTGTGTCGATGAGAATGTCATTACACAGTTCGACAATCAGAAATTTGTTGGAGCTCGAGCAGATATTGAGCATGTAGCTATCCTTGTTCTCAATCAAAACAGCGTGAGCGGACTTGGATTCGGAGTTGGATTTGAGCACAGTCGCGGCACAATCGAATGAGGCGTAATTGGAGCGTTCTTTACAAGTCTTGCCAGCATCCTTGCTCCGAAGAGTGGGTTCAGAAGCGACAGTAGGTTGAGCACTGGCAATTGATGACGAAGAACTGTCCTGTCTGCCAAAGCCACCAAAGTCCAACTCAATCTCCGAGTCTTCACCAAGAATATCGAGGGCGTGGTCGATCGGACGTGGGTTGCGAGGTTTGTCCTGTCCGGAATTGGACTTCTGGCCGACATGATCAGGCGACTGACCAACCTTGGCCAAGTTCCGTTTCTTCCATTCGTCAAACGACAGGAAGTTGGCATTGTCCAGCGGAGAGTCTGTCTCGAACTCGGCTTCAGGTCGCGTCGAAGAAGGGCTCTGAGTCTCTGACGATGTCGAATGTGGCTCCTCCGGGCCAAGGCTGCCCGACAGAGAGATCGAAATCGCAGTGGAAGGGGTAGGAGTAACGGAAGGGGTGAGATTGGTAGTCGAGTTCGAGGTCGGTGTAGAGCGGCTTAGACACTGCTGGGGTAACGAGTGTGTGATGTAGTTGACCGTGCCAGTACGGCAGGTGGTCTGGCGTAGATCGGTGTTGCGCGCATCTTGTGTTGAAGAGATGACGCTGTTGATAGTGCTGTTGCTGCTGACGATGGGGCCAGATGTCTTGTTGGTCTCAGACTGCGCCGAAGCAATGAGATACAGGTNAAAGAGAGAAAACAGCAGCGCCGCCAGTGCTCTGCCGTTTCTGAATGCCCGCTGCATCTCCTAGGCGCATTCTTCTGCAAGTCAACGGGATGCGTTGTAATACATGAAATTTGTCGCGCTTTCTGGGCCGTTCTGCCCACTGCATCGTCACTACCATCGCGAATGTGGGGAAAGCACCTGTCAAGACTCAAACGGACTCGATCGACTCGAAGCCTTGACCTCAGCTTGTAGCCTCAACTCAGTCATGAATCGCTCGTAAAATTCTTCTAAGGAAACGACAGAATGGCTCTGATAGCCTGAGAAATTGTACCAGAGTCGTGCGTCCGTCCATGCCATGTTGATAATAGACCGCCCAACGCCGCGCAAAACAGAGAGCCATAGCTCACCGTCGCAACCATAACCCACAACCAACCAAACCGGATCCGAAGGAAATATAGAAGGGCCACTTGCCCTGAAACTAGTGTTACAGCCCTTCCTCGCCGGCCTGGCACACTTTGATGCCCTTGCCCCATTCCGAGTTCAGCACTTGGTGTGCACTGATGCGTCTGCTGGCGTTGGGATCCAATATCGAATAGATGACGTTTCTGCATCGCGCCTGGGAAGCATTGGTTAGCAATCTTCTTTGTTGCAATCATCAGAAACAACTTACTCTATGCAATGACTCGATTGGTCCATAGCCAGCATCACTCTTGCGACCTTGCACGTAATTTTCGTAGAATTCATCTTCATCCTTGTTGGCCACACGCCACAAGTGTCTGCCAGTTCTCATGGCCATGTAGATGACACCACATGCCCAGACATCTACTGCGCGAGGGTCGAATTCCTTGTCTGTGTACTCTTCTGGCGCAATGTAAGGCGCACTGCCGCAAAGACCTGCTGTCATATGCGGTTCTGTCTCCCAAGCCATGCGGAAGCACTCGCCGTTACCGAAATCTGTAATCTTGAGGGCGCCGTGCGTCGTGAGCAAAAGATTCTCTGGTTTCAGATCGCGATGTGCCACTCCCATCTCGTGGATATATTCTACACCACGCATGAGCTGCAGGAAATAACAATCCGCCTCGACAACTTCCAGTTTGCCAGCAGCAAGGACTAGTGAGTAGAGGTCTCCGCCGGCGCAGAACTCCATGACTTCGCAGTAGTCGCCCTTGGCATCAGTGAGCAGGTCGAGGGTGTGGATAACATTGGGGTGTCTCAAAGAAGATGAGATGCAAAACTCCGAGTTAAGGCGTTTGCTGTACTTCTTCGCATCTTCCTGAGGTCTTCGGCGGAACTCCTTGACGGCATATAGTTGCTCATGTTTCGAGTCATTCGGATCCACCTTGTGCGCTATCCTGACGATACCAAAGGCACCACGGCCGACGATTTCTTGACACTTGCCGTATTTCTGAACAAGTGTTGCGGTACCGGCAGGTCCATTCTTCTGGTCCGAGGCAACCCGGTTCTTTTCGTTTTTCAGCTGGTCCACCCAACTTGCCATGAGAGACAAGGGCTGTTCCTCGTGATGCTCCTTCTTCTTGCCTCCAAGGAAGTCGCGAACCATGTCCGTTAGCTTCTCCTGTCGTCGAGCGCTCTTAAGTTGATGGTGATGAGCACCATCTTCGTCGATCCAAAAGCGACGATGTTGAGAGGGGATACCCTCGGCTTCTTTCTTGTCCTTCTTCGCATCACTACCACTTCTCGAAACTGTTCCAGCCAGTCTAGCTTTGTCGGTCTGAGATGATTGCCTAGAAGGGTTTGCCGGTCTGATGGGCTTGGGAGGCATAATGGCTTCAGCCTCGGGTTCCTCCACTGCGGTCTCAGGGACCTTGTCGGCAAGTTTCTCCTTGATCGAAGGCTCCCTCGAAGACTCATTAGTATCCTTGGCCGAGAACATGCGACTTAATCGAGAGGTGAAGGTAGGCTTCTTGGGTGGACCGGCTGGGCGCACGTCGCCATTGAGAGGGGATTTTACGGCGGCGGCGGCGGGCAAGGAGGTCTGAGAGCTGACCGAGGAAGGATTCGAATGGGTGACTGAAGGCGATGTCTGCTGAGACTTGAAGTCCTCAGTAGCGACGGCCATGGTGGAAGGATACAAAGACGACGTGACGTCGTTGAATGGTTTAAAGAATGAGGCAGGAGGCCGCGGAGGCCGATCGTTTTCGCGTTCGGATAGCAAAGCCGGGTGTCAGACGGGCGCAGTGTATGGATTTAGATGTTGTCGGTGATACTGAACGATGCTGAAGGGCGTGGCCACAGTGACTGAATTGTGGCTGTGACGTCTAGTGCTTTCACTGCTGACAAACTTCGGGCGCGACGAGAAGCGGAACGCAGCCAACTGACCGAGCCAGAGACAAGCCCCAAGGCAAGCAGACGTATATGTGGACGAGAGGATAGCCAAAGGCGCCGCTCTTGGTGGAAGGAGAACCAGAGAGGGAAGATCGAGCAGGCCAAGCGGTAAGTCGGTCGGCAATGGGGTGCTTGAACTGAAGAAAATGCAATCGCGCTTTCCCACTTTACGGAGACTGATCGTGGCCGAAAACCGCTCATGCTTCTTTTGCCAAGCAATTGTCTACAATTCACCTTCCCGTACGAGGGGTTTAACGACAACCAACCGCTGACCGCCATCGCTAACCATCTTTGGACTCGAGCATCAAATGTCCTCTGGTCCTTTGCTCATCTCATTGCTGCCGCGCAATCTCAGCCTGATGCTCGGCCAAAGACACTGAGGGTAATACACATGGCGTGCATACCGAGATACCTCATGCTCTCCACATTTCAGCAGAAAGCGGGTTTGAATCGTCAAAGGCTGCTGCGTCATCGAGGATCCATCTGCCACTGAGATCAGAGCAAGACATGGAAGTCAATAAACTCAACTTCGATGTGGCAGTACCGTCTGCCTCCACTAGATACCGCTGCCTTCCGAGGGCTCCGTTATACATAGACTATCGTGTCCTCGCCGTAAGAACGCAAACTCTCCTCGGGAATAACTGCATCGATCAAAAAGCGACAGTCGAGTTGGAGTCAAAACGCTGTCGCATCAATCCGCTCGCTAATTGCTTGCCTACTCAACCCTGAACTTGGCTCCGTACCACCCCTATTTGCCAACTTGCCTACCATTCGCCCGATGCGTTAAGTGACACCGCTGTCCTGCAGTTTACCGACCCGAATATGCATCTCTCTGCTACGATCCACATCATGTATCTGCGAGGTACCGTAATCGCTGGTGTACGTGGAGATATATAAGGAGTGAGAAAATCGCGCAAAGGCCTCGCCCTTGTCCTTCCAATGCGACGTGTCGGCTTGTTGCATATCTATGAGCAGTCGTCATCTTCACCTTCACCTGACCATCAATCACCAACCTGTTTTTTACATCCTCTCATTTCCTAGTAGTCGGCACGTGGTCGAGCTTTGAGCTGTCGGATGTCGCTGGTTGCTTGTGCCTGGATGCAAGACTTCTCACACCGCCATGCTCGTTCCCTAGGCAGTGTCTCTCATGTCTATCTTTCGTAATGCCATGCCATGGTGCGTATGCGTTATCTATTGACCACTGCTTGGATTACGCAAAACATAATCTCGGAAGCACGAGGCCATATGAATTGGTCTTGGCTTGTTAGTGATTGCTGCTTCTAACTTATGTAGCTTAGCAATGGTTGTCCAGATCTGTTCATCCGAACTTCTCCCTGATAGAAACAAGTGCCTCCTCGCATCCGACCCCGTATTCTTGTGGAGCATCACAACTTTCCGCGGTCCCCTCATCCTCGACGTACTTTATTGTAGTTTACAAAACTTGTCAGAAGGTTTCTGAGGCGATCTTCCTCCTAGGCAGTCTTTCTCTTCTTCTTTGAAGACGTGGNGGCCACATCGCCGGCCTCGGCATCATCTTCGTCCTCGTCAGATTCGACAATGGCCTTCTTCTTGCGTTTCGAACTGCCGTTGCTACTTGCAGTATGACTGTCGACCAAGGTTTCGCGCTTTCTTGCAAGCTCGAGAAGGCGATCGTAGTCTGCTTGGATGTTTTCGATGGTTGCTTCCAATCTCTCTACACGCTCTTCGGGNNGGTCCAGTTGTGAGAGTGTGTCGCGGTTAGAGATATAGAGGCGCTGTTTGACGTACAATCGCCAGAAGTAATAGGCACGATCCATCTCGTTGGTGCTCTTCTCCTTTCTCGAGATTCGGTTCACCGAGCGGTTCAGTTTGGGTATCTTGGAGTATGTCTCCATCTCGATCAGCCTTCCTAGTTGACGTGGCATGATCTTGCTAGCCTTCTTGATGCGAACCTTTGCATCGTCTGAAACGATGTCGTCCACTGGAATGTTCTCGTTCATCTTGAGCTTTGCACTGTCAATTTTAGTCTCGATCTTCAAGGCTGCGAAATCATCGTTTTTGTTGCGAAGCCAGAGCAAGTCGCAAACATCACGCATGTCGTCAAAAGCCTCGTTGGGATCCTCCACTGTCAACTCGCAGATGTTATCGGGAGTGATGAGACTTTCGAAGACGGTGTTGTAAAGTCTAGCGCCATGTCCGGCTCCCTGATGGGTTGGTATGATCAGGAACTGTGAGATGCGCTCTCGGCTGGGCAGTTCCAGGGGAGTTCTGACAATGTCGTTGTAGACATCGTTGGTCTCGGAGTTCCATCGGTCGAGTATCGCGTCCATATCTGATTTGTCGTGTTGGAGGAGAGCGAGATCGTGCTTTGCAGGGTCGCGGCGGTCAGGTAATGTGAATACGCGGTAAGATGTCGAGAATCCAACAAATGTGTAGCGTGATGTATCTGCCTGCTTCTGGTCGACCTGGTAGAGCATGAAGAGGGTCCAGCGATTTGCGACCCAAGGCTCGTCCAGCTCAAGAATAGTACCGCCTTCGATGAACATAGGTACCAGGATTTGGGCGTTCTCCATGATTTCTCTAGCGCCCTCGTCGGACAGAGAGGCTTTCCAGACCTCGAACTTGTGGCCTTCATGTGTGTAGTCGTGCAGGCGTCTGCCTGGGGGTCTGAACAAGGCAGCGTCCGGGTCTGCGAGAGCTTCCGTTCGTGATTTTGTAGCAAAGGCTGATTCGGGAATGAAGTCTTCGAGAGCTCCGCGGATGTCAGATGCTTTGATATCGCCGAGCTGAGTGAACTGTTCGGTCCAGGAAATGTCCATGTGTGGTCTCAGATTGTGTGCGGCCAACGACAGCGACATGTCCAGTCCTTGGTAGCCAAAGATGAGCTCTTCCTCGCCAAACATCGGGTATGTGTGAGCCGGTGCGAAGTCTGATACCACCTTATTGCCGCGGTAAAGCGAGATGTGAAGCGCATCGTTGCTGCTGGTCGACCCTGGGATGCGATTAGCTCGGTGCTGCAACACATGAGGAAGATCTGCTGAAACTTACANTTCTTCTACCTTATCCTGGATGGCAGAAACCAACTCAGCGTTTTCCGAACTATCGGAGTCTGACATTGTGATGATATGAGTAGAGGACTGCTTTGCACAGGTTGTCGGATGGTTGTTGGATTGAAAGTCAGACAGACGCAAACGCGGGAGACGTGTTGACGCGATGGCATGAAATTGAAAACGCACGGACGATCAATTGACTCACCCGAACTTCGAGCTTCAAGCTCTTTTGCATTCTCTCCATCTCATCATCGAACACTTCAACCATCTCTGCGCTTATAATTGTTAACATGACCAGCCTGAGCCTTGATCTAGTACATCTCGTGACCCTTTAAGCAGTAAACTAAATGGTATGTGAGCTATTGGTACGCCTAGGTAATGACGGCGATGCCGCGCTCTCGAGCGGCCTCTTCTACTGGTCTTGCGTCTGTACCTATTTCTTGTTTCCAATGCCCATGTTTCCATGACAGAGTAAGTTGCTGGCTACAACTCGATATTCTATTGTATCCAAGGTGTCCTTTCTTTTGAAAACAGTAAACAGTCTCGAGCCAACAATATCCTGGCATGTTACACATTCTGTCCAGTCTTTAAAGTATTTCATATCGAAAAATCAGGAAGAGATATACTGTAATATGGTCAGTACAAAGCCTCAGGGGTTGTGCATTGCCATTTGAGCTGTTTGCACGGTGCGTTCTTTGCTACAGACAGCTAGCCAGGGGCAAACATCAGACAACCTAAGCTACATATATGCTGCTCAGATGCGCCAATCTCAAAGCATGTTCTACAGTTGTATCTATCTTAGTAGTCTGTAATGCTTTCAAGAAGCTCGGACTCACGGAATATGTCCAATCGAGATGCGCGTCGTAGCTCATCACGGCGTCGCTACTATACCACAACACATAACGAGCGGCGAAGATCATCAACCGATCATCGAGACACTATGGAGAGAGATAGCAGTAAGTGACATCTAGTGATATGAATATAGCTATCGTTGAGCTGATCTTTGGTTAGTGCCGTTCCGTGAACGCTGCGAACGAAGCCCTCGCAGCGCCTCCCCTAGAGCCACTCGAACCTCGTCGCCCAACCTTAGGCTACGCCACGTACAGACTCGTCGTCACAGCGCTCGCAGTACCTCACCAAACAAGAACGCTCGCAGCGTCTCTCCTAGAGGCGGCGGCGTTACACCCTTCTGCGCCGAGACTCCCTCATCATCTACCGGCGAGTCTATCACATGCTCCAAGTTTGACCTCACTAATTGCATGTAGGCTCCCAGGTCGCGCATCCCGTCAAACCCAAAGACTTTCGCGTTCCTCTTACTTGCTTCTTCTGGTACCATACAGGAGACTGCAAAAAGTCTGACAACAAGTGCCTGTAAGTCAAACACCGACATCGACGTAGACATGGCTGTAGAGAGATTTCACCAGCACCAAACCCTGCAGAACGGGCTGTCAATAGGCAACGCTCTTTCGAGACTAACGGAGCTGTCCGTTGAGATGATCTCCTTTGCACTCTCTCACTGATCACGACCTCAATCTTACATGCAACCATGCCTTTTATAGGTGTAGAACAACACTCGCCTTGTGGTGGGAGCCTGACACAGTCACTACCGCTCTGCAGCCATGTCTACATCAAACTACATCGCGCATAATAACTGGCTGACATCACATAGCTACGCACACTATCACACCGGCACCGTCGCAGAGCCACCCATCTCCTACAACGGCAGAGCTATGGGCGGAAACAGAGCCAAGAAGATGATTGGCAACATCAGCCAGCGCGAGGAAGAACTGAGCACCCGCGGCGCAGAACTCTACGATGCCGAGCAACGCCTTGCTGCCGCACAAGCCGACCATGTAGAGCAGGTCAACACAGTTACTGCACGTCAAAAGATATTCAGCAGCGCGAACAGACTGTTCAGCAGCGTGAGCAGGCGGTCCAGGAACGTGAACAAGCTGTTCAGAAACGCGAGCAAGCAGTTCAACAGCGCGAGCAAGGCCAGCAGCATGCACAGGCTCTCGTAGATCACGAGAGAGCTGTCTTCACCCGTCAACACAACAACTACGAACGCGAGCAAGCTTTTGCTGCTNTTCGAAGAGGGAATGCTTCGCCAGCTCGAAGGAAACTACACCAGCATTGCCTCAACTGTCAATCAGATGCGTAGAGCTGTGGGCAACGCACAAGGCGTCCTCACCAATCGCCGCCAGCAAGTGCTTTACCATGAAAATTTTCCCAATCTTGCGCAAGGCACTCACGGACAAGGTAAGTGAAACCATTCAACCACGTCAGGCGAGCCAGTAGCTGACGTATGAACAGGCAGATACGGTGGTTCTATTGCCATCGATGGTGCGATTGGTGCACTTGAAGGTCTGGATCAGATGCTTGCACAGAGCGAAGTCACGCTCCTCAGTCAAATCCACAACGCTATTCGCCGCCAGTAGCTTACGACCTCAGCTATGGTAACTGAGTTCGGCAAGAAATACTGGATTCAAGGATAACCGACCCGGTCTTGTCCATTGATTGTTGGCAAGGAGGATGTTGGAGAAGGGCAAAGGAGATGGCCCGATAAGACACCAAGCAGCAGTGTTGTAATAGAGGTGGGATTGAACCATCGTAGGACTACCTTCGAACGAGTTAATGAGTAACAGCCTCTTTGCATATGCTCCTTGTCACGCTACATCTAAGCACTCCAATGTGACAGTGGTGACAAGAAGCCACCAAGAAGGGAATTGCTTATGATACATGAACTATAATACAGCTGAGAAAAGATTGGTTTTCTAGAATCCACCACTCATCTCAGAGAGCGCAAGCTTCATCCTCTGCGGATTCATCTTTTCGAATCTGTCAACAGTCATGACAAACGTACCTCTTCCTTGAGTCAGACTGCGCAAATGCTTCAGATATCCCACCATCTCCTTGAGAGGAACTCTTGCCACGATTTGACGCATCTGGTTGCCTACACTGACAGATCCCGCGCCGATACTTGACGCCGAACCGCCAAACGGATCGGGTGGTGAGTATATCCTTGTCGGATCGATTTCGACGTCATCCTCTAAAGCACCGGTTTCGTCGTCGGCGCCGAGGGAAACGACTTGTCCTCCTCGGGCAGAGCTGATGTCGTGAACAACGCTTCCGAGACTGGGTTCGTCTACGGTGATTGTGACATTCATGACGGGCTCCATCAGAGCAGTACCGGATCCAGCATCTGCTGCCTCGCGCAAAGCTTTTTGCACTGCAAGACGAGCCGCTGAAGCGATGGCAGCAGCAGTGGTGGTTTGGAAGAGATGTTCGGAAGGGTCAAAGGTAATGGTGATTTTGGTGGAGTGGAGAGGGTAGCCGTGTGAGGGACCTCGCGCAAGGGCTGCTGTAACACCAGTCTGCATGGCTGATTGAAGCATTTGCATCGGCAAGGTTGAGGGCANGGGTGGTAGCTCAGAGTCAGTCGCCGAGCCATCTGGGTACAGATTAGGGGTCTTCAAAATCAGATAGTTGTTGTCCAACAGGCCGAACACATGCGTATGGTCGTCCGCTGCATTTAGCTCCGACTCTTCGAAAGGGGTTACGCTCGCAGTACATCCAGCTTTAGATGCCTTTCCAGCCACTTCTCTGTCAAAGATTGCAGTCGCATCCGAAGAAGGAGCAGAGAGGATCTCGCGGTATCCAATCTGGATGTTGCCGATTCTGGCCTTGGCCTTGAGGTCGTTGATGAGCCTGTCGCGAGCAATCTCCAGATGAAGTTCACCCATGCCAGCCAAGTGGGTCTGTCCACTCTCGGGATCCTCTCTCACATTCAAACTGGGGTCTTCGCGGAGTAACAGTGCCAACGTCTCAGAGATGTTTTTCTCCTCGGCTAAGCTGTTCGGCTCTACACTTGTGAAGAAGACGGGTGGAGGAACAGTAATCGGCCTCAGTTGGAGAGTGTTGATCGGTGAAGGCGGGCCAACCTTCGGGTTCACTCCGCTGTACAGGATGAGTGTATCGCCTGTACGTGTAGACTTCAAACCAGGAATGACTCCAATCTGACCTGCTTCGATTGAGGATATCTCGACAGCCTCATCGGCATACATTCTCAACAAGCGAGGTGCTTTTTCAGTGATGCCAAGATTCGTGTTGAAAAGAGGAGCATTCTTTGTGATGGACCCCGAGTATACTCTAACATAGACCAGAACACCTCGACGAGGATCGGTGACGACCTTGAAGGCCAGAGCACAAGCTTCAAGACTCTTGATGATAGACATATTCTTGCTCGCAGCCAGCGCTTTGGTCTTTTGTTGCTTCTTGGCCTCGATCATTGCTGGCAAAGCGTTCTTGCCTGAAAGAAGGTCGTTGAGCCCGAACTTGGAAGGACCAACACTAGCTTCGGGATCAGGTCGCTCCTGCGGTGAAGGAAGAAGGTCTACAACCGCATCCAGTAGCGGCTGAACACCAACGTTACGGAAGCTCGCACCCGAGAACACGGGCACAAGTTTCTGCGGCTGCTGCAGAGTACATCTTCTGAGACTTTCTGTGATGTCGACAGATGGGATAGCCAGATGGTCTTCATCATACTCGAGGAACTTTTCGACCATCTCATCGTCGTGTTCGCTGAGAAGTTCAACCAAAGCCGTTCTTGCTTTCTTGATCTCTTCTGCAAAAGCAGAGTTGTCGGCCTCCAGGTCTTTGAGAGAGTGCACTTTCAAAGTCTTGCCATCACCTCCTTCTTCATACAGCAAAGCACGAAGACCTACTGCATCGCCAACGCCCTGGAGTTTGAGGTCACCGGGCCGCCACCAAGGAATTTGACATAGTGCCGGCCAGACACGCAGACGAGTGCCTATCTCGGAGATGGTCCTCGCGAAAGCAGCACCCTCACGATCAAGCTTATTCACAAACAAGATCTTGGGAATCTGGTACTGGGTAGCCTGGGTCCAAACTTTTTCGGTCTGCGCTTCAACACCAGCGACTCCGTCCAGGATGCAAACAGCACCATCCAAGATACGCAGAGATCGAAGGACCTCGAACGTAAAATCGGCGTGACCAGGGGTGTCTATCAGATTTATGTTGTGGCTTTGAGTGGAGCGTGGCAAGACAACCTTGTTGGACGAGAGATCGGTAGCTGACGAAGCAGCTGGTGGCCAGGAAAAGGTGACTGCTGCTGACTGAATCGTGATGCCTCTGGCACGCTCGGCAGGTAAAAAATCTGTCACAGTAGAGCCTTCGTCGACGTCNNTGAGAAAGACTCAGCACATGTATTGCACTAAAGCGAAAGCAAAGACCAGGAATTGATATAGGTACTAACCTCCTAGTCTACGAGTGAAACCACTGTAGTAGAGCATGCGCTCTGTGGTTGTGGTTTTGCCCTTTTCCATACTCAGTACCTACATTTTGGGAGAGTATACATTGCGACGTACCGCATCGATATGGGCTATAATGCCAATGTTACGAGTTTTTGATGTGGCTAGATCATTGCGACGGGGTGTGGAAGAGGCAAAAGATCTGGCAGTTATGGATGCAAGAGACTTAGCATTGTGATGCACGCGGCGACAAGGCCATTGTAATCTGAGCAGCATCCCAGAACACAGGCCAAATAACAAGCAGATCAATGACCTGATATAAAAACAAAAGATGACTTTTGGCGGCGTGATAAAAACTGCGAGGCAAGAACGCGTTGGCATGCAAGACGGACATGTTCACGGCCCTCGGCTCTTGGCAGGTGCCGGTCCGGGGCAGCGATGTCATGGTCTCGAGCAGCTGCACCCATCGACCATGACCAGCGACCACGGAGACCTTCACCAACCACCATGGATTATTCTTCGGCCATAGCCAACGACGCGGGCCGTGACCCATGGGCCTCGTCGCCCCAGCACGATCGGACCATGTTCCACCAGGCCAACAACAACCACGACGTGCCGCCTAGCAACTCGCTGTCGCACCAGCCTCCGGCTCCTGATGCCGACGACGAACACCATGACGAGGACTCCCAATTGCCTGCTCANACACAATCAGTATTCCTCGCAACAGCCTCAACCGCAGTCCTACGACAACAACTCGACCCGATCAGAGCCTCAGCGCTACCACCACGCTCGTCCGCAACACCCCCTCAGCAGCTCAGCCATCAACAGCTACCGCCCCAAAACTACCAGCAACAGCAACAACAGCAGCAGCAACAGCCGCAGCAACCGCGAAAACAGTACAAGCTTCAGGCCAAGATTACTGCCTTGGAGCGCACCGGTCGCAAGGATCCCGTCTTGCGCTTCGACGTCTATGTATGCCGCTTCCTGAGAAGTGCTGTCTGGGATATAGCTGANCACCGTACGCAGACCAACTTGCCCAAGTTCCGTACCACCCAATTCCGCGATGTGCGACGCACCCATTCCGAGTTTGTCAAGTTTGCCGACCATCTCATCTCGTCAAACCCCGAGGCTTTCGTACCTGCCGTTCCTCCTCCGCTCACTGCTGCTGGTGTTGGTACCGAAGAGGATGAGGTGCGAGTCAAAACTTCGATGCAGCGCTGGTTGAACACAGTCTGCTCCAACCATGTTCTTATGCGTGACGAGGAGATGGTCTTCTTTGTCGAGAGCGATTTCGGCTACAGCCCTGTTGTCAGGCGCAAGCAACCTGCTACGGGTGTTCGTCGCAAGTACATCAAGCAGTTTGCTCCTCCCCCTGATGATACTCCTGAGCTTCTTGAGGCCCGTCCCATCGTCAAGTCCTTCTATCTTGGAACCATGGATCTTGGCCAGAAGGTTGACAAGGTTGTAAAGTCGCGCAGAGGTAGGCAACACGATCCTTCTGACATTCTAATTGTATACTAATCTTCACANGCTCTCGGTCTGGCAGAATCCGATTTCGGTGTCAAGATGGGCCACATGCAGGTCCAGGAAACACATGCAGGCCTGGCCAATGCCTACAAGAAGCTAGGCAAGGTCATACAGGCCGTTGGAGACTTCCACGCTGCTCAAGGTACTGCCGAAGCCACCACTCTTGCCGACCCCTTGCAGTACCACTCCAGCGATGCTTTCATTGTCAAGGAAACCCTTACCAACCGTCACATTCTCTTGCGCGAGCTTATCCAAGCGCAACAATCTACTCGCAGCAAGACAAGCGCTGTTGACCGACTGAAGTCTTCCACTTCGGTCAAGCGCGACAAGGTCGACGAAGCTCTCGCCGCCCTCGAGGAAGCCCGGGCTCAAGAGTCTCACCTCAAGGAAAAGACAGATCGCGTGACCGAGAATCTCGTCCACGAACGTCGCGCCTGGGCCGCTCGCACAACCTCTGATCTCCGCGCTGCTATTCGCGAATACGTCATGCGCGAGATTGAGGCAGAACGCCGTACCTTGGCCACGCTCGAGCAGGTCCGCCCAGACGTCCGCAACATTGACGCTTCAGGCGGTCTCTCACGTCTCGGTCGTGAAGCCCACCCCGTGGTCCGCCGCACTAGTCTTGCCAGCAGCCAGGGGCCCAAGGGCGACGCTTGGAGCGGTGTCCCACGCAGACCCGATGGCCTGAACCGCAGCATCAGCGGCAGCTTCGCCGGCACAGGCACTGTTCCCGAAGACGCAGAGGCCGAGCAAGCCGAAGAGGCCACGACGGGCAGGAAGCGAGCCACTAGTAGTGCGAGCAGTCTGGGCCGTTTGGAGGAAGACGACGAAGATAGAATCGACGCAAGGAATGCTGCCAGTCGACTTGCACAGACGACGTTCTAAGAGGTCTGGTTCGCAGTGGACAACGCACGGCATTGTTTGGTGTAACTTGCCGTGTTTCGTCTCTACTTCCTTCTCCATCCTCCCCCTTTGTAGATGTAGTAAATGTTCAATTTTCCTCTCATGTCTTTTTCGTTGTCATGTCAGAAGATTGATCTTTCAGAGCACGCCATAACCACAGTCTTCAATCAAATATACCGTCACATGGTAGAAATGAGAAAGCTAAACAGAATGAAACCCGGTCGCTGGGGTGATGATGTTTTGGTATTATTTCTCCAAGCTCCCAAACGCATGTTGAAGTATTTGTAAGGTCATGAAAAGTCGTCTAGATACATAAAAGGGGTTGAAAAAAGATATCGTTGCCTGTCTTCCTCACACTTGGCTTTACCAAGCCGTGATGTCGCCAACCTCGGCCTCTCCAAAGGTCGAAGTCTTTACTGCTTGATCACCTTCAACACCGTCATTGCTGACAAAGTTTACAGGTTCTCTGGCCATGACGTCTGGCAACACTTCGTGCAAGAAGTCCAGCACGAAGCGATTGACCTGTTCGAATTCGAGCAGGAAAGCATCGTGGCCTTCGGGACTGTCGATATTCTTGAGCACAGAGTTTGGGATGGCGGCGGCGAGTTCCTTTTGCTCTGCGTAGGTGAAGAGGCCATCGGATTGGATACCGAGGACCAGGGTTGGCTGCTCGATCAAGGCCAGGGCGTCGGCGACGGGAGTAGTAGTTTGAGAGTCTGGGGGTAGGCGGCCGCGGGAGACGTCGTGAGTGTCTAGTTTGCGGGTGATGGCAATGTAGCAGTTTGCGTCGAAGCGCTTGATGAACTTTTCGCCTTGGTAGCGGAGATAGGATTGGGCGGAGAAGTAGGTCGGTGTGCGTTTGAGTCTGAGGCNTGGGGGTGCGGCGTTGGTGGGTAGGGGTGTGGTGCCGTGGAATTGGGGGTCCATGATTGTTTGGGGAGGGGTGTTGGCTGGAGGTAGGGACTCGGTTGAGGTAGATAGGTCGGCGGAGCTGTTGACGCGACTGTAGCGAGGAGAGCCGGCGTGCTTGTGGCCTTCGTTGTGGATGGCAAAGTGGTCGCCTGAGGNGGTTGAGGGTCTGAAGGAGCCGTTGATGTTCTGTCTGCGCGACGGGTCGGGCGTGTTGCGGCCGAACCTGGATTCGAACGAGTCGCGACTGCGGTAGGTCAAGAGTGCCGCCATGCGGGCGGCTGAGAGACCGGTTGACGGAGGGTCCTCGAAGGTGTAGTAGCCATCGTCGTACTTGGGATCGCTGTAGATGCTCTGTCTTTGGGCCTCACCCCAGCTGATACCCCAGGCACTGTACTGGGCCGACGTAGCAATGGGCACGATGCAGCGCACATAGTCCTTGCCAAAGTAGGCGAACTCGAGCACGAGCATGCCACCCATGGAGCCACCAACCACAGCAGCAATCTGCTTGACACCCAGATCGTCCAGAACGAGCTTGAAGATGTTGACATCGTCTCTGACGGTGGTCAAGGGGAACTCGGGACCGTAGTGCTCGTTTTGTGAGTTGCCGTCCTTACTCGTGACCGGACTCGCACTGCCGTAGGGGCTGCCCAGACTGTTCAGACAGACGACGAAGAAGCGCGACATGTCGAAAGCCTTGCCAGGCCCTCCAAGCAGAGGACCCCACCAGTCGCCAACATCGGCACTACCAGTCAAGGCATGGCAGATGACCATGGCATTGTCGCAGGCGGGCGACAGAGTGCCATACGTCTTGTATGCTATCGGCACATTGTAAAGAACACCACCACTCTCGAGGCTGAATTCCGGGATGACGGCTATCTTTTGTTCGGGGATGAGTTTGGAGTACGGATTCTCGGGTTGCGATGTCACTCGTTCTGTGCTTGTGTTAGTCAATGCAGCTGCCGTTGTCGCCTCAGAGCATACCGTATGTCATCGTGGTCGGGGGATAAGGATGGATTGATAGTTGGAGAAACAGAAGCTCTGGTTAGTTGGCCATTGTTGTTTCAACTCACCTATGAGTCTAATCACCGGGCCCTTTTTTCTGCCCGCAATCGCCAATCGCTCGTCATTGGGCAAACACCGATCACGGATTCGAAGGACCCCCACTTTCTGCCCCACATTTGCGAGGATGATTTGACTGATGGGACCACCCTGCTCTTTAATAGATGCTACGACAAATATGCTTGAAGGATACCGTCAACAAACTGTGTTGTCTTATAGACAATCAGAGAGTACTGAGCCTCATCGAAGGTCCACTATGTGCGTTCTAGGGCCGTCGATTAACGACATAGGCAGGATATACGATGGATTGTGCTTTTGAGTGAACATTTGCTTGATAACCGTGCACTGAACAACCATGAATTGATATAAACACACGACAACACTAACATTGTCGCAGGCACAAGATCGAATATGAGCCTGGACGACTACATAGCTCAGTTAGTCTTTGTTGACTTGAATCTACATGCACATATATCGTCGTGATTCAATTCAGTTGGAGGTTGGTGATCTAGAAAAGCAGAGGCTCACTTGGAAAGTGCTACGTCATCGATATAATTCAATTCAGGTCAACTCCAAACACAATCCACCTTTGCTTTTACATTAACATACATGCTCTTCAAATCAATAATCGCGAACACTTATAACCCCTTTACTCGACAACTGGTCAAAGTACCCCTTAGACACAGACTCAGCACCCGAATCATGAGCACATTCACACTGCCAGGCTCGTCACCCGAGTGTTCGGTCCACCTTACCAAAGACCTTACAAAAGACCAACTACTATCCTTCCCGGCCTTCAAGAACTGGTCCGGGACACTTCAACACTCGCTCAAGCAACAAGAATCCAAGAATCACACATTCCACGAAGCACCCTACAAGCTCAGACGCATCGACATTCAAAGCGTGGACTTCTTCGGCGGCGAACGCATTGGTTTCATCAAGTTCAAGGCAGAGGTGTCAAACGACAATGGAGAAAAGTTTCCTGGCTCTGTGTTCCTGAGAGGAGGCAGTGTAGCAATGCTGGTAAGTTGCACAGCATGAGGTACGAGGGCACAGCATTTGTTGACAGATTCACAGCTTATTCTGCAACCGGATGATGTCGAGGAAGGTTCTGAGAAGGACAAACATGTTATATTGACCGTGCAACCTCGTATACCAGCCGGATCACTCTGCTTCTCCGAGCTTCCAGCAGGTATGCTAGACGACGCAGGTACTTTCTCAGGTGGTGCTGCCAAAGAGATTGAGGAGGAGACTGGCCTCAAGATCAAGGAGGACGAACTTATCGACTTGACAAAGCTTACGTTCGGTTCTGAGGAGGAAACTCAGGACGGAGAGAAGTTGCAAAAGGCAATGTATCCCAGTGCAGGAGGGTGCGATGAGTTCGTTCCCGTCTTCTTACACCAGCAGCGCATTCCGCGTAAACAGCTCAAAGATTGGCAGGGCAAGCTGACTGGACTTCGTGATCATGGCGAGAAGATCACATTGAAGGTGGTGAGATTGGAAGAACTGTTCCGTGANGGGGGCAGGGACAGCAAAGCATTGGCTGCGTGGTCAATGTACGAAGGGTTGAGACGTGAGGGCAAGTTGTGATGAGGAGAGCAAGCTAGATTACCATATTGCGGTGATCATGATGGTTGGTACCTGCCTTGTGCCAACTAACCTTAGAACACAGGCAACGAAGCCTAGATATACTCATGCTTCAGGCTTCAGAAGAAAACAGACGATTCAACTCAAACACTCGATGATTCTCCATGACTGCAGTGAAAGTGGTAGCCTTGCGACGACGAAAACGACAATAATGTGGTGTTGTCGAGGGCGATCGGATTAGGCAGATAATGACAGTGGACTTATCAGGTGCAGATGTTAATTCCGTGGTGCCCCGCTCACAAGGCACAACCCTGATGATCCACCGCTTTGTCTTGCATCTTCTGGTTCACTCTTCCACCTCAACTCCTTCCACTACTGCTGAACAACAACAAGCACAAACATGTACAAATACATCCATACCGCTCTCGATTCAATACGCGACTACGCCAAACCCTCGACCACTTCCAACTTCCGCGAGACTGGCAAGCTCACACCTGAGGAGTTTGTCCAGGCTGGAGACTTCCTCACAACCAAGTTCACCTCGTGGTCGTGGTCTGGAGCTGCCACTCCCGCTCAGCGTGTCTCTCACTTGCCCGAAGACAAGCAATACCTTGTCACTCGCGGTGTTGCCTGTAAGAGACGTCTCAACGACAACTTCGCTGGCAGGGAGGGTCTTGACGACTTGGTCAAGGAGGGCGAAGCTTTCAACCCCACTGGAGATGACGACGATGGTTGGCTGAGGACCGGCGGTGACATCCATAAGCCTGAGTCCCGTCCTGGTGACATCCGCACCGTCGACGATGATGGTCACGTCGAGCAAGACAGCGGCGACTATGAAGAGGATGTCCCTGACATCGAAGACGAGGAGGACGATCCCGATGCCATCATCCGCGACCCCAGGGCTCAACATGACCCCAAGGAGTGAGTCACCGCCTTGCATGAAGCTTGCTCAAGCCTGGCTAACCTCTTGATCCAGNNCACCCTCCGCAACTACACCATCTACATTACCTACTCAACATACTACATGACTCCACGACTCTATCTCTCAGGCTACTCGTCCTCAAACGAACCTCTCCCACCCATGGCTATGATGGAAGACATTGTCGGCGACTACAAGGACAAGACTGTCACACTGGAGGACTTTAACTTTGTCTCTCCACCCATCAAGACCGCTTCCATCCATCCATGCCGCCACGCCAGTGTCATANNGAAGATCTTGCTTGACCGTGCCGATGCCGCCCTGAAGTTGCGTATCCAAAAGATGAAGAACGGTCAAGAAGTTTCCAACCAAGGCATGGAGGGCTTGGTTGATCAGACCAGCGGACTGAAGTTGGACGACGACAAGAAGATTGATGACAAGAGAACCGATGAGAAGAAGAATGACGAGTGGGAAGTCTTGACTGATGACGGCAAGGATGACGAGATTGCAATTCGCGTCGATCAATATCTTGTCGTCTTCCTCAAGTTCATGGCCAGTGTCACTCCCGGCATCGACCACGACAACACCATGGCCATGTAGACGAGAAGATCAGTTTGTGGTCCTTTGACTGACGCTCACTCATACATTAGGCGTTTTTCTTTTCTAGTTTTCTGATCAGGAGATATCTCAGATGCACTGAGACAGGGAGTTAGGGGTTCACGAGATTACGGCATTTCCATTCACCAACACAACCCCGTATAGTATAGTTTCACAAGGCAGAGAGCAAATTCCAGATACCCAGCTTAATAATGATACTCTCTTGACATTCCATCAATATATCTACCGTATAACATGATCATCTTCAACTCCGGCTGTCAAAGTCATTACATCAACCACAAACCCATGAACCAAAAAACCCAACGATCATTCCATCTAAAACTGCCACCGTCTATTCCTCACCGGCCTTAACACCTCTACAATCTCACTTCCTTCCTCCTCTGCCCTTGCTCTCTTCTGTCCAAGAAACCTGCCAAACATATCCTTGCTCCCGATAACGCCATGCAAGCTTCTTTGACGCACAGCCATGGTGCGCTCGTCAAGCATACCCTGAAACCCCTGTTCTTTGGCACCATCACCAGCCTCTTCTGGCAAATGGGAGTGATAGGATGGTGTAGGGTGTTGACCGATTTCGGTGTGTATGTCTTTNNCTAGATTTGAGTTGGTGTTAGTATGTGAAGATGAGGAAATGGGAAGGAAGTAAGAGGGAAAAGAAGATACCTCAGAGAGACCTCGTTGCCATGATTCCTCTACTTCGGCAAAGGTTGTGGGTGCGGCAGAGGTAGAGATGGCGAAGAGGGATACGAGTAGTGTGAGAAAGATGAGGAGGTGGGATAGGTATGTCATGTCTCTTTCCTTGTTGATCGAATGAAGACAGATGACGGCCAAGAAGCTTGTTTGAAGCAAAAAAGTTGTGCAAGTCTCGAGGCTTAGAGAAAGATCAATGGATCAGAGGCTAGACTCAACAAGATTGTTGGCAAACGAAAGTGATAACCACACCTTGACACTGATCTCCCCAACCAAAAGAAAGAAGAGGAAAGAAGGGAACAAAAACGTCTACCTAGTGCCATACAGACTCACTATCCCTTCTCTTTCCAGCATGGCAGTCTCACACATGTACATGCCTGTCTAGCCTTTCTCACTCTCAATCTGGAAACCATTGCATGAAAAATTGAATCTCGACTTACCAAAGACACGGCTCGTAAGCCTCGAGTCAAGCAAAAGGTCGCCGGCCGGGCTTCTCGGTTGTCAAGCAACAGGTGGCGTTACTCTGCTCAAGAATGTAAAACTAGGAAAAGCAAAAAGCGTTTGGCCGCGTGCAAAAGCAGATAAGAGGGATTGCGAACAAGCTTCAGCGAAAGCCTGGTAAGCAAGGGATGAAGTGGTAGGCCGTGAGACCCGAGACAGATTTCTTGCATTCCTCTGTGAGAAAAAAAGACCTAGAATAAGCCTTTTTCTTATCCGTTCATTCGCATTGCGGCCTGCGATATGTAGCTCTTTGGCGTGCGTGAAGCGTGTTTGGAAGGATAAGGGGTATCAGTATATAAAGTCGAAAAGCGAATAAGCCAAACAAAAAAGAACGCCATTCTCCAGCCATGTCTTTTTCTTCCTTTCTATGCAAAGTCATCTAGAAAATACCTCTGTGATAAAAATGATCAAGACTCATGAGTCAGAACATGGAGCCAGCCATATTTCTGAACAGGGAGTCATCCTAACGTCTCCATCCACCCATCGAGCCAAGGGGTGCGCCGAAATTTGAACTCGGCTTTGTACGGAGACGAATGCCTCCATTGTCTAGAATGTCCTTGTCCTTGCTTTCTGAACTGGTCGATTCAGTCCTGTCCTTGGCCTCTTTGCTAGCCGAATCGACTTTCTCGTCGGAATCAGGCAAGGCCTCGGAAGGCTCCTCGAGGACCAGATTGGTGCTTTGACATACCAGAGGCTGATTTTCTTCGGGATGCTCAGAGATATCTTTTAGTTTTGCGTCCAGCATGTCCATGGTGAAGTTTTCGGCACCTGGATTGCAGGGTAGTGAAGGCATGTGCAAGGGACCCTTCAAGGGGCGATCTTCGTCGGCACCGTCGTCTTGCGACATGACCTCGTTCATAAGAGTGTTTTTACGCGTTGGAGTATCGCTCAGTCTGTCTGAGCGTACACTCACGGCAGGGCTGAAGTCACCGGGACGAGGAGCCTTGAGAGGAGTATGGCCGGCATTCCTCAAGTTGGCTGGTGGTGGAGGGCTGAGAATATTGCGAGTGACTGGCGGAGAGGCAGGTAGATCGCCTTGTAAGACTTCCTCCAAGGAAGCATCATCGTCAAAGACAGAAGCGTCTTGGAGGGTGGGTATATCAATGTGAACTGGGGCAGCATCCCTCTTTATACGAGGTTGTTCCGGAGACAGGCGAGAAGTGTCGACTTCGGCTATGCTGGGCAGTTGAGAAGGAGCAGGCTTGACGCCGTTCTGGGGAGACATGGCAGGACTGCGTGCCGGACNTGCAGAAAGACACGGAGTCAGCTATGTGGTTATGAATGTTGTGTTGATCAGCGATTACCTCTGGCCATTGGGAGACTTGAGTAATGATTCAAGAGCGGTAACACGACGGTGCATTCTGTCTCGTTCCATCTGCCAACTTTCTCGCTCGGCGACAAAGGCCTGGTGTTGTAGGCGTAGGGCTTCGTTCAGCTTGTCGAGCTGGGCTTGCATGTCGTTCTCGGTGGGAGAAGTGCCCAGGAAGTAGGGCGACGAGACTTGCGACAAGGACTGCATGGCCATTGGATTGAATGAGGGAGCCCAGAGTGCATCGTTGGATGTCATCTGGAAAGCCATAGGCGGCGACCTGGGCGGCACTTGCTTGGTCGCTGGTGTACCGAGAAGTACAGAGTCCATTTTTCTGGTACCTGAGAGAATCTTTTGGCGTGGTACCCGGCGTTGTGGTCGAGGCTTGTATTCAGACGTCGAGTTGGGGAAAGGAGTCGGCTATGGATTGCGGAGAGCGGAGAGGAAGGGAGATTGATTGAATTACGGACGTCAGACGTCGACGTGGACATTCGCGCGCGGTGATCGTTTCCTTTTGTCGAAAGATGGGCGAATCTCTTTTGGTTTCAGAGCCCAGGCCGAGAGCCTCAAGGTTGCCGACTGACAACCAACGACATGACGACGGACGCCCGATCCCCGCCATTTCCCGCCCGGTTTGGCTCAAACTCAGCCATCACAGTGCATCCGTCCCTGCAGATCCTCACTAGCCAAGACTCTTCTACATCTTCTGCGTTTTGGCCTGTGGCTGATATCTACACGTCTGCACCTCTTGTTTGACCGCCTAACCTTATCCAACCTTGACATAGTTTGCAGGAAAGCTGCCCACCACTCCATTCAGTTCTCCCTCCCACCAATCATCTGTCGACGCCGTCTTCTTCACCACCTTGATCCTGTCACCTTCACGGAACGCGAGATCTCCCGACCCTTGACCAGCAAATTCATACAGAGCCGTGACAAATTCACTCTGGAATGATGGAAGTCTCTTCTTGGGTGGAGGCGGCGGAGGCTTCTTTTGCCCGTNGACACTGAATGTTCCAGACGAAGTAGAAGGCTTGCGCTCTCGCCCAAAGTAGTCTGACCCCTGATTCTGATGCGACGAAGAAGGCGTCAAGAATGGTGTTGACGATGAACTAGGTGTACTTGAAGCCGAATACATTGGTCGGGCTGCTCCGCCATTGGCGTAACCATCCGGCGTAGCCATTGGAGAAGGCTTGGAACTGGAAGGGATTCGTGGTTTGCTTCCCAAGTCGATACTAGAAGCTGCTCCAGGTCGAGGTGGCTTTACCGGGGGCGCCTCTTCGTCCTCGTAGTGAGAGTTGAGCGTAGCCGTATCCTCATAGTGCGAGTGCAGTCTGTTACTAGAAGATATGCGACCAGGTCTAGGAGGCTTTACAGGTGCTGGTTCGTCATCGACGTCGCCTGATCCAATACGCAATTGTCCTGGCATACTAGGTTTTGGCAGTGATCCTTGGCTGCTTGTTCTTCTAGTAACCCTATTGCGCAGACCAAGCCCAGTGACAGTGCCTTGCTGTCTGTCCGGGAGACTCATGGGTTGATGCACAGCTTTGCCCGTCGAGAGAGTCTTGATGTTACGCTCAAGGTCTTCACGGAATGGTGTGAATTCGTTTTCGAACGTCGAAACAACCTGCTCTAGAGCTGGAGAGGGCGAGGGCAGTCCATGTGTTTGACAATACTCGTGTAGTTGAGTGTACATTTGACCCACAAGCTGGTATTGAATCATAATTTGGATGGCGAGCAGGTGTGGGAAAAGGTTTGCTAGAGCGTCCAACAAAGNGGGCAAGACTCTTCTGAGCTGCTCATCAGCAGCTTGATAGTNCCTAGAAACCTCATGAGCCATGATCTGAATATACGTTGTCGTATCATTACTTACAGCATTAGAACGGGCGAGATCGGTCTCGTGTTTCATCAAAGCATTCTCCTCTCTGGCAGATCTTGTGTCTTTGCGTCGAGCGCTGTCCACACGCGAGTTGTAACGTTCATAGTCAAGNNCTGTTTGACGAAGTCAGACAAGTGGCAATGCGACAACACAACAAGAACAACTAGCCTTCAGATCTTCTCTTCGTTTGATTGATTNTTTGAGCATCTTGAAAGAGTCTTTGGCATCCATTGCCGGTCTCAAGAGTCTGGGTTCAATGGAATTGATTTCGGTGCTCAGGTCCTTTCCAAGGGTTGAGTAGATGTTTTGCAAATCGCTGGCCTTCTCCAGATATCTTCGGGGGGTTGGAGCCGGCTTGTGCTGTGTAGGATTGTCCGGATCATCCTCGACTTCGATGGGCTTGTACAGCAAGTGCAATGTTTCCGCGACGAAGAGTTGTGTTTTCAGTGTTTCGTCCCAAGCATCGCGCCATGATCTTGTTGCATCGATGANACTAGAAATCCCGGTCAGTACCTACACAAACACTCTGAAGCACAGTATTCTTCTTACACTGCCAAGGGCTAAGTCCGCAGTGTTGAATTCACTAATGATGTTTCCGACGTCTGAGCTGTCGGCAGACCGCTTCATCAATTTACCGAATTTGCGCTGTACATTCTGCATCGTGACGGACGTCGATTACTAAAAGAAAACCAAACCGAAGAAAACAAGAAGAAAAAGAAGAAGAAGAAGAACAAGTGAGAGAGCAATCGAGAGGAAGGATTTCCGAGAATGGTCGGTGTTGAGACAACGTGTATTGCGAGCGGGGCCAAGACTTCGGCCTGCCAGAACCTGGCAGCGGGTGGAAGGCATTGTTCACTAGTCATACCTTGCATAATTGCCATAATATACAGTCTAGATTACGCGGCGCCGAGTTGGTCTTCAGGACCGATATATGCATCTACAGTCCGCCTCGCGGATGAAGTTATGAAACCACCATGCGCAATGTTCAGTGTCTGTCACGGGCAGGACACGAGGTGACGCGTAAGTGACGCGCCAAGACCAGGTACTTTCCCTCGAAGGCCATTGCAGCTTCCGTAATTGTCTACTGCTCTTTACATTTGCTTGTTGCATCGTCGCCTCTGGAGCCTCGACCGCTCACGATTCTTCCACGCAATGACGGGTTCGACGATCGCATATCCAAACCATCACCGAGGATCATGACGGCGGCAGTCCTACGCAGTTCGCCAAACCTCACGGTTCCTCAAACCCAGAACACTGCTCCTGTCTATGAATTCAACTGCCTCTATACCCATGACCTAAGGCGAAAGCAAAAAAGATGGCAAGATGGCTTTTTACGCTACCACACTTTCAACAAGCGTGTCATGGTCTACGATGTTCCTAGAAATTTCCTCGGCGACCTTCACTGGACCAGCGGCGATGACCTTCAAGAGGGCGATGAGATGATCCTTGAGAAAGGCGGAATCATGGTCCAGGTTTCTGAGAGGATAGGCACTATACAGACCGACCTCTCGGACCTGCTGCAGCGAAAGGACAAGACTCCGGCTAAAAACCCTGCCTCGTTAAAAACATTGGTGGGTAATAGACCACCACATGCCGCGGCTGCTGCTCCATCTTTCACGCCTAGGACTCCCCATACTGCTTCGATAACACCTATGAAGCATAAATCGCTTAACACTCTGCTCGGAAGGTCACGACGCCCGATAGGAAAGGCGTCTCTTCCTACAGAGTCCCCCTATGAAGCACGAATCAGGGATCTGCAGGCTGCCGAAGCTCAAGATCAGAGAGAGCGTAAACGACAGAGGCTTGATCATTCAACCCAGACAACGCCCATGGCGGCAAAGCAACATAGTCACGCCCCTGCCCAGAAGCGAGCGAATCCTGTCCCTCACTTGAATCAAGGATGCGAAGTCATTGATCTTTCCTCTGATACTGAGGACATTTCGGCAGCGCAGGCGGCGAGCCGTGCTCTCGACGCCGAGTTGTTGGCGACATCTTCTCCTGCTCGTCTACTCGAAAGCCCCGCCCACCGCCAAGTACATCCTGACCACTTCCGCCCCATCGATAGACGACCGACAGCAGCAAAGTCAGCTGCTGTTGAATCTCCTTCTGCCAGAGTATCAGATCGGGCGACGCATGTCGATTCTCCCGCACCTAATTCTGCCCGGCCCAGGAAGGAGGTTAGTGTTCCACGAGAGGCAACAAATAAAGCCGCCGAAGTGCCTGTCGATGAGCCTTCAAGAAGTGGCTTCTTTGTGGCCGAGTCTGAACCCCAAGCGCGAGGAAAGTCTCTGAAGCTTATTGGCGGAGCCCCTCGAAAGATGCTACTCTTCCAGTCACAAAACTCACGCCCGTCAAGCTCCGAGGTGGGGACTGAAGGTGCTCTGCGTGGCAAGGCTCAAGGTCCGAGACAAGAGACTAGCATCGGTCCAGCCAAGGATCCGGTGAGAGCTGATGTTACACAACCGACAAGACAACCTGATCTCGAACAAGCTCCCGAAGACTCAGTCTTTCAACGACGTATTCAAGACAGAATTGCACGGATTGAGAAGAAAAAGAAGAAACCTGTCTTACAAAGAAGTTCTTCAGACGTGACTGAGCAACGTCCTGTCGTGGAGAAAGCTGCAAACAATACTGGCTTACGAAAGACCACTTCTGCTGTCGTGTCTCCACTGGACTCACCTGAGGACCCCTCACTGAACGATTTCCAATTTGCAGATATTACCCCTCTGGACTTCGACGATCCCATCATTGATGACTCTGTCGCCCAGCCGCCCATACGACCAAATAAAGAGCCTGTTGGGAAAACTCAAAGATCAGCAGGCAGAGGGGCCGGTATGACTACTGCAAGATCATTCAAGCCTCTGACTGTCAAAGCAGCCCCTGTGCTAGCCACAAAAGCTGCTAAACCCTTAGTAGTGGAACAGAAAAAGAATGAAGACATCGGACCATGGAGTAAAGAGGCATTTGACCTCATGGATTGGCGACCACCGAACATGCAGACCAAGATCAGCGGGACAGCATGAGTGCAAGTTGGGTAAGAGGATAGTATTATTACTACGAGTTCGATGTGGTATGGACGGAAGCGAGGAGGTATGGTGTGCTTTGCTTTTCTTTTCTTCCACAGCGATGGCGTTCTGGTGGGACTCATGGGATGTCTTAAAGCCGAATTTTCCTGGTATGAGCATTGACAGGCCTTTCGTATATATACCCCTGCAGATACGAGACCCAAACGAGACAGCGTTACGAACAGAATACTGCAAGAGCAGTGCAACTTTGAATTACTGAAAAGGTCTGGGATCGGAAGATTAAAGTATTGACATGAATAAGGTGCAAAAGCAGAACCGGTAACTACGTACTCAGACTCGTCTTCGCCGCCTCAGCTCCCACATTACGCTTTCGTCATCATCATCATCATCATCGACTTTGTGATTTACATCTACCCCGAGCTTGTCCTGTTGAGTATGCTGCTCGTGATTACTCTGCTCTTCCTCAGCAGCAGCAAAGTTGAGTTGACCACCAAGGAACTTTCCAAAGTAAATCACAGCATCCAAGACTTCCTTGCCTGTGGGAACAATGTGATCCTTAGGCAGCAGGAAGCCATAAGTACCGCGATCGCGGAGCTTGAGCTGGTAGGTGTACTTGACCTTCATGTCGTGGAAGAACCAGTCGAGGAAACTGCCACCGCCCGTCTCAAAGCGAGGAAACACTTGACGATCGCCAGAGGCGGCAACACCAATGTTGCCCTCACACGCAGGAGCAGACTGGTAGTAGCGTCCACCCGAGAGGCGCATGACTTTCGACAAACCGGCAGCAACCTCCTGCAGATTTTCCAAGTTGGGAGGGCTATCGTTGCAGGTGTACGAGTAAGGGTACAAGATCTGCTGTGAGTATGAGTGCAAGTCAAGCAGACCCACGAAATCAACGTTGTTGTGCTCAGTCTCGTTGCGTATCCAGCCAGCAAGGCTGTTGGCCTCGACAGCTTCAAGGGGCGCGGAGCCCGAGAAGGACTCACTACAGGGATTCGACTGCGTATTTGCCGCACCGTCCCACTGGTAGGAGAAGCTTCGGTCGAGGTCAAGGCCACGGCAGAAACGCAGAGAAGTCTGTTGACGATTCTTGCGCCATAAACGATCGGTTTCCCAGGTGTAGGCGTAACCGTCTGGATTCACAGTGGGCACAAGAACCCAGTCGAACTCTTCTAAAAGACTGGTGATGACGTGGTTCTTTCCGTAGCCTGTGATGAGCGAGTAGGCAATGTAATTAACGGTGCTGGTTGAGATCCACTCTCTAGCGTGCAGACCAGCGGTGATCAAGATAGTCTTGCGACGTGTGGGAGAATCATCATTAGTCGGGTGAACGCCGATACGCAGGGCAGGAATATTGCGGTCTTCAAAGGTTGTGCCGACGTTGATTACACGCACGTGGGTGGTGAACAGGGAGGCCATTAGGCGCATCCAGGGCTGGATGACAGACAGCGGTTGGTAGTCGTTGAAGAAGATGTTATCAGACGAGGATGCACCAAGCCTGGGACCAAAAGCATCATGGTGGGTGGGAGCATTGGACTGGAGCATACGCGTTGAGCGAGAGGAAGGATATGTATCTGAGATGGCATTTTGAAGAGTGAATTCGTCCATGAGCAAGTTATGTGCTTGGTGTAGCGGAGGAGGCAGCAGGCCGAGCAACGAAGGAATCAAGTCTTTCTGCATTCTGATGTCGACCCAATCGTCGGTGAACTCCCACAGGTCGAGGAAGAGAGTGTCGGCAGCATCGGCGAGACTTGAGGCATCCTGAGCATTGCTGATGTTGAACCGGACAACGACGTCGTCACTGTGCTTGTGGTGTGGTATAGGATTGACGGCGGGCTCAGGTCTGGAGTCTATCGGCGGGCTCCAGATGTTGCGAACTATGGCGTCGGTGACGGAGCGCCATATCGGGCGATGCGATGGTTGCTGAGATGGTGGGGGCGGTTGTGGATGCGAGGGCACTGCAGACGCCGTCGGAGCCAGCAGAGTCGAGACGGCGACGAGCAGCAACGACGAAGCGCGCATGTTTGTATATTAACTGCTGTGCAGGCAGTCACTTTCTCGTTCGAAGAAAGTCACGGCTTCAATGAGCGGAGCGACCGGAGGCTGTGGAGAGGCAGGAACTGGAGCAGCTTGGCAACATCCATCGCGCCTTCCCTGCTCACAGGAGTGGGACCTTTTGCAAGCCTTTTGCGTGGTGCTGACGAGGCAGTCACGCAGAGACCAGTTCAGCTCTTTCTAGTCCAATTACTGTACTACTGTCACCAATCTAAACTTTTGTCCCCAATCCCTGCATCTCTTCGAGTCCGCGTGTCGCAAGTCCGCTATTCCTTCCCAGAGAGAAACACGCTCGTTTACCCCCGGATCTCCAATTTCCTGCACCCTTCAATAACCCACCAGAGAGTACTCTTTGAACACCCACCAGAGAGTACCTCCTTCATAAGTCCGACACATGTACGCCTAGTACCCTCGTTGACGCGCCGCCAATACGCTGTCAAATGACAATCCATTCATTGCGACTTGCCGGCCATGCCTCTTATGTCGCGTCGCCGCAGTACTCTGGACAACCTCTTGAACGACATCCGTAGTAATACTCAGGAAGATGCTGCCGCCGCAACTTCTGGCTATGCCACCCCGGTACCCAACACCAGCCGTCCCATGAGTGCTCAAGAGCCCATCTCTCCCATGGATGTCCTCAGTCTTGGTCCNCCGTCTCCGCCCGTCCAGACTGCTACCCCAGCCACTGCTCGCTTTAGCATGATGCGATGGAGGCACTTCTCCGACGGGCAGCTCTCAGCCAAGGCAAAGCTGCAAGCTGATGCAGACAAGACCCCTCCTGTGCCTCAGGTCCCACTCCAACATCAGTCGCAAAGTATGTATACCAATCTCCGCCGTTCCGTCACCCCTGCTTATAGCTATCCTCCAGCTCCTGTGCCAAACCCTCAAATCATCACCACTGCCCCGACCATGGATGAACACAACCATCCTGTCCATCGCCCTAGAAAATCAAAGAGTCCGTTCAAGCGTCAGATCTCTAAGCTTAGCCCAGCGAAACGTCGAGAATCCACCGAAGACCACCGACCTTGGCGCAGAGGCCGCTCTGTAGACATCGACCGCCTCGTTCCCGATGCTGTCGCGCCTCCACCCTATGGCGATGAATCCAACTCAGCTTTGGCACTGCCTGTCACTCGTTTGTCCGACTCATCTGGAGAACAACGAAGTTCTGGAGAACATGTCACCTATGCTACGACCACCACCACTCATACTATCTCCACCACCACAACCCTATTCAGATTGCCACGCCGNCAACAAAAAGAACAAATCTCTATTCCCATTGCCTGACAAACCGGCGTCTCCACCCAANNCCCACCTCCGGAAACACAGACCCCGCATGGCACGCCTCGACCCTCGACCAGCGCTATTTCGACCAACTCTAACATCGAATCGCCAGAAAGACAGAGACGACCTCCTCCTCTAAGCGCTCTACAGCGGCGTCATACTGAAGCTTCACGCCCACGCTTGTTCCTGTCGTCTTCGCCAGCTCCTGCGCAACTTGCAAAGTCATCTATCGCCGCTCTTGCTACTCATGGGGGTGCTCCATTGTTCAGAAATGACTCCAGCAACTCTACCCATTCAATGGGCTCTTCACCAATACTCCATCCACCACGTCGATTCGGATTGCGGGATAGGTCTTCAACCGTGAGTTCATTCGGACGCCGATCAGAGGATAATACTCCTCCCACTCCGCCTATACCATCTAGCGCTCGTAACTCGACCTCGACCTCTGGACGGACCAGTTTGGGAGGCCTTCTTGGTTTCAACCGCTTTCGACACAACTCAGATCTTCGGGACCGTAACTCTTCACCTGGATTCCACTCAAAATCCAACTCGTTATCTCCTAGCGTTCACGAGCCTCTAGTGATACCCGATCGCGAAGATGGTGACACTCCAGGCAAATATTTGGAGCGATTGCAAGCTGCTGTGTCTCGAAGTCTCATTGCTGGTATACTGTCGAAGTCATCCGACCCCTTCGCTCAAGCTGTTTTGCGAAGTTACTGCCGAAAGTTTTCTTTCTTTGGAGAGCCTATTGATATGTCCTTGCGCAAGTTTCTACTGGAAGCGGAGTTGCCAAAAGAGACGCAGCAAGTGGACAGAGTTATACAAGCTCTTGCCGATCGGTACCACGAGTGCAATCCTGGCATCTTCCAGTCGCCTGACCAAGCCTATATCATCGCTTTTTCGTTAATGATGCTGCATACCGATGCTTTCAACAAAAACAACAAGCGGAAGATGCAGAAACATGACTACATCAAGAACACAAGTGGTCAGAACGTCTCGGACGACGTGCTGGGTTGCTTTTACGACAACATCTGTTATACGCCCTTTATTCATTTCGAGGAAGAAGTCGACATCAATGGAGAGCGTCTACTTACCTTCAAGCCAAAGAAGAGCAAGCTTCGAGGAAGCATACCTGATCCTGGGAGGAAGAATAGTGGACCCATCGACCCCTATGCATTGATCTGCGATGGCAAGTTGGACACTCTGCGTCCCTTGATAAAGGAGTCGATCACCATGGAAGATCCCTACAGCTACCTAGGCACTGCAAACTTCTTTGACATGAAGAAGTTGCAGAAGGCATTCGTGAACACCGCTGTCCTCCAAATCATCTCTGCTCGCTCCAGACCTGCTGCTTTTGAATCGCAAGCTACCCGCGATAACCCTAGTGAATCAGCAATCGGATTAGTAGACCTCAAGGTCACGAAAGTCGGCGTCTTGTGGCGAAAATCCACAAAGCGCAAGAAGACACGATCTCCATGGCAGGAGTGGGGTGCTATATTGACCGGGTCTCAACTTTATCTCTTCAAGAACGTCACTTGGGTGAAGGGGTTGATGACGCAGCACCACACACATGTCAAGCAAGAAGGTACTAATGAGCCTGTCATTTTCAAGCCTCCAATCCAGGATTTCAAGCCAGATGCCCTCATAAAAACTGATGACGCTGTTGCTCTGCTTGATCGCAGCTACCTGAAGCACAAGGACGCATTCACTCTGGTTCGTCATGGCGGTCAGGAGGAAGTTCTGATTGCTGAAAACGAGACCGAAGTCAACGATTGGATTGCTCTGATCAACTATGCTGCAGCTTTCAGATCTGCTGGTGTTAGAATCCGTGGGTTCATTGGTGGCACGGACACTGATGTCACAGTCAACAGTCGCGGCAGACTCAACTCCACAGCATCTGTCGACTCTTCGATCAACGCATCTATCGGCTCTGCCTTGGGTTCGACGATAACACATGACGGACAAGTCACTGTTGAGAAGAGAGATCTTACTCCACAACTTGTCAGGCAGGTCTTGGCTGCTCGACGACAAATCATGTTACAAACCATAGTAGAGTCGGAAAGAGAGGTGACTGATGCAATCAGGAATCTTGAGAACATGATGCGCAATGCTCGCCATCTGCTGATCCTTGCACCCATCCAACCGAAGACGAGAGAAGACGTTTGTCACGCCACTGCGCGAATGGATGCCAACTTGAAATGGATTAGGCGCGATATCTGGCGAACGAAGTGCCACAGGGACATTCTTTCTCTCGACTTACAAGAAGACGGAGAAATTTTCGACAGCAAGTTACCAGCTCCGATGCCGAACATTCGCAAAACTAGTGGGCTTCAAAAGGCAATCTCAAAAACAAACTCTGCCATGAGTCAACAAACAAGCCTTCAATCGCCAGCTCACTCGCCTCGACTGATCAGCGGTGATGGTCAGGGAGAGGGTGTCTTCAACAAAGATGTCTTCAAGACACCACCCGAACACGCCCTCAGGTATGGGGATGCTTGGCAGCTGCCCACAAGCCCGCTAGACCTCAACAGCCCACAACAGGCTCGTCGACCTTCCACTATCAGTAATGCGCAGTCTGTTATTCGTAAGCACAGCGTCGCTGGTTTGTCAGTCGCTTCTAGCGTACAAGATGGAGACAGACACCTGTCCTCTGCTGCCTCTGACGCCCCCTCCCGTCATGGCCGCTTAACGCCTACCCGAAGCTACGATAGCCGTGACCATGAAGCGGTGCTTCTCGCGCGAGACCCTCTGGCCCCAGCAGCAACCATCGCCACTCAATCTTCGGCCGGACTCCCGGGATCGTCAAACGCAACTCCAGAAAGTGCCTCTAAGATCAAGAGCGGAAGAAGAAGCCTACATCGTACCTTGAGGGATGGTCGTCATGAAACGTCTACTTCCCAACGCCACCGAAGAGGCAAGGAGAGTGCTAGCACTATTCGCTCGGATGGAAGCCGTGTTGATGACCTTGTCGAGGCCACTCCAGGGCTGGAGAGAAAGGCTGCTAGATTCATGGTTCATGGCAAGCAAGCTTCAGTCGTCACTTTTGGCGCAGATTGGGCAGAGGAGAAGATGCGCCGCGAACTCGCCCGAAAGCACTCCGCATCGACTCAAAACAGTACCGAGGAGAGTGGACCAGAAGCCAATCTACAATACCACGTCACTCAAGCACTGTCCTCTGTCAGTGGCCACAACACTGTCAGCCCAAACGTTGCAGGAAAGATGAGTGTACGCATTCCTACTGTGCAGGGATGGCAAGTCAACGCTGCTGACAAAACGCCGACTGCTGCGACCGATGTACATCTGCCCGACCCTTTTAATCTTCAGCATGAGCTGGCAACCCCGACAGTCATGTCGAGCGACGATGATCTGGACTCTTATTTCGATGCGAACAGTCCACAGTCAGACAGAGTGCGCCTAGCTTCAAACAAGTTCTCTGACTCACAAGGATTGGAGGGTGCATTGGACTTCAATGCAAAAGACGCCATGCTACCTGAGGACCTTCCACTCCCGTCATCACCTCCTACAGCTGTCGAACAGGACAACATGGATGACAACACTATCCCGTTTTCTCAATATATCGAGAACGAAAAACTGCGTGAGCTTATCTCATTAAGTAAATAAAGCACTGTACGCAGGCGTCGATGCTCGTTATCTGCGGAAGCCGTACTGCTTGCGTCAACCCAAAAGTCATGGTGCTGCTCTCCATTTGCTCTGGTTTTCTTTTGTTGTTTTGTTACTGCTATTCAATCGCACGATTCCCCCTCCTTAGGTTTGCTTTTACCCTTATTCTTTTTCATCCAGGCAATTTTGGCAGAGCGGTTACTGCGTAGAAATTATGGATTGTTTGATGTGGCCTTGTCAATTAGAGTCCCCGAATCCATAGGTCTTAACCACTTTCGAAATCAAAGACCTCTGGTCTTGCTCGCTTTCTATGCTCCCTACTTGATAGCATCGAGCTGTATTAGACCTTTTCAAAAGCCATCCCGGCTGTACATGCTTTTATAGACATATAGATATTGGTGTAACTGGCCCAGGTCGGCGTTTCGATACTGTCTGTGTTACAAGCTCGTAGACATACAATTCACTAGACATCCTCACTCAAATCACTAATTATACTCACCTGCCTACTTGGTATAGCTCGGTGCTTCATTGTCCCGGTACTAGCCATCGCATCTGCCAATTGCACCTGCCAGTTCCACCTAGAATTCGGTAACACCAGGCTGTGTTCCCCCTGTTCGACTGAACTGAAATGCATGACTGGCACCATTTTTGTAGAGAGCAGCACAGCAAGAAGAAATGTTAGAGGGGTGTTATGGGGCCGTATTAAAGCGTATCTCGTTTGTCGTAGCACCTCTTACAGTTTCAGCCTTAACCGACAGTATTCGTACTCGTACTCGCATTTCGTAGCCCGTACAGAATATCTCCTCAATGGAGTCGGGGTGGAGCCCCGAGCAACAAACACCTTGTCGGCCAAGCTCTCGCATCTGTAATGCTAGATATGCAGTATTGTGCACGAAACTTGCGGGTAAGGTGTTTCATTGTGAATATTGTGCAGACAGACGGTCCTCTTTCTATGTCCAATTGGGTAAGGTCGGTGTCTAGCTCTGACCGGTGTGCAGACCGGAACATGGAGATCCCGAAGGATCGGTTAGGCAGGAGGATTTGGTACTCCCGCCCATACCTGCACACTTCTTTGGCCCCCAATAGGAGTATCAGAGGGGCATATCAGACCGTGGGCCGCTGTACCAGTACTCCAGTCGGAGGAATATACAGTAGAATCAAAGGGCGAGGCGACCTGGAGATTAAAGATATCAGGTCCCCGAGCTCTCGCTCATCTTCTAAGCCGATTTCTTTCTGGGTTTACAACGAACACCTGGTGTCCCTCGACCTACCTATTTCCTTCTTCGACACACTCTTTTGTGACGCCTCACTATCCAACATCACCAGTTTGAACACCCCGAGACAGGATCTCATTGCCCCACACAGGTTGAATAACCTCTCCC